ATCAGCCACTGTCATCTTAAAATATTTTGAGGAAAAGAATAACAAACTTTGAAAATTGTTGTGAGAATGTTGTTGCAAACTGTGATGTCAGTGTGAGGAAAGCACTGCTTGCTGAGTGGGCCTAATTGGACATAGAACTGTCTGTCTGCAGATTGAGATGTTACGTGGGCTGGGAGACACTCAGACACTACGCTGTGTGCTGTGTGCCCATGGGAAAGAAACCCTCAGTGAGGCCTTGTTCAAATGTAAGACAGACTAACGCTATTTGTTATGATGTATTGAGCAGGTAGAGACTTATCAGGAGGGCAAAGGGGTTGCACTAATACCATGTCAAACCCCCAGCCACCCCTAAACATCCAAAGGGCAGAGCTCTCAGTCCCTTCCCTGTTAGCACGTTGGTGGCTGTTCTTCCTTTGACAGGTCCCCATGTTGTGTGCAAACACCATTTTTTGTCCAGTAGCAATCTGTTTGTGTGAGCTCACAGTCTTACATTTTGGACACTCTGACAAGGTCCCATCCAAAACTGACCCATTTTTCTGCAAGTGTTGTCCTATATTAAGTGAACATGGAAGATGCTTTGTGAGAATTGTCTCCAGTGAAGTGTGCCAGAATACTACTGAGTGAGAGAGAAGATGACCTCAGGGAACACCTCAGAACAATACCCAGCCTAACCTTTCTTGCATGTGAGTAATGAACAACAGGTCATAATCGCTCACCAAGGCTGCATTCACGAGGTTGCACCTTTTTTTGAATTACGGATTTTTAAAAGAACTCTTCTCTGCCTCTTCCACTTTTTCTTTCTTGAGTCCTCAAGCAGTTTTTAATCCAGTGGGCTCATGAGTTTTGTACAAATGATTCAAGTATCCTTGGCCTCCATATCCAATCACACTCACCAAAGAATGTGCTTGTATTATAAGAATACTCATATTTCAGTGAAAGAGGAAAAGAGAGAGAGAAAGAAACCAAGAGGAAGAGGGCTCTGTTTCAGGAACACAGAAATGAGAGTGGTTCTGGTTTGTGGGAGGGAGCTCCTCAGATGTGACCCCTGTCACAGACCTGTAACAGCCAAGGGAGAGACAGCTCAACAACAAAATAGGAAACCATGTAAATGGCAGACCTGCGATTCTTTGTCACGGGTGCCAATGTAGGCAGCAAATCATCACGGGAGCAGATGCCTTGCTGTGGCATAAATACCAGTATTCCTGAGCTACTTTGGTCTGAAAGCCTCATCTGGAGAGCTGTCCTGTCTCCCAGGGCTTGTAAACACTGGTATTGCTGAAAGGGGATAAACTGCCTCTGGGTCCTGCTGCAGATCACACTTCAGTTCCTCGCAGTTCCTGTTTCATTGCACCTGTGAGAAGAAGCTGGAGATCCTTAGCAGGTGGGCTGTTGTGGTGAGTGGACAGCACAGGAAAGTTGCTTAGGCCATTAACAGGAACACAAAAGCAAACTGGTGAGCAAACAGAGCAGACTGAGGAGGTCAAGCAGAAGCCACAGGTCCCATAAGCACACTGTATGCAGCATACAGGATCCATTGTACTCTCCTGGGGCAAGGCCAAAGAATTTGCTAGGAACAAAAAGAACATCTAGAAATTTTTATGCCTGTTTCTAGAAAACAAATTTTCAAATTCACTTCAGATGCCTAAATCTTGTATATAGTGATATTTCTATTACATGGCACCCTGTGAGGAGTGGCATATATTACACTGTCAGATTATACTGTTTGTGCAAAACTGTTTCCTGCAAGATTGTCATTTGGCATGGATGATTGTCTGTCTCTTTTGGCTGAAAATAATGATGATGTTGGTGCCATGCATAATAGGAATTGCTAAAAGGATGTGAGTCACCAAATCACGATATGTTCTGCTGAACCTTGAGCCCACCTCTAACCAAACTTCCCTCAGGAGAGCTCACCATCCACCAGCTCTGTGTTCTTCATCTACCACTTACAGTCAGAGGCCCCATTGGAACTGAAGCCAGGTATTGACTCTTGGCTCTTTGGAGTCCAAACCATAACCTCAGTGTAGCTCTACTCCCAGGAATTCAGATACTACTCCAAAATTTGAAAGGCAGGTTTTTTGCTTGATAGGCAAATTTTAAAAAATCTCCCTAAAACTGTCCCTTCGATCCATTTTCTAAAAACTAGCCAGTAACCATTTTGCTTCTCCCATGAAAACTAAATCCTGTACCACAATAAAAATCCTAAAATCAGAACTGATAATTTGGCTGACAATACATGAAGAGCTCTGCTGCTTAATTAGTTCTGCAATGCTGCTGACAGTAATTACAGCCTTCTTTTGTGTCAATAACTAAGCAACCCTCAAAAAAAGATTCAGGGCCCTACTTGTCTTTTAGTTGTGTCACTTCTGCATCACTGTAATTTCACTGATAACAGTAGAATTGCCCTTGAAATACAGTACTGTAAGTGAAAGGAGAATCAGATGTACAGACATGTATTTTTGGGGGTGGGGTTTGCAGCCACATTTCTGATTGGGAGCATACTTGAAAAATACGCATCTAAAAATACAACAGTGTAGAGGTGTAATGTATTGGTACAATAAAACAAACACTGGATCCCTGTATAGCATTAAACAGGATCCTGTACAAACTACACAGCTGGCTCCACAACTTGCTGTTGTAACAGTAAACAACTAAATTCCAGGGGAATGCACTTGCTCTTTACTTCAGGTGTTGGAGGTGAACAAACAAACAAATTTGTACAAGGGACACCAAATAAACTAAAGTAAAGTAAACTAAAAATAAACTTCTGAGCTCTCAGTGTCAGTACTCAGTCCTGTGACAAGTGAGCCTGTTCTCTCTTTTTTTGTGTGTACTGTTTGTTCACCTCTCATTTCTAATAGATGGGCATCATTAGGGAGACACATTAAATCTTTTCTTACTTTGGATGTGCTAAATTAGACTAGTCAGAAGAAATTTTATATTGTTCCCTTCTGTCACTCCTCTGATCAGTAACGAGGCTCTTAAGGTTTGTACTGAATTTCTTGCCCTTCAGAAGAGAGCAAATTAAACAAGATGTTGCAAGGTCAGTAAGAGAGTCAGTGAGATACACTGTGGAGAGGATTTGGGAGCCTGTGGTAGAGCAGAGCAAATATATAAAATGGTTACACAGATGATATTTTAAAATAGTAGCATTCTGAATCCTGCCAGGAAAACACCAGGGAAAATTATGGTCTACTTCAGCATTGTGAAATGAGCTGCATTTTTCTAACTATTAATGGAGTTAGTTGCTATAAAGCACATGCTACATGGTTTCACTGTGTTGTGCAATGAAATTAATACACAAAATACCAGCACAAAGCTTGAGGATGAAAACTATTCAATGTAAAGCACTTATGTTACTGAGGCAACAAGGAGAGTGAAATCAGACATCTATATGTTAATGTATCGAAAACCAGAAATTCAAACAAACTGCAGGGAGACTGTAGAACCCTTTCAGTAGAAAACAAAACCAAAACTATGTTCATCGATCTGGAAATGTCTTCATTAAACAAATAAACAAATATTTACTGCTCTGATTTCAAAATTATTTGTCTCTATTTTTCTGCTATTCCCATCACCATGATAATAGAGTCCTTCCATTGCTAATGGACAGCAGGTCAGGTCTGGACCAGAGATCAGGAAGAATTTCCTAATTGGATGGTGAACGAAACACTGGAGGCAAGTGAGTGCAAAGCTGTTGAATCTCCTCTCTTGGAGCTTTTCATGGAGAGGCCACATTGTGCCCCTGTGCTTGGAGGTGGCCTGAATGACCCATTGAAGCACTTCCCAGCCTCGGGAGAGCAATTTCTCAGCGTGGACGTCACTCACTGACACAGAGGGAACGCTGAGCCAGTTCCCTTGTGGCACCTTCAGCTGGCAAAGCCTCAGAGGACTTTAACCTCCCGGCAGTGTCTCCCTGTACTGTGTGGTACCTTCTCTGGTGGCAGCAGAGGCAGGGTGTGCCGTTACTGCCAAGAGAACAGAGGTAACCAGCAGGTTTTTGAGACAGTCACACCCTGTTAAATTTTGGGTTAACCAGGAGCAATGAAATCACACTCATATCAAACCCACGCTTGGACTGCTGATCTCCAAGGGAAATTCAAGGCTTCAGGTACTAACAGATCTTCAAAATTGTTTCCAGATAGAGGCCCTTTCCTGCTTCTTATCCAGCCTTGTTACAATTCCTGATTTCCCATTCTCAAACTCCTATTTTTCCAGGCAGCTGGAGTCCTCAGCTCTGTGTGAACCAGTCCACATAAACCTCTGGACAGCAGAGGCGATCACGAAGCACCTGCCAATTTTCCCTGGGAAATAATACTAAACTAAAGCTTTGCACAAGTGTTTGGAGCATTTGTTAGTGCTGGTTATGGAGCGTGGAGGAGTCAGAGGAGCAAATACAGATTATCGCTGGTACTTCAAACTCATCGTTTGTTTGGCTTTCAGCGTCCACATTTCTGGTGTAAGGGGTCCTACAACACAGGCAAAGGATAAAGGAAATGATGCAATCAGGTATAGGTTTATTAAAGGAGACTTAATTTCTGGGACTGAGAATTTAGTGTCCAGTGATTCCTCTTTAAGGTACGACGTTGGGTGTTTCACCTGCACGCTCTCCCCATGCTCAGGACCGGCACGGGGGGCGAGCACGGCGGGACCGGAGGGGACCTGAGGGGGACTGAGAGAACGTGAGGGGACTGAGGGGGACTGAGGGGGCCTGACAGACTGAGGGAACCTGACAGGGACTGAGGGAATCTGAGGGGACCTGATGGGGACTGAGGGGATCTGAGGGGGCTAAGACATGAGGGGACCTGAGGGCAGTGACGGGGACTGAAGGTACCGACGGGGCCTGAAGGTGCCTGAGGGGGACTGAGGAAACCCGAGGGTGACCGACACCCCGTCCCTCACGGCCCCGGCCCCGCCCCCGGCCCCGCCCCGAACCGCCCCGGCCGGGGTGTCCCGGGTCACGTGACGGTGCCAACATGGCGGCGCCGTGGCGGCGGCGCGGCCGCTGAGGGGGGCGCGTCTCTTCCGGGAGGTGCCGCGGGCCTTGAGCGCCCGCCCGGGCCTTGTTCGCGGCCCCTGCCCCGCTCCCGGCCCCGCCATGCAGCCCCCGGCCCGCGAGCAGGACGCCCGCACCAAGAGCATGTTCGTGTCGCGGGCCCTGGAGAAGATCCTGGCGGAGAAGGAGGCGAAGCGGCCGCCGCACGGGCAGCTGCGGAGAGCCTGCCAGGTGGCGCTGGGTGAGTCCGCCCGACCCGGCCCGGCCCGGCCCGGCTCGGCCCGCAGGGACACGGGCACGGCCGCGGGCGGGGAACGGGTCCTGCCCGCCCGGGCCGGGTCCCGTCGGGGTGCGGGGCAGCCCCGGCTGCGCTCGGGACTTTGGAGCGCGGGGGGAAGGTTCTCTTTCCAAGAGAGGACTTGCAAATACAAGGGGGGAAAAAAATCCCCCAAGCACCCGTTTTATGGAGTTCTGGCCTCGCCGTGAAGCAGGAGGGATTTGGGCTTGCCACTTCAGTTTTGAGAACGTTAATTTCAGACTGGGAAACAGGGTCTTTAAAGCCCTCGGCTTGTGGCGTCCCAGAGCTTCCAGCGCTGGTAAATCTCCTGACCTCTGATCTGCAGCTCGAGGTCGGACCGGCTAAAGACTGTTAGCTGTGTGGCTACGTACATCCAATGTCTGTGATGTTTGCCCAGCTGGAAACGCTTTTTGTGAAGTTGGTGGACTGGTCCTGAAATCCTCTGCAAGCACGAGCTGATGTAAAGGTCTCTGTGTTAAGAGCTCTGAAAACACGGTGTGTCAGGAAGAGATGAGCTGGGCAGAGCAGCAGAGCTCTGCAGCTGGAGTTCTCTGTGGCCTTTCTTGATTGGCGAGGGTGACATCTCTCTTACAGTTTTGGTTGCTTTATGTCAATATTTTCCTTTAAACTGGGAACATTTAGTGTAGCCAGGACAGAAGAAAAGACAGGCTGGGTGTGTAACGAGGCTGGGCAGATGCAGGGTCTGTCCCAGGCACTGTGAGAGCGAGCTCAAAGAAACTGTCAATTTTATCTCCCTCCCTGCAATCCTTCCTGACAGGAGATCTGTAGGAGCCGTAGTGACAGTTTATCCAGAGAGAGGTCACCAGGGAGAATGGTGTCTTATTGTTATTTAAAGTTGACTTTGTGAGCAAGAGAAAAGCACGTGTGCCCCGGAGGTTAGAGGCTACTTTTCCCAATGAGTTCCTTTTCCTGATTTCCCCAACTCCCCCAAATGCATCGAACCCATTTACTGGATCGAGAACCTGTTTTGCTGCTATGGAAATGTACTTAGAGGCTGAGAAAGGGAACTTCCTTCTAGGATGCCTAGTGAAGGTCCATGTTTGCTAACACATCACAGGGGATGATTTTGGGAGGAGCGTTGTGCAATAGCTGCCTGTTGGATTATGACTGTTCCATGCCTTCATGTTTTAAGGTACAGTGTGTTTGAGGGGAATTGATGCTGGTGATGAGGGACTTTTTTTTTTTTTTGCTAATCTTCTTTGGAAAAAAAGCCCACATGTTTTCCTGGGCTAAAGCAAAGGTCAGTGTGAAGAGATAACCTTGTGTTGACCAACTGTCCTGCCCTAGCAGGGCCTCAGTTACTGTACAGGAGGACCTCTGTTATATTTGGTGAATATTTATTTAATCATTTTAGGATGCCAACAGGAACGTGGTTTCTTTTATTTACATGTTATTTTTTTTTTTTTGCCAAACATTATTCTGTTTAGGTTAAGCCTTTTTTTTTTTTTAATTAAAGGGAAAAATCAGTTTCATTCTATATACCTAATTTTAATTATGCTTATGCTTGATACTACTGAAGACTGTGACTTCAGTTTCAAAAGCGTCAACTTAATTATCAAGCCCTGAGCAATAATAAATATATGAGGAGACGTGGGAAGAACGTTACATGCAGTCTGAAGAATTCAGGCCAAACTTTGTAACCTACACAAACTGTTAGGGATGAAAAGTTCCAGTGTTGTGAATAATAATAAAAAGTGCAGTTAAAGCTGAGGAAAAACAATTCAGTTTGAGAGAAATGTAAAGTTACTTTATGGAAGTGGTCACTGTGTCAGCTGCTGTCTGCTGCACTTTTCTCCAAGTCATGCTTTAAATAATCCATTTCTACCTCTTAGTAAGTTCCATTTGCTGTGCAGTCTTATTTATGCAGGGGTGTTTTTGTTGGAGCCCTGAGGCACTGTACCAGTTACAAACCAGGCAACACCAGCACGGGGCACGAGCAGATGGTATCTGCTGGTCCTAGGGAAGTCTAGGATGAATTCCTTTTTTCCAAATAGAGAGAAACAGGGGTATTGTACAGCTGCATAATAGAAATTAACCTGCAAATACTTCTAGTGTTTCTGCTGTGGTGTTACTGCAGGAGTGTTTCTGTTACTTACCTGTGCTTTAAATTTGTTGTCTGCTAAGAGAGGAATAGATTTCTAACTGTTGGAATGATGTTCTTGTTTTGTTACATGAGTTCTCTATTGCTTTGAGTGTGTTTGAGGTGTTCTTTCATTCTAATTTTCATCTGTTTTAATAGTTCTAAATTTAAGCTGTTCTTAACCTTTATTCCCAGTAATTCATCTCTTTCACTGGACTAATACTGTGCAGTTTTGGACTGCAAAATAACCTCATGACCTTGTAGAAATCAGAAGTAAGGTAGGCTCAAGTAGGACATAAACACAAAAAGTGTGGAAGAAAAGGAACAAAACCAGTTCCCAGTCATGGTTTTATTGAAGCTTTTTTTTTTCTCTCTCTTTCCACCCCCTCCTTTGAAATACACACTATTAAAGTTGAGTAAGCAGAGTTTGAATAGATTCCTTCATTCAGTCTCTTGCTTCATCAGTAGGTGTAACGGTTGTCTCCTGTTCTCGTAGTGCCTGTAAGTCCCAGGGGAGATTGGGAGAAATGGAGGGCTTTAAACAGAGAAGCTGTTCTGCTTTGCTTTAGAAAACTGTGTTTTAAGAAAACTTGTTTTCAACAGACAGCCATTGTATTGTATAAAAATAGTTGTTTAATAAGCATTTACGTGCAGCTCTTGGTACACATGATTCTTAGTAAACTGACTGAAACTGTCCTGAGAAATGTGCAGTGGAACACGCCCGGTCTGGGTCACAGCAGTTCACTTTGGGCTAATGCTAATTGAGCACCTGGGTCTCTCACGTCAACTGTTGCTCTTGCCCTACTAGGGCTGTTTTTAATGACATGCTGTGCAGCCAGCCTGGTTCTGTGGCCTTCTTTGATTGCCTGGGCAGCTCCACATATATATCTTCGAGCTTTGTAAACAACAGACTTTGTTTAGTTAGCTTGTTAATGAGATTTGAAAAAAATCATCTTTTCAACCATGCCTTCCCTTGGGAATCAGGTTGTGTGTTGAAGAAGTCTCTGGTATAAAGGACAGATGTCCAAAGTAAGTTGTGTTTCCTGGTTTAGCCTCTTGGCCGGTGTGTTTGGAGAACACTGGGGCACAGAGGAGAGTTTGACTTCCTCGTGGCAGCCTTTTCTGCAGGGCTCTCTGCGGGTGGATGTGATCAGGAACTGCGGGGTTGGCATCTGGGTTGAAGGCAGGCTGGACTTGGGCAATGCAGTCAGCTTTGCTGGGCTGGGGGAGGGAAGCTTTGGCTGCTGCTCTGTGTGTTTGTGTTGGCAGTGCTGCTGGCCAGGCTGTGGAAGGACATGGCTCGTGTCCTTGTGCCAGCACAAGCCACGTTCTGCACAGGGGCCGAACAGACAGACCTGGCTGTGCCTTCACACAGGAGGCACCTCCTGTGCTGCAATGGGAGTTTTCAGTGCGGGCCAATGAACCCACCCATCTGCTGTAGGAAGGCAACTACTCAGTGTGAGCTTCCTCCTGCTTTTATGGCCAGAAGCTCTGGGAGAAGTTGCTGCAAGGCCATTCTTGTCATTCCAGCTCTGTTCCTGGTAGGAATGCTGCAGGACTTGCATCAGGTGGGCAGTACAGGGATTGAAGGTGTTTGTGATTGGAGGAGATGCCGTGAGAGTGGCAGGGAGCTCCAATACCCAGAGCACCAAGTGAGGGGTCAGTGTTGTGCTGGGATGACCAGATGTTCACCAAAATTCAGGCTGTGTTCTGTAGCTGTGGAAGGGAGTTGAGCTGTGCCCCTTACTCCATGCTGGAGGAGGAGAGGGCTGCTGGCCTTTGGTTTCTGCAAGCTGGTGGGGCCTGGTTAGGGCTTGGCAAGCTGTTCATGGCACCAGACTTCAATTAGGCAACCATTTCTGTTTCACTCACTTTTGGTGGTCAGCCCACCAAATGAGGGCTTTAAATGTGGAGGTTCTCAAACTATTGTGATGCAATCAGTAGCAGAGGCATGACTGTAGCTTCCTCTTCTCCTTTCATTTATTCTTTTCTGCCAGAATTATCAATTAAAATACTGTTGTGGTGCAGATGTTTTTATGTGGCTTTAGAAAAGGCTTTATTATAATAAAATTGTATGTAACTTGGTCAGGCTTTGGTTAGATTTTTTTTTTTCTTTAATGGGTTATTTCTGGGAGTGAAACTGTTGCTGCTCTAATATGGGATGTTAATCTTGCATATTTTTCCACTGCAGGATCTAGGACAAATACCAGTAAAGATGGGCATGATCATATCTCCTTAAGACTAAAATCTGTGTGAAGTTTCAAGACCTTTTTTACTCTGCTAGGAAATATGTGAGGAAAGTGATCTCTTTGAAAGAAAGAAAAACTCATTAGAGTTCTTGCAATCCTTCAAAAAGCTCTGTACACCCTAGTTCTGCAGAGTGTCTGAAATACAGCATTAATTGTGCTATGGCTGCTCCCAGCATCCTGGTGTACTTGGGATTTTGGCTATAGCTAAAATATGCCTTTCTCTGCCAAGACCTGGAGGCAGGACTAAGTGTTCTGAATGTGTAAAGTTACCCAGAAAATTCAGTGTTTTAAGGAACTGGTTCCTGCGTACTATGGGAATATGCTGCACTAAGAATAAAATCGAAATAGGGACACAATATATTGGTGGGTCCTTCAGCATATGCTTTTCTCAGTAGCTCTTTGGATCATAATGTGGTGTTGAAGATGGGGAAGTTAATAAAATCAAGGGCCTCAATTCAAAATATGCTGAACTGAACTTCTGACTCGTCCTCTTGTTATCAGGGCAGGTGGGCCCTGGAACGAAGAACACAGTGGTCCCACGGTGGTGCTGTGTAAGATTGATGTTGTTTGGTGCAGAAAGCCTTGGTTATTTCTTACCAACAGCCTCCCTTCTGTTGCTGAAGCCTGGAGTAGCAGGGGATGGTGGTGCTGGGTTTGTGCAAAGTCACTGCTGATCCTGCAGCCCCGGGGCTGAGCACTGGGCTTGGCTCTGCAGGGCTGGAGGGTGACAAGTGTCTGTCCTCTGACGCTGCTGGACAGGGTTGTTTGCTGAGGGGCTGGATGAGAACTGGGAACACTGTGCCCCTGTGACTCTTCCACTTCCCTTTGTCTCTGTTGCTGAGTGGGTAACGTTGCCTTGGTTGTTGTAACAGCACTGCACGCCTCAGAACTGGGGGATGTCAAACTGACTCTCTATCGAGTGGATCTGGAAGAGGAAATAGCAAGTCCTAGTCCTGGATGCAGCTTACCACTCACACCTCATAGTTATACAGGTTTTCTCTGTGTTTTGCTTCCATTTTCTCTATCCAAAGGGGATAGTAATGTTACAAAATCAGCACATGCTGGGAGGATTGATTCCTGGGCCATTCACTGAGCACTAGTGCAAAAACCTGTAATCTGTGTTTGCTGCAGTCCTTGTTCCTTAGTGTGGTTTGTGTATTGGTGCTGCTGAGACAGAAAAAATTACTGAGGTTCACAGACTGCTCTTTAATAATCTCAACTGTGAACATCTCATCCCAAACCAACGGTACCTCTGCAGAGTTGTGGAGAACAAGCATTGAGCGAATGATCAGTTTCTAATACCTGTGATTGAAACAAGATTTGTAGGCCTGGTAATTCCCAGTTGGGAAGGTTTTGCAGCACTGTAGGATGCTGTAGGGTGGGATGGATGGGGTCCTGCTGGTGTCACAGACTGTTAAGCTTTGGGGGTTGGTTTGTCAGTGTTCACAGAGGGTGCAGGTCTGGTCTGTGTTATGCATCATGATGATACCTTAGAAATCCTCAAGAAGCCATGCTACGATCTTTGGGATTTGCTGCTGTATACAAGAGAAAGGAGGAAGGAACTTTCTTCTCCCCTGTATTTAATTTTATGAAGAGCTGTCTGAAAGTGTAATTTAAAAACCAAAAATCTCTTCTGGCAACAGGACAGAGAGCATTTAGGATTTGTTTAGGATATGTTATTTTAGCATTTGGGAGCTTGTTCAGCTGATTGATGTTGTGGGGCTCAGGACAAGCAGGTTGGCACTGCAGGGAACTGGGATGTCCATCACTGAACTCATGTTTTATGCAGTGGCTCAAAGGCTTCTGCAGACCTGAGCTCTCTGTGATGTGGACTTGCACTTGAATAAAAGTTGCATGCTATACCTGAGTGTTCTAACAATACCTTTTGTTGGGAATGTTTGGAAAAATTAGGTTCTTTAATATAAAAATTGGGAGATACACCTTCCAATAACAGGTGGAACTGTGACCTCTGAAGCTGAGGTGTTACAGGAAAGGAGTGGGAACTACTGAAGTGCAAGACTGGTGGTTTGAAACAGCTTTGCTTTATTCTGTGTTATTGATAATGATAACTGAGGTTTGATTTTTTTTTTCTTCCTTCCAGATGAAATAAAGAGTGAGCTGGAAAAGCAAAGGTAAATTATTAATTGCTGCAAACTGTGTGTAGAAAGAGCAAGTGAAATAATTGGTAGTGGAAATGGAAGAGTGTATATACATTACAGTAGTGAGTTTGTGAATGCCCAGTTACACACCTTTCTGCCAAGAACATATGGCCCATGTGTTCCACTTACACAATGTTTGTGGCTGTGGGTACTCAAGCCATAACTGCCTCTGAATTTCACAGTGAAAAAATTGCAAAACTTCTAAAAGGTGCCAGTTTTGCACTTCCTTTTACTGGGCTCAGTGTAGCCTGATAGGAAATCAGAAGGAATAGGAGGTACCCTCTGTTTGGTAGCATTTGCTCTTTATTACCTACATCAAGAACACTGATTTAAATATGACTTAAATACAAATTGTAAAACAGTTTTCCAGCACTGTGCTGTGATTAAAAATGAGCAAATGGGTCCCCAAATGTGTTTCTATTTGCATAGCATTCCTCTTATGGGCCCTGTTTAATTCTGAATAACGTGGATGGATTTATCAGTTGTATAGGAGTTCTCTGGTATTTCAGATAATGGGACAGTGTTGGAGTATAGTGAGGGGAGAGTTAAGTTGAAGAAGATATGAAAAAGACCAAATAGAATATAAATAAATGTAAAATGGGGTTTGTGTGATTTTAAAAGAAAACTGAACTTCCTTTAAGAAAGCATATACAAGAAAGTTGCAGTACATTTGTATTCTGCTGTGCATTTTTCAGCTTTAAATTTAGAAAAGGAGAAAGTGTAGTTTGCTGTGACACACGTGTTTAGAAAAATTACTAACTCTTCTTATCTGACCTAGAGAAGGCACCGCTGCTCCACCGAAAGCAAATTTCATCGAAGCAGATAAATACTTCCTTCCGTTTGAGCTGGCCTGCCAGTCAAAGTCTCCACGCATTGTCAGTACTTCCCTGGATTGTTTGCAGGTAAATGCTCTGGTTCAGCCTGGCCAGAGTGAGCTGGAGGAACACGCTGTTGGTATTCCTGCCGTGAGGATTGACCTGCCCTACACAGGGCAAGGCTTTGCTGGGGCTCAGGGATCCTACGCTGCCCAGTAAAGATGCTTCATCTGTGATGCTTTGGAAGGAGTATCACCGTGGTGTTTCTTGTGGTGCTGATGTGATGGGAGGTCAGACTCTGCAATCTGCCTTCCTTGTTCCTATTGATTCTTACACATTTTGGGCAGAACCCTTCAGTTGGGAAAAGGAACAAAGACTGATGTTAAAAATGTTTTTGTCTAGTTGTGGTATGAAGAAATGGTCTGGGTGGAAAAAGCTTGTGTGTCACTTACTAAGGTCTGTTTTGTCCAGATGTGTGAACAGTCCCAAGTATTTGGTGGCCAGACTATAAATGGTGTTAAGTTTTTGTGTTAAAACTGGTTAGGTGAGGTATGCTACCTAAAAACTCCTTTTTATGCCATGCTAAACTGCATTTTCCTTAACAGTATATGGTCATGTAAGCTGCATTCTTTGTGCCTAGAAACTCATTGCATATGGACACATCACTGGCAACGCTCCAGACAGCGGAGCTCCCGGAAAACGGCTGATTGACCGGATAGTTGAAACCATTTGCAACTGCTTTCAGGGTCCTCAAACAGATGAAGGAGTACAGCTGCAGATAATTAAGGTATTTTATTTAATTCATTCTCTGATTCTTACACTGTCCCATGTGCTGCTACATTCAAGGAGGCTGTCACAGGGTAGGGTTGATACGGGAAATGGATTTCCCGTTGGAGAAGTAGAACACAGGGAATGTTTTATAAATGTTTGTCCTTCTTTCTGAGCTGAGCCATCTTGCAGGTGGCTTGGTGCTTGTCTTACAGGCTCTCGGTGCCCACCTCTCTTAGGCCAGGGAATTGCTCTCAGCCCCAGCGGGCCCTGGAGCTGGGATGCAATGCCATGGAACGCTGCTCTAGCCTGCTGACACTGCAGTGTATGTTCCCTACAAGGCATAGTGGTGCCAGGGGTCTGTGTTCAGCTTCTGGAATCTACTTGGGCTCCTGTAGCTGAGGTTGGAAGTTGGTGAACCTTCCAGTAGCCTAATGTGGTGTTAGTGTAGGCCAGCTGGTCCTTACATGGAAATGAAGCTATAGAATATAATAGCTTTCATTTGGAGGTGGAACATCTCTCTTAGGAGAAAATCAGTTGTGATAAAACCCTTTAACAACAGCTCAGGAGAGACCAGAGATACATGGAAGTTCTGTTAAACTTCCTTTGATTTGCAATGCCATTGCAGAGAGCTAGAAGTTCCTTGTAAAGTTTTAAAAAAAGATAACCTGTGTTTTGTAACAAACCCACTGATTATTCTGAAGACTTGCATGAAGAACATTGCTACCTGCTTGCTTAGATTTCATTTTTACTGTCTTATGGACTTTCCCAGGCTCTCCTCACTGCAGTAACATCTCCATATATAGAAATTCATGAAGGAACAATTCTCCAGACTGTTAGAACCTGCTACAACATCTATCTGGCCAGTAAAAATCTTATTAACCAGACAACTGCCAAAGCTACCCTGACACAGATGTTAAATGTCATTTTTACACGCATGGAAAACCAAGCTGTAAGTAACTGTTACTTTTGCTCATCTCAAATGTTTATGCTTGACAAATGACAGAAAGCTTTTTTATTGTTTTTAATAGGCCTGTCACTGTAGTTGGGTATCTGTTGCTTTGTTAATGTTAAAAAAGCTGTCAAATCCTGCAGTGAAGCATATTGACTGATGGAAAATAAAAGGTGATGCTCACTGCTGATAACAAGGTTTCAAGGTTTTGCTGATGACTGTGGCATTGGATAAACAAATGATGGTGTGCTTTCAAAATAAACTGGAAGTACATCTTTTTAATCCGACTGGCCAAGTGATTGTAGTTTCACTGTTCCTTGCTACCATGTGAGTTCACCAAGGAACATCAGTCATCGCAGACATGCCTTCCCTCAGATCAACCTTCTCCTGTTGGTTTTTCAAGGTCCAGGAGTCCAGGGAAGCAGAGAGGGCGGCTCAGCAGAAGGTGCAGTCCCCGGCGGTGCCGGCAGGGTCCCGGTCCCCGGGGCAGGGGCAGCTCAGCTCCCGGGGAGCCAGAGCCGCGGGCCCCGCTGCGGGAATGGCCAACGGGGAGCCTGAGGGGCCGTCAGACCGGGACCGCGCCCCAACAGCACCAGGTGAGCACCAACAGCTCCTGTCTGTGCTTACTGTTGGAAAGTTTGTGTTGGAAAATGCTCTTTAGGCAACTCTGGGAAGAAGCGACTGAGGTCACCGGCTCAGACCATGCTTGGCTCTTCTCGGGAGTCATTCAGAGTGTGTTGCTATCCTTGACTTGAGTCTACACTATAAACCCTGAAGAAAGGCTCCTGTTTTCCCTAAAATTCCAGGAAAACTATATGTGCTTTATCTATATAGAATTTTAATGGAGTTTGACTTGATTAGGTTGCTAAAGGGAAGGAAAGGAAGAGAATGGAATTATGGAATTATAGAATCAACCAGGTTGGAAAAGACCTCTGAGATCATCAAGTCCAACCCTTGATCTAATCCTGCCGTGGTTACCAGACCATGGCACTGATGCCACATCCAGTCTCATCTTAGAAAACTCCAGGCATGGTGACTCCACCACCTCCCTGGGCAGCCCATTCCAGTGTCTGATTACTCTCTCTGTAAGAAATTTCTTCCTAATATCCAACCTAAACTTCCCCTGGCAGAGCTTAAGACTGTATAGTCATGGTGTGTGGGAAGTGGCAGAATCACTCCGAGGTAATTGAAGTCCTGGAGTAAAAATGATGCATATTATGAAGACCATATCATAAACACCTACTGCATCCAAATTAGGAATGTGGGATATTCCAAAACTAAAAGTTTGTAACATACAAGTGACAAAATCACTGCATTAAAAATATCAGTGCTTTGATTTAAACAACATAAGTAACATCAATAAGTATTTTTGTCTGACTGAGAACTACTGAAGAAAATAATTGTTAACCCTTCTGCCTCTGTCATGTTTTCCCTTTTAATCCTCTTCCTAAAAAAAAAGTACTAAATTCAAAATTATCTCTATGTGTTTCATTAGAGGAAACAACTGATGGAGGAAAAGAAATGGTTAAAGGCATCTTGGAAGATGTGGTCAAGTCAGCTGTGAAAGGTAGCAAAGTCTTTCAAAGTAAAATAACTGCATTTGTATTGCCAAGCTTTTATTCCCATATTATAAAAGTTATTTTTGTTACTAAGTATCTTGACAAGAACACCTACTACAGCAGCCAGAACAGGTTTTTATTGTATCACAATATTCTTTCTTCTTTGGCTGACAGGTGAGGAACTTTCTAGTTTACCAGTGCTACTTCTGTCCTACATAGTGGTAGAGCTTCACAAAGTTGTGGGATAAAAAGTGCTCAATGCATGATTTTAATCAGTTTTCCTTTTTCCCCTTTAGTGGCTGAAGAAAAGCAGGTAACAGAACCAGTCAGGGCTCTGCCTGCACTGGAGACTGCAGATACTGTTCTTTCTGGCTCTAGCAATGAAACCGTGCAAACAAACGGGATTTCAGATGATGGGCAGTCTGTTTCCTCCACTGATAATCTGGTAAATAACTTCACGGGATGCTGATGTACATTTAGGAAAGGAGAAATGTTTTTATTGTGCCAACTAATAGAGTGGAATTTTGGGGTAGAAAAGAGACAGAAACTCTGTCCGTGTCCTGCTCAGGTTCAAAAAGGAAGCAACAACTGCAATTTAAGTATATATTGTAAACACCTATCCTAAAATTGATTATGTTAGTTGTATTTTAATACAGAGTGGGGACAGAGGTGGAGTCAGTCAATGTGCCTGAAAAGATCCAGATCCCTTGTAATCCTCTTTAGGTTTAGTTTAAACTTTGCCAAATGTACCATTTTCTTCAATGGGTAGCTGATCCTCAGAGCAGCTGTAGAATCTTGTAATCGCTCTGTTCCTTTGTCTCACTGAAGATCTGTGTTGTGTTTCTTGCTCTCAAGGAAACAGATGTATCTGGACATCAAGCTGCTGCCAGATTCTCCCATGTTCTACAAAAGGATGCCTTCCTTGTGTTCAGGTCGTTGTGCAAGCTCTCCATGAAACCGCTCGGGGATGGACCACCAGATCCCAAGTAATGAGACTGTATTTATTAACTGTCCTTTCCAGGTAGCTTTTGGACACAGTTAAGAAGCTGCTGTGTAGTAAAGCAAATATTCAAGTATGCTAGCCCAAGATGTTAATACTCCTGAAAAATTCCCAAGTTAAGCTGGTAGATGTTCAAAAATCAGTTGCAGGCTGATTTCCACCCCTCTTGGCCCCCCACACTGAAGTGAGTTAAAGTAGCATGGAAGAAATGCTACAGTGCTCATGTTGAATACAAGCACGTACTCAAAAGTATAAAAATACATTTAATTTTTTCTAGATCCCATGAGTTGCGCTCCAAGGTCGTGTCTCTGCAGCTGCTCCTGTCGGTGCTGCAGAATGCGGGTCCAGTTTTCAGGACACACGAAATGTTCATCAATGCAATCAAGCAATATCTTTGTGTAGCATTATCTAAAAATGGAGTCTCTTCTGTTCCTGATGTATTTGAGCTCTCTCTTGCCATCTTTCTCACGCTGCTTTCGAATTTTAAGACCCATTTAAAAATGCAGATTGAGGTGAGAGACTTTTTATCTGTAGTTTGCATATGCTCTAGTTCTCACATTTAAATACTGCAGTGGTAAAAAGGCAGCTGGAACTTACAAGTTAATGCCTTAGTTTGGTTTGCTTACTGAACTAGTACATTGCTACTGTATTCAAATTCTAATATGCATGAAATGATACTCTTCAATTGATATGTACTGTTGACATCATTCTAATAAGTTTCAGATTACCAAGTCCTTTATCTTATTTATGTTGCAGGTGTTCTTCAAAGAGATCTTCCTGAATATTCTAGAGACTTCTTCGAGTTCCTTTGAACACAAATGGATGGTGATTCAGACTTTAACTAGAATTTGCGCAGGTATTTCCATTGTAAAAAACAATCACTTCCTCTGGCAGCAGATGAGAATTATTTTGAAGACAAAAGCCACAAAAGCCAATAATGTTTAAGTTTGAAAATTTGAATATGATCCCAGAGTGCTTGGGTTAAATGTCTGGATTCATCCCCACTGCCTGCTCCAGCTGGCTGATTCCTTTTAAAAATGCTGTATCACTGAATGCTGATACTTGTGTTTTCTTTATTTTCAAGATGCCCAGTGTGTAGTGGATATTTATGTGAACTATGACTGTGATTTAAACGCTGCTAATATTTTTGAGCGCCTGGTGAATGATTTGTCCAAAATTGCGCAGGGACGAAGTGGGCATGAGTTGGGCATGACGCCTTTACAGGTAAGGAGAACAGCTTGGAAAATAAGGTACTGTTGTTTCATAAACACTGCTGTCCCTGCATCCCAACTGATACCACCAGGGGTTCATGTTGTCTGTAACCTACTCATGTTACTCACATTTTATTAGTTTGCTAATTTGCTGCTGAATCCTGAAGCAGTGCCATTAACTTACTTGGTGATTTTGCTGCCTGTTTGCACTGTGAGACCAGACTGGTTCTGGGCTCTTTGGCTGGGCTGCTATGGCAAAGAGAACCAAACAAACCTTTCTCTGCCTCACTCAAACAACTTCCCTTCTGGGGCTTATGAACCAGCATCTTGAGTTTGCTTTGCACAGACTTTGTGCCATATCTCCACCAGAAGTATTTTACTTTCCTAGTCCTTAGAGGGAGACTGGTGAAGAAACTGTTTCCAGCACTGTTTGTGGTTTGGTTTTGGTTTTTATTTTATTGTTAGTTTTCTTCATGTTTTAGGAGCTAAGCCTGAGGAAAAAAGGACTCGAATGTTTGGTTTCCATTTTGAAATGTATGGTAGAATGGAGCAAAGACCTTTATGTGAACCCCAATCATCAAACTGGCTTGGGTAAGAATGTTTCCATATAGAGAGACTAGTTTGTCTCATCAGTTTGTCCTTGTGTTTGTTCAGTGTTTAGAAGCTATTCAGCTCTTGACTGAACAGGAAAACTTACATCTTGCCTTGTTTATAAACAGGTTCATACAAACCATCTGAACAGGAAATGGCTGAAGGTAAATGCCTGGAGAGTGGAGGGAGACGGAGTAGTGTCAGTTCCTTGGACTCCACTGTGTCATCAGGAGTTGGAAGTGTTGGTACTCAGACTGCTGTCCCAGATGACCCGGAGCAATTTGAAGTCATCAAGCAACAAAAGGAAATAATTGAACATGGGATAGAACTGTAAGCCCAGTATGACAGGAAAACTAAAGTTCACTAGTAAAAAAATGTGTGCAACCATATTGTTTCTTACAGTCTCACCCAGTCATACCTGTAGGGACACTTACAAATTGAACTTAATGCTGAAGACTCTTGCCTGCTGTGGTCAAAAACCAGTGCTGGAGGCTGTTGTAGTTAAAAGGAATTCCATAAAATCTTGGGTGGTGTGGAAGGTGTTTTCACAGCTTTCCTTTCTGCTGGTTCAGCTGCACAGAAGTGTGTATGCCTAGAGAGAAATTGGTTTGAGGGGCAGGGTTATCTTACAGATCTTACACCATTTATTGTCTTCTATTGAAATAGAGTTTGGAGAATCGTTGTCCAGCTATGCTTTACTTCTTTTTAATTAATTTGAAGATCTTCATGTCTGTAAATGCTAGACAAAGGTCTTGAACAGTGACATTTTTAAATGAGTTTTTCATCAGTAACTTAAAAGGCTGTCAGCAACTGAATGTATCTTAAGAGATAGAGCCTATGGTGTGATATAAGTAATAGATTTGTTGCACTTTCTTCGACTTCTTTTCTAACTAGAAAAAAAAGACATGGAACTACAGCACAGAAGCTTTGGTTTATAAGGGCTCTGTAAAACTGAAACTCTATGGGCTGTGATATTTTTAATTGCATGTCTCAATTTCCCATGTTTTTGTCTGAATAGGTTTAATAAAAAACCGAAGAGGGGAATACAGTATCTACAGGAGCAGGGAATGCTTGGCACTACAGCTGAGGACCTGGCACAATTCTTGCACCAAGAGGAACGCCTCTGTTCTGTAAGATGACTGCAGCATGAGATAATGAACACACTTGCCCCTTGTACCTTCTCCCTTGTCCCTGCTGTCTGTGTACACCCTCTCTGTAGTGCCTGTCTTAGTAACAGAGCCTGAACGTGCAAGGCTTCTCATGGAGACACTTAATGCCAAAGCTCCTGACTGTTGGTTGCTGTCCCAGGCTTTCTAGTAAAATATTGTGTTACAATAAAGTGCTGGAGGGTTCCCCATAAATGGAACGTGCATTTCATCTGTCTCTGCATTAGCAGCACCTTCCCAGCACACAAGTATCATGCACTGCAGTGGCAAAGCATTCCCTGCTGCTTGTGAACCCAGGCACAGCTCAGCTTTTGGCTCTGCAGTAATGCAGACCTTGCCCTTGGAAGTGAGGGAAGCAGGGCTATGCAGACTGAGGGCATGTCCAATGCCCCTGTCTCTTGCCACCCCTCCAAGGGCTGCTCTGCCCACCCAGCGACGCGTGCCAGCCTTACAAAACTGAACTGTGCAACTCCTGGGCTAGAAACCTTCTTGCAAAGCTGGCAGTTGGATTGCACAGTAACAACTGTCTCTTGTGTTTTTAGACTCAAGTAGGGGAATTTCTTGGGGAAAGCAACAAGTTTAACAAGGAGGTGATGTATGCCTATGTAGACCAGCTTGATTTCTGTGGAAAAGACTTTGTCTCTGCTCTGCGGATATTCCTGGAAGGTTTTCGTCTGCCGGGTGAAGCCCAGAAGATCGACAGATTAATGGAGAAGTTTGCTGCTAGATACATTGAGTGCAACCAACGGTAATTCACACCTTTGTGTTGGGCAAATGCCTGAAGAACATTCCCTGCTGTGCTGTTTGGTGGCCCTTAGTGACAAGGGGTAACTTAAGCTCGTACCAGGCTTGTGTGAGGAGCAGATCTTGCTGCTGATCCCGGTGCTGAACCTCCTCAGCAGCTGGGCAAGATGGAAACTTTGGATAGGAAGTGTACTGATCCTGGCATTTCCTTAAATCCTGTTACTGGAGAGGATTTACCAGAAGGAATTACTGGCAGAGGGAAGCCCTAAGTATGTGAAATTGTCTCTGTATTAGCTGTTCTGTTTTTAAACAAATGTAGATCAGTCAAACATAAAAAACAGTAGAAGCAGTTGCTAAAATTAAAAATTCATGACATAAACAGCTAATATGACATTACAATGTTTTTGCTTGCCCGTCAGATATGGAACAAAGTGTGTATATGTTATTTGATACCAAATAGGCAATGTTGCTGTTGTTCCTGATGTGATAAACTAGCACTGAAGTTTAGCTCTGTGTCAGGCTTAATGGATTCCCATTCCTTAGTTCAGGTGGTACATCACTGGGTTGGTTTTGTCATTCTTTAGGAAACACTGGGAGTGGAAATTAACCTGTTTTGTAACTTTTGTGGGATTACCCAAAGAAGGATAACGTATAATCTTTAGAGAATGTACTTTGAAAATCTTGGTCACCACTAGTTTTCAGTATTGTAGAGATGATGCTTTTTTTCTTTTAATTTGCATTTTAAACCATCTGGGACTTGAAGTGTTTCTAACTGCTGGCTTCAGGCTTTGTTAGCACTGTGGTTGAATCCAGAGCACTTCTGGGTATTTTTCTTGCATGTAGAACTAGAGCTAATGGATTGAGGAATTGAGGCTCTATAAACCTCTTTTGTTTTTTCCTCCCTCAGGCAAACACTATTTGCTAGTGCTGACACTGCCTATGTTTTGGCATACTCCATTATAATGCTGACTACAGACTTGCACAGTCCACAGGTAGAAATTTAAAAAACCCAAACTTCTAGAAGTTCAAATCTCCCTGGAACTCGCATTCAAAATCTGATATCCAACTTGCATTCTTTTTTACAGGTAAAAAATAAAATGACAAAGGAGCAATACATTAAAATGAATCGAGGAATCAATGACAGTAAAGACCTGCCAGTAGAGTATTTATCCACAATCTATGAAGAAATAGAAGGAAAGAAAATCGCCATGAAAGAGACAAAAGAATACGCAATTACAACCAAGTGTAGTAAACCAAGTAAGAAGAAACTGTTTGCAAGTTTCCTGAATCAAAATAGGAAGAAAATTAATTTGCTTGAAAATTGAAATTGCAGCCTTTAGTATAAGGATAAGGAAACACTAAGTTATTAATTTATTTTTCAAGTTAACGAGGGCTAGTTTTGTTTTTGGGGATGGGAAACTAAGAAGATGAAGGATTTTCTATCCATTTTTAGAGGCAGAATGACTGGGTGTTCCCCTCAGGTGTGGCCAATGAGAAGCAGCGGAGGTTGTTGTACAACTTGGAGATGGAGCAGATGGCGAAGACGGCCAAGGCCCTGATGGAGGCGGTGAGCCACGCCAAGGCCCCCTTCACCAGCGCCACCCACCTGGACCACGTCAGGCCCATGTTCAAAGTGAGTGCCAGGTTCTCACTGGGGCTTCGTCACCAGGAACTTTAAGTATGGGGAAAAAAAGTGAAAAATTACTCTGAAGAGCTTGGTAATGCAACAGCTGGACTCTTTGGGTGTATTTGATTTCAGTGACCCAGCGTTTTGGGCTAAAATCGGAACAGACTTCTGAACTTCCTTTCTTCCTCTCTTTAGCTCGTCTGGACTCCATTGCTGGCAGCTTACAGTGTTGGCTTGCAGAACTGTGATGACACAGAGGTTGCATCTCTGTGTTTGGAAGGAATACGCTGTGCCATTAGGATAGCCTGTATCTTTGGAATGCAGGTTGGTACCGGACTTAGCCTGGGACTTGCTAAGAGTTCTGAGAGGCAGGTGAAGAATCACAACCAACTTATATGTAGAAGATGAATTGTCTCATCTGCTTTCTTGAATTGATAAAAGATCTTGATATAATCAAATTTTTTTCAACTTTGCTTTCCTTTTTATTTGCTGAGTCTTCTATTGAGAGCGTTTGCTAACTGGCATCCTGCTCTCCTTTAGCTGGAAGGTGTTCTAATAGTGCCTGCTATCCATGGAAGGAAAATTGTGTAGGCAAGTTACTTTCTCTGCTTCTTCAGGGTCTGATGATGATGCCTGTTTCTCTGTCTCATAGCTTGAACGAGATGCTTACGTACAGGCCCTTGCTCGATTTTCCTTGTTGACTGCCAGTTCCAGCATTACAGAAATGAAACAGAAGAACATTGATACCATTAAGACACTCATTACAGTTGCTCACACAGATGGCAACTATCTCGGGAATTCTTGGCATGAGGTAAATATTGATTAGGTTAAATAGTAAACTGTGGTGTCCTTTGTAAACCTGAAGGATATTTTTTCTTCTATCAGCTCCCAGAATCCTCGTGAAAATGTGGAGGAAGTGCATTATATTGTTAGTGGGATTTTTGATATAAATGTATGTGCATATACACACACATATATACAAAATAATGCACTACTGTTTTTCTGGAAGACCCTGTAGAGACTGTGTGACAATACTGTAATTTTTGAGGGTGTGTTTGATATGAAGTTAAAAAAATATTAAAAATGTTAATTGGCTCCAGAGAATTCTGCACATCAACTACTGTATTCTTGTTCATGGAAACAGAAATATTCTAGTTCACAGGTCTGTGTGCAGTGTTTGACAACATTACTCCTAAGAGCATGAAAAATTAGGACTGAAGTAATTTGGTTGGGGATAGGTAAGGAGAGGCTATTGGGATCATAGGTATTTTTAAAGAGCTCCTGGAAAATAGGCTTTAATGAGCTCTAAACGTGTGCTGCTGCTAAAAGGGGCATTCTTGCTGCATTATGTTCTCTGGCACCAGTCTTGGGCTACATGGTATGAGCCAAAAGGTGCTGCAGCTGACAGTGCCTTGGACCTGGCTCAGAGCACACCCTGCCAAGTGCCTGTGCCAGGCCAAAGATGGAGGGGGGGAAGGAGGAGGGAAAAGATGGGGAATTTTGTGCTGATGGCTGATTGACAGCATGAGCATTTATGCTGTCTAGGTTGGACCATCATTACTTTAAGTGGTGATGGCTGCAATGATTCAGTCTGTTCATCTCTCTGGAGATGAACGATGGACATTAAAGTCTCTAGAAGATCAGCTCCAAGTTGTTTATAGTCTTGATGCTGTGAGAAGTAATAAAAATGTTTCCTGTAGTAGTTAGTGGTCCAAGTTAGATTTTTGGGCCCTCTTTATTTTATTCTTGTTCTGGAATGATTCACGGTGGCTGATCTTGAATGAATCACTCAACTTCATTTTCAGTTTTATTGGTAACGTTTCAGCTACATCAAAGCTGTTGTCGGGCCAAAGTTGTTCTAAAGGTTGGAGAACCCGGAAAGGTTATAAATATTAAATATATATATCTGCTAGGAATAAAAATATGGTGATGTCCAAAAACACAATGTTTAATTTCTTTTGGTTGTAGATCTTGAAATGTATTAGCCAGCTGGAACTGGCCCAGCTCATAGGAACTGGCGTGAAAACTCGGTATTTGTCTGGCTCTGGGCGTGAGAGGGAAGGCAGCATTAAGGGCTATGCCTCTGCAGGGGAGGAGTTTATGGGCCTGGGATTAGGTAAGATGATTCATCCTGGACTTCACAAAGGTGCACATGTCAATGAAGTAGGATGGCTAAGAATACTCAGTGTTACAAGATATTCAAATATATTTACTTACTTCCAGAGGAAGCTGTATTGGATTAATGAACCTTAAAAAAAAAAAAAAAAAGCAAATGTGTATTTCAAGATGTGTTTGTAATTACCAAATCTGCTCTAACTTTGGAATTGGGTTAAGCTATTTAACAACTCCTCCAGATTTATCTGTTGGAATGTACTGTTTTCAAAACTGTTTCACCACACTGAGTCATGGTTTTATTACAAGTATTATCAGTTATTTCTTTTTATGCTCAGTTTTTAATAGTAAACCATTTATCTTTAGGAATTAATAGATGTTTCAATAGATGTTTCAATTTCAATTGGTTTTCCAAAGGAATTTCTGATCTCTGCATGTTGGGCTTGCTGTTCCAGTTCTTGTTGTTTCTGCAGTATGTGCAAGAAACAAACCTTAGATTTAAGGCTGTAAATTAGAGGGACAAGGCAGGTTGCCTTAATCTTTGGAAAACCATTAAGGAAACATTTTAATTTGAAAATACTCTGGAGTAGATTATATACATGATGATGATGAATACAGAACTGTCCCTGGCATTAACTACTTGTAGCTGACTTATAATTCATATTTTAAAAGAATATTTTGTGATTTCCAATGTTATTAACAGCATCATATCATCTTTACTTAATAAACATGATGTTTAACTTTGTAATAAAAATCTGGCACAGACCTGGCAAGGGCACCATCTGCTCCTTGTAAATGACATGGTAACTGGAAGCAGTAGTCACTTCTCTTTGTCTACTTGTTTAATGTTGAGGTTAATATCAAGTCACGATTTCAAGATGCTAAATGCAGGTTTTTAATGGCTTTTATTGAAGGGAACCTGGTTGGGAGTGGGGCTGATAAACGGCACATGGCGAGCATCCAGGAGTCCGTGGGGGAGACCAGCTCCCAGAGCGTGGTGGTGGCAGTGGACAGGTACTGAGAATGTAACCTCTGCACTCTTTTCTAAATCGTTATCTTCGTCAGCTCCCTTCTGAAATGTTGTCTAAAGATGTGCTTCTGTCCTAAAGCTTGGGTTGGAACTGGACTTAATAACCACTGAAATTATTGTGTGAGTCTGTAGAGTTACACATGTGGGCTTGCAGCATTTATTCTAACATAAATGTGTCTGTTACCACATCAAAGTCCAAAAGATTTGGGACTGCTGTCAGTGGTTCTGAACTCCACTTGAGACTGAACAGCTGAAGGGGGAGAAGGGACAACAGTGCATCCTTAGTCTTCCTCCAGTCTGTTTCGGCAGCCACTGCTGACCATATTCCCATACCATGTAAAGATCCAGCAGGTGGCTGGCATCCAAGTCTGGCAGCAAAGCTTTCTTAATGTCTTTTTATTGCCCCTGTGGAATTTATCATACTGCCACTGAAATGAGTGTTGCAGCATTACTTGCTCTGGATAAAATGGTGAGCCTGTGCCTGTTCCTGCAGCAGAACATGAGCACAGGACACTGTGACTTGGAGCAGGGAAGAGAATGCTTAGAATAAGGGGAAGGGCATAAACTGCTGCCAAGGAGTATGAATAAAACAGCTGCAGAGTTCATGGCATGGAGGGTTATGAAGTACCCCAGGAGATGTGCTGACCTCTTTCTACAACACTAGGATGTGTTTGACTCTTGTGGACACACAGCTGAAACTCCAACTCGTTTCTTTGTTCCGTAGGATATTTACAGGCTCGACTCGGCTGGATGGGAATGCCATAGGTACGTACTGAGAACAGGGGGGCACAGGGGCCCTGCAGTGGAACCCCTGGGCTCACAGCAGGCCTCTCCTGTGCAGTTGACTTTGTGCGGTGGCTCTGTGCCGTGTCCATGGACGAACTGGCTTCCCCGCACCACCCTCGCATGTTCAGCCTGCAGAAGATCGTGGAGATCTCCTATTACAACATGAACCGCATCAGGCTGCAGTGGTCCAGGATCTGGCACGTGATTGGAGATCACTTCAATAAGGTGATTGTTAAAATCGAGTTACAGAACATACATGAATAGCAGGATTTCTTTAATCAGCTTTTTCCTTCTGTGTCCTTTGTGGCTTAAGCTGTGATATTGGAAAAAAAAAGTTCCATTCAAGGCACCTACAGGAAGCACCTATTTAAAAATCTAAAATGTATAAATAGAAATGGAAATGTTTATGGTAATGAGCTTTAATCACTTTTTGTATTTGTAATTTTTCTTTGTCTTGTCTTTCTGAGCAAGTGCCAAGTTAGTTTCCTCTAAAATGTGCTCAGATGATCCTGGAACATTTGTTGTTTTCCCTGGCAACCAAACCATGTTTGGGTGGGATTTTTTTTAACCTACAGTTTTTATTTTATTATTTTTTAGCATCTAGCTGGCTATTGTAGTTCTGCATTGTTGTATACAAAATCCACAGGTCTGTTTAGATGGATCAAATCACAGAAAACCTCCTTCAATAGGAACCCCCATTTCCTAAATATCTGAACACTAGAACGTGCCAGCGATTTTTAGGGGGCTGAGATGGAACTGGAATGATGGATCTGTTACTCATATAAGTGATACATGAGCTGACATGATAAGTGTTTGAAACTATGCTTTTGTCCTAGGTTGGGTGTAACCCTAATGAAGATGTCGCCATCTTTGCCGTAGACTCATTAAGGCAGCTGTCAATGAAGTTTCTTGAGAAGGGAGAGTTGGCCAACTTCCGCTTCCAGAAAGACTTCCTAAGGCCTTTTGAGCATATTATGAAGAAAAACAGGTGTGAGACACTGCACCCTGTGCTTTGTCTTTCTTTAGTCCTGCTTAAGGATGTCACTGGGTGTGGGTAAGGCGGTCGAGCGCGTGGAAGTGGGGCAGTTGCTTTGTGCCAGTGTTAAGCCTTGCTTTCCTTTGTATTTTTTGAAGATCTCCGACTATTCGGGACATGGTGATACGCTGCATTGCTCAGATGGTGAACTCTCAAGCTGGTAACATTCGTTCAGGCTGGAAAAATATCTTTGCAGTCTTTCATCAAGCGGCATCAGACCACGATGGGAATATCGTGGAGCTGGCCTTCCAGACTACAGCACACATAGTTAGTAAGTAGTGCTTGACAGATGCAAGTACCCAAATTAGCTTTGCCGCTGTGAGGCTGCTTTAAAGGGCTCACCTGAACAAGCCAGTTGCATTTCCAGGCAAATAAACACAAGAACTTGCAACCAGATTGTTTAACTCTGCAGCTGAGTCATACACCCTTTAAGTCTCACGTTTGCTATGAACAGGAAAAACTAGATACAGATATTGTGCTGTAGAACTTTGGAATGCAGTTGGTGGGGTGGGATTGGGAAGAATGCAAGGGAAGGTAAAGAGCCATATTAAATGTAGAAGATCTGGTCTCTCCACGTTTGTCCTGTAGTGTGTACCATGGTTGGCATGTCTAGATCGGTGCAGTTTATCTGTGGATTTCAATACCACTAAATTTTAAGATGTGCATTTGTTTGTTCTTCACAGCAAATATTTTCCAGCAGCATTTTCCAGCTGCAATTGACTCATTTCAGGATGCAGTAAAATGCCTCTCTGAGTTTGCCTGTAACGTTGCCTTCCCGGACACCAGCATGGAGGCCATCAGGCTTATTCGCTACTGTGCAAAATATGTCTCGGAGAGACCACAGGTATACTGGAATTCTTACCCTTGTGCATTCTCACTCTCTCTTCTGCTGGTAAACAGAGACTAATCTTGTTTCCAAGAGTGAGCTTTCAGACTTCAACTGCAAGTGTTGGTATTAAAAGCTTATTCGGATGTAGGAGTAATTTTGGTATTATGTAAGCAGTAAACTAGGGCTAATTAAAAAACAAAGTCTTAAAAAGTCCAAATTGGAAATAACTGAATGAAGTAGTCCTTGTTTGGTTTTTTGGTGTTTTTGTAGTGTTAGGATGACCTGGAAAGCAATACCTCTTGTTCTGTCACCCTAATTCTGCCTAGTTTAGTTGGTTACAAACTTGCATATTTTTCTACATCAGTCTATTGTGTGAATGCTGAATATAATAATCACTTGGCTGAAGAGAGCCTGGAGTTCATTGCAGTTGCATGCCCCCAGTGCACACTCCGTTCAGGGTACCAGACAAGTGTAGAACTGGTTTCTGCCAATTTTAGATTTCCTTGTTACCTATATTTATATGACAGTTGTCTGTCCTGCTTAAAGTTGCTTTCTAAAAAGTCCAGACCTTGATAACTTGTAAGGCCTTTAGCTGGACTGAAGTAAACCAGATTGAAATATTTATTTTTGTATATTTTTTCCAGTATTTTTGCAAATAGTTACATTTATATTTTACAGGATTCAAGGGTTGCAGTAGGAACTAAGCTAACTTTCCAAGTCTGTCTGTGCCACTAGTAGTATCTAAATCTGTCACATTTAAAGATCTTTTAAGATTGCTGGTTTTAAAACTACTTTTTTTCCTGCCCACCTTGAAGGTTTTAAGAGAATACACAAGCGATGACATGAATGTGGCTCCCGGGGACAGAGTATGGGTCAGAGGATGGTTTCCCATTTTATTTGAACTTTCTTGTATCATCAATCGTTGCAAATTAGATGTTCGGACAAGGTAATAAAGCCTTTATCTTTTCCCCCCTTTTTTTTTTTTTTATTAATTCAGTTAGTAAAGAGATCATTGGAACTCATTGTAACAACTGTTCCTTTAATTGTTTGGGGTTTTTTTATAGAGGCTTAACAGTGATGTTTGAAATCATGAAGAGTTACGGGCATACCTTTGAAAAGCACTGGTGGCAAGATCTGTTCAGAATTGTGTTTCGGATTTTTGATAATATGAAACTCCCTGAACAACAAACAGAGGTAAAACCTGAAAAAACCCTCAAAGCAAGCACTTTTTAGAGTTGTGCTTTTAAGGACTTGCACAACCAAGACAGCAGTTTGTATGGTTTGTCTTGTCAGTGTATTGCCAACCCATGGTGCCCCAGCCTTTACGACACGTTTTGTGTTCTGTTGAGTTCTGTGGCGTGAATGAAACTTGTCACAGTGTCCAGTGACCTCTCTGTGTGTTCTGTCTGTCTGATTATTTTCAAGGGGAGTGTTCTCTGTTGTGAACATGTGCATTTTTCTGAGCCGTGCTCATGTGGCCACCTAAGAGCTTCTGACAAGACACCTGCAGTCGTGAGGCTTCAGTTTTATCTGGGTTCTCCTCCTCCCCTCAGAGGCCGTGTCTTTGGTTGAGCAGCCAGGTATAAATCAAGTCATCATGGAGGGACCCACATAAACCCAAAGGTTTTCCGTTTTCTCCCCAGAAATCCGAGTGGATGACCACGACGTGCAACCACGCGCTCTACGCCATCTGCGACGTGTTCACCCAGTTCTACGAGGCTTTGCACGAGATCCTTCTTCCTGACATACTGACACAGCTACACTGGTGTGTAAAACAAGGTACCTTATTTACTTGTATCTCTTGATTAAATCTATTTGTAAATGTTCACTATTCAAGGAGGGGAAAGGTATTTGGGAAGGAGGAATTTGGGAAGAATAGAAGCTACCATTGGGGGACAAAGTGTTATGCAGTATATTGATGCAGTATCTTGAATATTTGAGCACCAATCTGTTTAATGAGTTAGGCAGCTCTTCTGTTACTGTGGTCATAATGTGCTCGTGGTGTTATTGTGACACAGCAAAGGCTTTTGGAGGGTGGTGTTCATCCTCTGAGCCTTCTGCCAACAGCTTTCTCATTTGACTGCAGGGATGTGTTAACTTCTTTATTTATACACATAGGTATTTCCATACATTCTGGGTTTTTTCCTTTTTTCCTTTTTTCTCATTGTACCTTTCCCCCCTTCTCCCACCCATCGAGTGCTTTCAAATACAACTTCCTGAAGAACATGTTTTCTTTCAGGCTCCAACTCCTACACCTGAAATCCTGCATGTTGGCAGCATGGAATCTGGGGGGATGATCTTGCAGGAAATCATAAGTTTATAATTGCTGCTTTTCCTTCCTTTGTCTCACTGGGTGTTTACTTTCTGCTTCTGTCCTGTCCTTTGTCTTCCCTGGTTGGATTTCCTTCTTGTGAAGGTTGAAACTATTTTTTATTCAGTAGGTTCCTCGGCTTGATATTGTTGTAACATACTTTACAGGTAGGCTTTGAGCCAAGACATCATGCATTTCACAGTACTGATACAAATTGTTAATGGAGCAGTAATAGGGAATGCCTAATTTTTCACTGATATTGTAGACGTTGATGTTCCTTTTCACAGAGAATGAGCAGTTGGCGCGATCCGGTACAAACTGCCTGGAAAACCTGGTAATACTCAATGGACAGAAATTCAGCCCTGAAGTCTGGGGCCAGACGTGCAACTGTATGCTAGAAATCTTCAAAACAACTATTCCTCATGTGTAAGTTCATACATTTAATTCTTACACTAATACCCAATTCCAGAGCAACAATATTTACCTTTTTTGTTTTGTTCTGTTTGTTTGTTTTTTTTGCTCTGTGAAGCTTGCTGACATGGAGGCCTGTGGGAATGGAGGAAGATTCAGCTGAAAAACACTTGGTAAGAGTTAATTCAGGGCAATAAACTGACTTTAAAGGGGTTTGTGTTAGGTCAGCTTTTGAAATATTCTGTTGTAGTCAATACACTGGACAAGGAATAGGCAGTATTTGTTGTCATTGTAAAAAAGGGATGTAAAGAATGGATTCAGGAAGCCTTTGAATCTAAGATGAGTGAAGTCATTAAAAACTGATAGCTGGTAGAGGGTTAGTGTTTTGGATTGCTGGAATTGCTCTGCATTCTCTTCTAGGATTTGGACCTAGATCATCAGTCTTTAAGCAGCATGGATAAAAATGCTTCTGAAAGAGGACAAAGTCAATATTCAAATCCAACAGATGAGAGCTGGAAAGGTGGTCCTTATACAAGTAAGGAGAATGGGCAAGCTTTTTCAATGCATTTTTATAGCCAATCTTAGTTCACTTCTGTAGTTCTGTACAGAAAGTTTTGGGGCAGTTAAACCTGGGGTTCATCTTTGCAGCTTGTGCTTATGCCCTGCAGAGAGATTTTCTCTTTAGAAGATAATTCATAGCATCACTAACTATCGAAATGCTAATGGCAGTGTCCTGTTTTGTTAGCCTGTTGTAAGTGAACTGGTGTGAGTTGCTTCTGAAACTTGTGTTGCTCCATTTCATTAGACCAGAAACTGTTTGCCGGCCTCCTTATCAAGTGTGTGGTGCAGCTGGAGTTGATACAGACCATTGATAACATAGTGTTCTATCCAGCAACAAGCAAGAAGGAGGATGCTGAGCACATGGCTGCAGCTCAGGTACCATCAGACTTACCTGTGACCTTGTTGTGGCAGTGAAATACAAACTATGGAATGCTCTGATGTGTATTTTCAAAATAGTCTCTTCCTTTTTTAACTGGAATTTGGAGTTAGGTGTGGGTCATGGCATGTGCTCTCTCTCCCCTGCCCCTTAGCGAGACGCGCTGGATGCAGATATCCACATTGACACAGAGGACCAAGGAATGTACAAACACATGTCTTCTCATCACCTCTTTAAGTTACTGGATTGTCTGCAAGAGTCTCATTCATTTTCAAAAGCCTTTAACTCAAATTATGAGCAGAGAACTGTGTTGTGGAGAGCAGGTGAGGCTTTTGTTCTTATTTGATAAAAACGCTGAGCTCCACTTCAGCTTTAACTGTTGCAACACAAGAGTGTGACTTGCAATAACCTCTATGGTTCAGCTGAAGGTTGCATGCTTTTGTTTGCTAAATTACCTGCTTTGTTTGATTAAAGTAGAGCTACACAGCTAGTACTGCTGTAGTAAAATGTCTTTATAAATAGATCAAGTCTCAATCAAAATCAAAGAGGAGGCAATACTATCTGGACAAGAAACCATTACTAGTCACTAATGCAGGTAGTGTGGATAAACTTTATTTTTGGCCAGTAACTCCAAATGTGAATGTTCCCTCTCTTCCCCTGTGGGGCTGATCTCTAGGGTTCAAGGGTAAATCAAAACCCAATCTCTTAAAACAAGAGACCAGCAGCTTGGCGTGCTGCCTGAGGATCCTGTTCCGGATGTACGTGGATGAGAGCCGGCGGGACTCCTGGGATGCGGTTCAGCAGCGACTGCTCAGGTAGGAGAGCCTGGGGACAAGGGGTGTTCCCCTCAGCCACCACAGCCCAGCCTGGGGATAAACGGCTCAGTGTGTGGAGATGACCATGGATAGACAGATACAGCCACTATTAATTAATTTAGCAATAAGGAAGCAATCTACGCACCTTCTTGATTGACATAGGCTTTTCTTTATAGAAGTGAGGGTGTTTGAATACGTTTCCCACCCGAGTCCACAGTGACAGTCAGAGGTATAATAGGATACAGTAATCTAAAAGGAATGCAGTATAAACTGCTGCATACCTGGAATTTAAACAAATGTAGAAAATCATGCTAAATAAATGTAAAAAGGTATTTGGATGGGTTAATTACTGATCTCTGATCAAATATGAAGATCTTCCAAACCTGCTATTGGCACTATTCCAGTGGATTCTGATCTACCAGCATCTGTGGACATGTTAATCTGCTTAGTGTGTAAAAGGGAAGATTTCATTCCTTCTTTAATTGTGTCCTAAAATAGCCATAGTAAGTGGTACAGTTTGTACCTTGTGTTTACTGTCTGCAGCAGGGACCAAAAATGTATTAATACAATAATAATTCCTCTTTAATCCGTGACGCTGAGCTCTGCAGATCTTTGTTAAACCAGCCTAGATTTGGAGAGTGAGCTCTCTCACGGTGCTGTTGCTTCAGCTGTCCCAATATGAGGGTCAGGAAATAGTGTGTGCAGGTTGAAGGTGACAGAACTTCAGTTACAAAATATTTTATTGGGCAAATCAGGCTTTTCTTTCTCTGTCTCCATGGTTCTCTGTTGCCAACATGAAAAGTATTTTAAGTTATCTGGAACAACTCCTGTAACAGAACAGACCAAACAAATTTATGTAGTTAAAGTTGTTGCATGTGATTAAAAACTTTCCCACTGAAGTGCATCTTGTTGGAAAACAAGATACACTGAGAGGACAAACTGCATGTTATAAAAAACTTTATAAGGGTTTTCTTTATGGTTTGTGTGAACTGTGCTCTCTCTCCAGTGTGTGCAGTGAAGCCCTGGCATATTTTATTACTGTCAACTCAGAAAGCCACAGGGAAGCCTGGACCAATCTCCTGCTGTTGCTCTTAACAAAAACACTAAAAATCAGTGATGACAAGGTAAGAAGGGGCTGGAAGTCATGTCTGTCTGTGTTCAGGTATTTTTTTTTGTTCCTGCTTCAGTCTGAGTTCAGTCTCCAGTACTATCCATGCTGGAGGTGGCAGTTCCTCATGGTGAGTGCTCTCCTCACAGTGGAGCAGTGGCAGCCCTGCTGTGTGCAGGCACTCTGCATTTGGGAATGGGGCTGCATCCCAGGAATTCTCAGCTGTGTGGGAATGGGGATAGAATTACTGAAGAGGTTTCACATAGAAGCACAGTGACTGTGCAGTAATGGATGGGCTTGTGCCGTGTTACAGCTGCATGGGAATGGGAGGGATGAATCTCACCACTGTGAAACGGGAATTCCAGTTCCCTGACAGTGGTGGCAGGAGTAATGCCTGGTGTAGCCGTGAGCGTGGAAAACCTCTGTGTGTCCCTGCGGCGACGGAGAATAACGCTGTGGTTTGTGTGTTGGGCAGTTCCGGGCGCACGCGGCCACCTACTACCCGTACCTGTGCGAGCTCATGCAGTTCGACCTGATCCCCGAGCTCCGTGCCGTGCTCAGGAAGTTCTTCCTGCGCATCGGGGTCGTCTTCAACATCTGCGTGACGGAGGAGCGGGGACGGACAGCGGGCGGGGGCTCACCCTCCTGGTAGCCCGGAGCGGGGCTGCAGCTCCGGCCTGTACATAAAGCTGCGCTCCAGAGATGGATTGAAGCGGACGGGGAAAAAATGGGAGCCTGGCGTATCCCCACGGCAGCAAAGTTACTCTTACCACAGTGGCATTTGGGGACGAGGAAAATAATCCTGTTCTGTCCATCCTACAAAGCTGTCAGCAGTTTTATTTAAATGATTGCTTACAGAGTCAATACAGTAGGTGTGCGGTCTCTTTGTTTCAATGCTCGTCATCTTCACGATCCGGTCTCTCTCTTCCAGTCTTTTATCCACTGCTCGGCCCTGCATCCCAGCTAGAGCTGATAAATCAGCTGGATCTCTCCACTGAAATTATGCCCCTTGGAAGTAATGACTGTAGTTGTGTAGCCTTGTGATGTTGGCTCATGTGTTCATACTAAACTTGACTGCAATGGCCAAGGACCATCTGAGACCCCTCTGGGCATTCCTCTGTGGCCAGGACCAGGCCAGGTTGGGTGTTGAAGTGGACAACCTGTAGGATATTTGGAGAGAGGGTTTTCCTCCTGTTTAGCAAGTAATTTAAAAAAAACTTCTTTTAATATCAGTACTGTATCTTCTGAGACTTATTTTTGGTTTTACGGAAGATTTTACATCAGGAGCATCAATAGCATCTACTCCCTTTAGCTTGTTAGGCTTGACTTGAAGGCAGTTAAAAAAAAAATGAAAAAGCTTTCCATTTCCTTTCATACATTGCCAGATCATGGACAGAGCATACAGAGGAACATCAAAAACAAAGCTCAGAACAAATAAACCCACCCTTTTGACCCTTGAGTACAATGTATTTAGCAGCAATTGTGACTGTTTAGCAAAAAGTCCCGTCCTTAATACAAGTTGGTCTCCATTTACTGCAGATCTGCAATGTCTGATTTGTTGTTTTGTGCAAATGATTTCTGTTCTCAGCTGTTAGTTCCTATTGGGATCTAGAAAAAAAAAGGAATTCCCAAAAACTCCAGCAAAATTAACTGAGTTCATCCATGCACTCTGAGAGTTGCTGGGCTCTGAAGGTACCTGTGAAGCGAACGTGACGTGACACCACAGCTTTACCCTGGAGAGTTTTCTTTCTTTCCTTGAACAGCATCAGGTTTCTGTGACAATGTGTCCATGACAGAATACCAGCTTGTCCTGTGAAATAATTTCAAATTTCAGGTTTTAAGTCTTCTCTAAACTGGGAAAGTGTGGCAGGGTGGGAGAAAAGGCTCCACTTCCTAAAATAATGCAAAGTGTTACATTAACTGCTGTGCTATCCAGAGTAGCAAACTTAAAATATAACAGTATTTAAAGGAAAAACAAACAAACAATAACAACCTACCTACTTGAATGGTCCTAACCTGTTATTCTGCTTTTTCAGTTGAGTTTCCTGGTAGGATGGCCTGAGTTGAGGTTGTCTTGGGATACTCCACTCTGAGCTGCTGGGAATTTGCTGTCTTTGTTGTTTTCTTTTTTGTTTGGTTGGGTTTTTGTTTGCTTTGGTTTTTGGTTTTGTTGGTTTGTTGTTTGGTTTTGTTTGTTTGGGTTTTTTTGTGAGCTATTTCCAAAGGGTTCCTATGGTGCTCCTCAGTTCATCAGCTTGTCCTATGTAAGCATTGTTTGGGAAAGGTTTTGCAGTCAGTGGTAGTGACAAGGCTTTTGCAATTTATTTTTAATTTTTATTTTTAACCAAAGAAAAATAAATGGTGGTTGTGGCTCTTTGACTTTTAAACGCCCATTAGGTTAAATCTGTTATTTAGTAGAAGGCAATATATGGCTATATATGACGATAGCAAAAGACTGAAAATAAGCAATGCTGGTATTTAACTTGTGTTTGAAATGTCCTTTTGTGTTGCATCTCATGTAGCTGCTCATTCCCTGGGAATGTCATTGCATTGGTTACTGCAGAAAATGAAGTATTTATTTGAATTCTATTTAAATCTGTAAGAATATGCTGTTCCTTCCGTCCCGGTCCTAGGTAGTTGTAAAGAAAATATTGGAATGGTTATTTTTCAGATGTGGAATGTGTCACTGCCTCATGGAATGTATTCCCTTGTGTCCCATCGGGCACAAAACTGGCCCAGCTGCACCTTCCTCCGTGTGTCACAGGTTTCAAAGCCCTACAGTCATGTCTTGAAACAAGTCTCAGTTTTGAGATCCTAAATGACTTCACACTCGCTTCGTGGGCTTTCTTTACTCTAAGGGGCAGCATTTGCACTCTCTGCATGTAGGATAAGGATGTTTAATCCATCCTTCCTTTCAGCCTTTGGTCTGAGGCTGTTCTTTTCCTAAGAAAAGCTTTTGTTGCATTTCCACCTGTTACAAACTGCTCAAGTGTGGGGTCTGTGACATCCAGCCCTCCCAGACTCCGCAGCGCGTCAGGGAGGGGACTGGGATGCAATGGGATGGTCAGAGCCTTAATCCTGTCCCATGTCTGGGGTCGCTGTCCCTGTCGGAGCACCGAGCAGGGGGTGTGCAGGTTGTGTCCACGGCACTCGTTGGTTTTCCTCAGGAACCCCCAGCCCCTCCCGCAGCGCTCCCGGCGTGTTCCCTCTCCCCGCCTGTGCTGCCACGCGGGTTTGTTGGCTCCGGTGGGACTGTGCAATACCCGGGCTGAGAACGGCACCTCTGGGACTGGGGGTGCTCCAAGGGTTCTGTAACTGCTCTACTGCAGAGACTCCCCGTCGTTGCTGTTCTGTCTCATTCCAGACCCCCTCGGGAGGGAGCGGGGGAGGATTTAACGAGGGAAACCCTGAAACTCCCTTTTCATGGTGATTGGAAACGCCCCTCGTGTTGATTCTGTTGTCTTACAGACCAGGAAAAAGTGGTTTTTACGGCAGTTTGTTATCCACGTCTCCTGTCTCACTTTCCAAACTGTAAACAGAGCAATCTCAATGTCCACTACAGCCCACACAGCCCAGATTTTAGCTGGCTTACTATTCAGAAGGAGAAAGAATAAAAATAGTAACTCTATCAAAAGTGCAGTTCCCTTTAATCTGTAAATTCAGTTTGTCCAGCACCTTTATTTGTGTAAAATGTATGTTTTCACATATTTAAAATGCCTAAGTTTTTTTTAATATCTCCATATTAAGTGCATTTACTATCAATAATTTAAAGAAGAGCATTTCTTGCCAATGGATGTATAGAGTTTTGACAGAATACCAAAATTATATAATATGAAAACCTATGTAAAGTTTTCTACATGAAAATACGATGTATAGTAGTTATAATATTCCATGCTTTAATCAAGTGATAAATCAATAAAGTTTTACGAAGCGTTGCCTCTTTGCTCCTGTGGTTCCTGACGGGGCTCCGAGGCTGTGGAGCCTCCGGGGGTTCACTGCGGGATCGGGGGGCTGGGGTTTTGTACCCGCCGCGTCCCGCTCTTTCCATGTCCCTATTCCATATCACTATCCCATATCCTGTGTCCCTATCCCGTGTATCCCATACCCCATGTCCCCCTCTCTCCGCGCTCCATATCCCGTGTCCCTATCCCACAGCCTGATCCCATACCCCGTGTCCCGCTCTCTCCGTGTCCCAGATCCCGTGTCTCTGCCCCACACCCCGTGTCCCTACTCCATACCCCGTGTCCCACATCCCGTGTCCCTGTCCCATATCCCGTGTCTCTATCCTATACCCCCTGTCCCATACCCCGTGTCCCTATCCCATATCCCGATCCCACACCCCGTGTCCCGCTCTCTCCGTGTCCCTGTCCCACACCCCGTGTCCCTATCGCATATCCTAATTCCATACCCCGTGTCCCGCTCTCTCCGTGTCCCTATCCCGTGTCCCACATCCCGATCCCACACCCCGTATCCCTATCCCACACCCCTATCCCACTCCCCCGTCCCGCTCCTCTCCCAGCGCGGCCCGGGCCGTGTGGGGGCCGCGGCTGCTCCGGGCGTTGCCGCGGGGCGCTGTGGGAAGCGCGCAGCCATTGGCGGGCGGCGGGCGCGCAGCTCGGATTGGCTGCGGGCGGCGCGCCCGGGGCCGGCGCGGCCGCTGATTGGCCGGGCGGCCGCTCGCAGTCCCCGCCCCGCGCGATGCGGTCACGGAGCCGCCGCCGCGCCCCCGCCCCGCGGTTTGAATGTGAAGCGCAGCCGGAGCGCTCGGAGCCGCCGCCGCCGCCGGGGGGACCCGCCAGGTGAGGCCGGGCCGGGCCGGGCGGGCGGCCGGGGCTGGGGTGGCCCTGCGCGCCGGCGGCCCCGCAGCCGCCCCCGCGCCAACTGCGCCCCGCACCGCGCTGGGCGCTGGGCCCGCGGCGCGGCCACAGGCGCAGCACACCCTGCTGGGCCCTTCGGCCCGCCCCCCGCCGCCCGCCATTGGCTGCGGCCGCTGGGCCTGCACGGCCCGCGCCCCTCATTGGCTGCGGCGGCTGCCAGTCCGGGGTGGCGGGAGGGGGAGGGGAGCGGGGTAGTGTGAGCGCTCGGGGGCCGCCCGGTCCCGCCGCCCCCGCCCGACCTGGAGCCAGCTTGTAGGGCCAGGCTGTAGGGCCAGCCTGCGGGACCGCCGGCTTGGGGCCAGCCTGCGGGGCCGGCCTGCCGGGCGGCGGCAGGTCTGACGGAGCGGCCCCGACCCGCCCGCGGCTGAGCGGCCTGGCGGGGCCGGTCCCGCCCGCCCCGGCACCGCCTCGTCCCGCGGGAAGGCGGTGTGGCCGGAGCGGGGCCGGGACGATCCCGGCACAGCCTCGGCACGGGAGCCGTTCCCGGTGCGGTCCCCGGGCAGGGCCGCTCTCGGCCCGGCTGGGCGGTTGTTCTCCGTCAGGGCTCGGCGTTCATTTGACCGAAGTGCGTGATGCGTTAAGCACATTTTAGGGGTTCTCGAGGCCTTTTCTGCAGGCACGTGTCATAACGTAACACAGAACACTGTACCACTCCAGCTGAAGTGCCGCCAGCGTGTTTTGTAGGGGAAAACAAACATGAAGAGCTAGGGAAGAGATAGAACAGGTCAAAATATGCTGGTGAATGTGAATTCGTGTACAACACTATGCACAAGTAAACCCCCAGAAGAAAGGGAAACGGGAGGCAGGATGCTCAAGGGGAGTATTAACTTTGTACAATATATATTGGAATCTGAATTCCTCCTTAATAATAATTTAAATCAAGAGGATACTGTTGCTGTCTTTTTAAATTCCATAGGTGCCATAGCTGATGTAAAAACTGTGTCAGTAAAGCTCACTGCCTTTGCAAGTGTGGCTGAATAAAACGGTATTTATTGCAACGATAATCAGCATAAACCAACTCCAAAATAGGACAGGTGAATTTCAGTCAATCTTACTAATCAGAAACTCCAGGGGAAAACTGGAAATCTTTGCTTCCTCGTTGCATTTATAGACAGTGAACTGTGCTGTTGGTGGCTGGAAGGACGGGCAGGGTTGATGATGGTGTCCTGAGCAACAGCGTGTCCATTAAAGCACAACTTGCTGTTGGAGTGTTACTGTAATATTAATTATTCCAATTAAAGCTGTGAAGTAAATATATCGCTGTGGTACACATGGGAATGTGCGTGGGAGGATTACTGGAGAGGAGCACTATAGAGTTACTGCACAGAGTTACTCTGTAATAAGTATTGCATTTGAATTAGCTTCCACCCTGTCTGAAATAATTTTACAGGGGGCACAGACACTCTGGCTTTGTCTCTTTATAGAAAAGTATTTTCTTTTGACATTTTTCTTTGATAATGAGTATTGGGTTTTTAAACAAGACTTGTTGAGTGTTGGAATTGTTTTATTTACAATTATGTAGGGCAGGACTATTCACCTTTTTTAACCAGGAGCAGATTCCTGAGCTGACAGCAGTTCTGAAAAACCAACCCAAACTCCTGATGTCCTGAATGGGCAGGAGATGATCGTTTGGCTGGACCTGGCTCATGTTTGCTGGCTGTGTGAGCCTCTTCTGGAGTCTGGGGTCGCTAACCCAGGCACTTACCTGTAGCTGGAGAAGTGGGATCTTTCCTGTGCCTGGTGCATGGTGGCTCTTTCGCTGGCTGGGCCTCTGCTGGTGAGGTGTCATCAGGAAGAGCTGACGTGTGGCTTCTGTGGGATCTGCTTTTACAGGTGTAGCTTTAGGACAGATTTTCTGACCTCTGCTTGTAACAAAACTGCTTGTGGGTTTTAGGTTCTGCCAAAATGGAGCTGAGTGATGCCAATTTACAAACTTTAACTGAGTATCTAAAGAAAACACTAGATCCAGATCCTGCTATAAGGCGTCCTGGTAAGTGATTCTCACGAGTGACCAAAAAAGTTCAGTTTGGTTTTGGCTCTTCTGTCTGTGTGTAGCCAACTTGTGGATGTTTATGCAATAACCTCTTACCTCTTTGCAGAAATTCTTGGTATCCTTTCACCCACCCCCCCAAAAAAAAAGAATGATGAAGGATAGATATAAATAATTTTATTTGCTTTTTGTGATTTTTATTTTTCTGTATCCTTGATTTTTTGGTACCATTGTTATTTAAAAACAGTGCTGCTGTTCACAAGATTGACTTCTCTTGGCTTATGGCTTTTACAAGTGGTGAGGAGGCAAAGTTTCCCCCTCCTGCAGGGAACTGAGAGCTGCTGGTGGTGGCAGGAGTGTGGAAGGGCTCAGCAGCAGAGGAGCTGCGGTACCTCTTGTCAGGCTGGTCCCTGTGAAGCTCTGGGGAAGTGTTTGTGTATGGGTCATTTTAAACAGACATTTGAGGAATGGTAGGACTCCCAATGCAGAAAGCAGCTTTTGCTGACCCCCTTTATGTTCCCTTGCAGCTGAGAAGTTCCTCGAGTCCGTGGAAGGAAGCCAGAACTACCCGTTGTTACTCTTAACGCTGCTGGAGAAATCACAGGAAAATGTCATCAAAGTTTGTGCATCTGTGACGTTCAAGAATTACATTAAAAGGAACTGGAGAATTGTAGGTATCCTAGTGAGTAGTTGTGCTAAGACTTGAGCATCCCCTGAGGGCACAGTAAGATATTCTGCAGTAGCCCTGAGCAGTGTGTGTGTCTGTGCTCTGGGAAAGGCAGAGTTCAGAGAACAAGGTCAAGGTGTAACTTAGTAAGAAGGGAGTAAAACCTGGGCTCTTGGAGTCAATTCTATTAAAACAAAACTGGAGCTGGGTGATAAAATGATGAACAAATATTTTTCTCTAATATTTTACAGAAACACAGTACTTAAAGCTCATTTAACTAACATTATTTAAGCTGGAATGATTGTGAAGTGTCTCTCCACATGAGCTGGCCCATTGGGCTTGTATCTGTTGTCAGGGTGTTACAAACGTCCCCAGCCAGCCCTGCAGCTCAAGGTGATGGTATCAGCTTCTCTTCTCTGCTGGGACACAGAATTGTCTGGGGGGGGTTATTTTGGTGCCCTACCAGTTTAACACCTGGAAGTATTTGTTGTGATCAAATAGAAATATTGCTGTTTAATCTCATCCTTTGTTTTGAAGAGGACAGAAACGTTTTTGATTCAGAGCTTTCAGCATTCATGAAACTTATTTAGTGGTGCAAAGTCTTGCATTGAGAGCTGAACTTCGTGAGTGATGAGAGGTTTTAACTGATACTGCTTGTACTTCACTGAAGGTCCTGTTTGTATGTGTCTGAAGAACAGCAGGTGTTTCTTTACTACAGAGAAACTGAAATATTTTATCATTACATCTTAGCTGGTACCTATTTCCAAATTGGCATGTGATTTCTGCCCTCCCCCTCACACCAACAGTGAGGAGCTGCAGCAGTCCTGGCTCTGGTTGTGCTCAGTAACATGAGCACAATTCAGTCTGCCATGACATTTCTAGAACTTTCTCTCTGTGATACTGTGTTCTTAGCCATTTCTCCCAAATTGCATCTTCTGTGGTGTATTTTAAGTAGAAGTAACGTTCTGTTATGGCAGAATTTTTGTAAGTGGCTTCTTTTTATGGATTGCTGATGTAATTCAGGCTGGGATTTTGTTTTGAAGTAGGTGGAGATGCTGTGCAGGGAGTGCATCCCGAGGGCTGTTCCGATTGCTCTGTGGCTTCAAGCACATTGTTTTGTCCAGAGTTGCAGCTTTTGTTTCAGGAGCAGCTGTCTGAACAGAAAATGCAGCCGCAGGCCTGGCTTGCCTCGATCCCGGGCTTTAATTCCGCAGCCTTGAACTTGGTGATCCAAAGCTCAGTAAAAGGGTTTTGCCTGTTCAAGGACTTCAGTTCGTTCAGGCTGGAGCCAGGGAAGAGCTTGCTGGGTTTAATTGATTTCTGAAGTATGTACACAATGTGTACTGTCTGCTTTCATTTCTTTTGAAAAGGTTTCGTTTCTTTGAGAAATCTCCTCAGTAATTCCTTAGGAGGAATTGCTGTTGGTGTTCACTCCACCACGTCTGTCATCTCTCTGAATGCCTAGCCTGAGTCCTGCCTCCCTGCTTGGAGCTTGCCTAGGACGGTTGGAAAAAACTATTGCAAAGTTTTCCAGAAAGACATCATTTCTTTCAGCTTTTCTCAGGTGCTGCTGTTCCACATTCATTGCAGGCAGTGTCTCTAACAGGTCTGGTTCTTCGGTTCTTCAGCAACGTAATAGTTACATAAATCAGTATAAGCAGTTGGTTTCTGAAATGCTGATCATCACTCATTGCCTGGAGTATGCAGAATATGCTCATGACCTAATTATTGTTTTCATTTTAGGTTGAGGATGAACCAAACAAAATATGTGAATCAGACAGGATAGCCATTAAAGCCAACATAGTGCCCTTGATGCTTAGCAGCCCAGAACAAATTCAAAAGCAGGTAACATGCCAATTCCTGGTTATATCCATGAGACTTTGGGAATATTCTAAGCATGTCTAGAGGCTTTGGTTATTTGCAGAGCTCAGTTCTCTTACCAGTGAGCTCACGCTGATCTAAATAACTTGGAGTATTTTGTTGTAGCTACTTTTACCTATCTTATTTTTTAAAGATACTTATTTTTTAAAGATAATTACTGTATAATCTTATAGTAAGTTCTAGCATTAGGCAGTTGAACAGTAATTCTAGAGTGTGAGACCGTGTGTACATGTTGAGCTTAAAGTGAGATTTTTGTATTTGTGGTGGAAAGTAGTAGATATTTAACCCAATGGTTTTTGAACCTGACAAAAACAAGCAGCATTTTGTGGGATGTTTGCAGCGGGTGGCACTGCTGTGGTTCCTGTGCTGTTCTGCCACGTAACAGCTGCATTCCCTTTCCAGTTAAGTGATGCCATCAGTATTATTGGTCGGGAAGACTTTCCTCAGAAGTGGCCAGACCTGCTGACAGAGATGGTGAATCGCTTCCAGAGCGGGGACTTCCACGTCATCAACGGGGTTCTTCGCACTGCTCACTCTTTATTCAAAAGGTGCTGGGAATAAGGGGGTTTGTGGATGGATTGTAAACTTTCTGTTCAGCTGTCAGACCTGACGTTGGAGATTTACAAAGTCTACAGTTGTGACTTCTGCATATGCCTTTAAGTGGTTATCAAATTGTACACCTTGCCTGGTTTTGAACTGTGTTGTTTACTTCTTGTTTACTTGTTTCAAAGTTCAGCACAAAAAAAAAATTAATTCTGGGTAAGTTAATTTGGTAATAAATGTGAAATATGAATTCTGTTTTTCATGTGTTTCACTTGTCAGGTACCGCCATGAATTTAAGTCAAATGAATTATGGACAGAGATCAAACTTGTTCTTGATGCCTTTGCTTTACCCTTGACAAATCTCTTTAAGGTATTTCATGTTGAATCGTTTCTAAAACAAGTTTAATGTTCTGAATTGCTTTTTGTGGGTGGCTGTAAAATTAAAACTCAAGAACAGTTGTTTTGAAGCTGTTACTGAAGTTCAAGCTAAAGTCATGAAGTGAGACCTAACAGGATTGATGAGGGGAGGAGCAATAACTGTATTTTTTGGTTAAACAAACAAACAAAAAAGTCCCATGACACTTCAATATCTTTTGGTTTTGTACTTGACTAGATCTTGCATTTTTTTCTAGGCAACTATTGAACTTTGCAGCACACATGCAAATGATGCCAGTGCCCTGAAGGTTCTCTTTTCTTCTCTCATTCTAATTGCGAAGCTGTTCTATAGTTTAAATTTTCAGGTGAATCTCCTTTTCTTTTAATGGTTTTGCTTTGGTCTCATGAAGTTGCTATGCTCTTACTATAGAATTCATTTGAGGCAACCTCTAAGGCCGTGCTTTATGGTAAAAATAACAGTTAACGCTGCATCAGCAGTGGAGTAAAGGCACGGGAAGGCTGGGGTTAATTAACAGGTTAGCTTGGCCTTTTTAGGGGAGTCTGTTTAGGGTACAAGCAAATAGTTTATTTGGACATAGTTGTATTCCAGAGCGTTTGCCAGGAGGGTTTTCATTTGGGAGGAGGAGGGAGTAGTGTTTCACTTTGAAGATTGTTTTCCTCAGGTTATTGTCCCTCAGTAGGTTACGAGGTGGATGCACTGCTTACAGTGTAGGTATGTTATCTAAGCAGTGCAGTCAGAAATTAAAATGGAGATTTATGCTTTCCCTTCACAGGATCTTCCAGAGTTTTTTGAAGATAACATGGAAACGTGGATGACAAATTTTCATACTCTTCTAACTTTAGATAATAAACTCTTGCAGACTGATGTAAGTACTGCATAAACCTCCTGGTTTGTCTCTGTGTAGGGGACAGGGTTGACTGTGAGCTTGTGTCTAACTCTGAACAAGGCAGTGTTTTCTTGACTGGGCAAACAAAGGAGTAGAATGACTGTAATGAGGTTTAAGAGAAGTTGCTAAGGAATTTGAGATTCTTAGAGCTATATGTCAGTTATAGGTAAACCCCAGCTGTGCACAGAAACCAAATGACAAATACTTGTCAGTGAGTCGCTCCTTTCAGGGACATTTGCTGAAGTAACCTGACCATTGGCATCGCTGTGCTCAGGTTTCCTGTGCCTCAGCTGGGTCATGCACAGTGTTCTAGGTTTAGGGTATCCTAAAGAGCCTGAACCACTTGAACACAGAGGGCAGGACATCCCTCAGTACTTCAGCATTTGCTGTCTTTGATTAAAGAATTAGTAATTTCCCTGGTGAAAGGTGATACCAAGTTATCAAAACTCACATTATTTTTGTGCATGCTTTCTGCATTTTGAGTGCCAAAGTCTTCCAGATACAGCACAGTAGTTTGCCACTTGATGGAGCCAAAACAACTCTATAATATAATAATTTCTTGACAGCACATAGGGAGGCATGTGAAGGGTATCTTGTGCTTTATTACCCTGCTGCTAAAAGAAGCTTTGCTGCTCTTCTCTCATCTGCCCCCAGCACAGACACTGGTGCAGCTGAACTGGGAGAGGCTGAAAGGTGGGGGTGGAGGGGAGAGGGGCAGACAGAGATGGGGTGGGGTTTGATTGGGATGGCTTTTTAACTCCCGCTCAACTTCCTAAATCACTTGTTGGTTCTAGAAGCATCTGTGCTGATCTGGAGAAGGGGAGAGAACTACAACTGTTCCAGTTTAAAGTATCATATAATGTCTTCTAAGCATATTTTTTCAGTGCCTGGTGTTGTCTTTCTCCTATTACATTTGTAAATTAATTTAATGTAAACTATTTGGTCTGAATAAAGTGCATAGTACCTTGGTTTGAAATGTGGGTATGATTTATAACTCGGAGAGCAGCTGGGATGCAGACCAGCAAAATGCAGCAATTCTAGAACACGATAAAATGATGGTGTAAATATTTCCATGAAATATATGGGTACTTTTAATGTTGAAATAGCGTTGAAGTTTGGATGTTTAAGTTCTTAGTTTTGTTTTATGTGAGGATGAAGAGGAAGCTGGATTACTGGAGCTCTTGAAATCACAAATTTGTGATAATGCTGCTTTATATGCTCAAAAATACGATGAAGAATTCCAGCCCTACCTGCCACGATTTGTAACAGCAATCTGGAATCTGTTAGTCACGACGGGCCAGGAGGTGAAGTATGACTTGGTGAGTTGTTATAAACTGATCTTGTCAGGTTTGGCAATGAATTATAAATTGATCAGTCATACTAAAGCTTTGTGTTCTGTTTGTGGTGCTACAGCTGGTCAGTAATGCAATCCAGTTTCTGGCCTCAGTTTGTGAAAGACCACATTACAAGCATCTGTTTGAAGACCAGAATACATTGACGAGCATCTGTGAAAAAGTTATTGTTCCCAATATGGAATTTAGAGGTAACTTTTGCAGATTTAAGTTTTCAAAAGCACAGTCAAAATCCAATTATAATGACAAGTTGCTCTGCAGGACCAAGAATCGAGGATTCCCTCTTGTGTACTTTGGTGCTTAGATTCAAACCCAAGTTTATGCAGCAGATTGTCCTGTGGGCTTTGTAGAATTGGATAAATATACCTGATTTTTCATGTTGAAATCCCAGTGTAGGAAGTCTAGGTCACGTGCCAGCAATAAATTTCCTTGCTTAAAGTGAGTCTCAGAATAATTCAAGGAGCCTAAATAGTCAGGAATATCAGGCCTTGTAATGTCTAGTTCTCCAGGTTCTGATGGGCTCATATTGATCCTGTTATTTACAGTGCAGTGAAGATGTATTGCAGTGATAAGGAGCTGCTCTCTTTAAAGTCTGTAGCTCTGGAAGCCTTTTTAAATACACCTAGTGTTGAATATGCCTTAGAGGTTTGGGGTTTGGTTTGGGTTTTTTTTTAATCAATACTTTGGCTCTTGAGTATGAAAGACTTAATTTGTGGGACAGGAGAAAGCTTAACAGTCTAGTCTGGCCAGATATTTCTGATTAATTTGTGTTAATGTTATAGAACAGTCCTTGGAAAAACTAGAAAGTTGTTGATGATACACCTCTTTATGTAAAAACCAGAGATCTCAGTATTTAAACTTCTCTGTATTTTATATTTTCAGCGGCTGATGAAGAAGCATTTGAAGATAATTCTGAAGAATATATAAGAAGGGATTTGGAAGGATCTGGTAATCTACAGATTTATACTAAGAACACTTGGTCTTTAAATGTAGCTCTGAAGAGCTGAAGCAATTTACTGAAGCTTTTATAACTTCATTTTGAAATTGAGGAGGTTTCCACACACCACCCCCCCCAAGAGATTTTCTCCAGTCTTGGATCAAGTCTGCCTGTCTCAGTGTCTTTGTTTTGAACAGTGTTTTTATAGGGCTTTGTCCTTAATTGGGTTGTGAGTGGTGGACAAAACTCAAGGAATGTTTTTGAACTTTTTTCAAGAAAACATTTTATCATTCTTATCCAGTATTGTCTGCCTTTTACATATCTGTAAAGCTTTTATTTGTTAGCTCCTTCTGCTTTTAAACAGAATTGAGGTAGGATGTATTTGTATTCTTCAGAGATTACTTTTTAAATGTCCTCTATTGCATTTGAATTGACTGGCTTTCTTGCTGTTTCTTCTGTCAGTAAATTGAATGGAAGGCCACAGAACCTTTTTTTTTTTTTTCCCTCTCTTGAAACAATTTTTTACAGACTTTGTTTGCTTGTGTTTTTTTGGCATTTGGGTATTTTTTACAAAAATGTCCTTACAGGTGTGGTGGGCCAGCAACTGGCTCATGCTCCACCCTGCTACAGTGGGATGAGTAGAAGTGAGAAGACTGATGGATAAAGACAGTTTAGGTGAAAGAAAGAGGAAGAAAAGAGGAGAGAAGTCAATGGCTCACCACCACCCACAAGTAGATTTTTGCCCAGCCTGTCTCTGAGCAAGGGCTACCTCTCCCCAAACCCTCTCTCCTCAGTTTTTATTGCTGAGCATGTCATTACATGGCGTGGAGTATCCCTTTGGTCAGCTTGGATCAGCTGCCCAGGCTGTGTCCCCTCCCAGCTGCTTGCCTGCCCCAGACTAACTACGGGCTGGGAAGGCAGAGCAGGAGGAAGAGGAAGCCTTGACACTGTGACAGAGCAATTCAGCAGCAGCCAAAACACTGGGTGTTACCAACAGCTTTAGTCACTGGTACAAAACACAGCACCATATGGGCTGCTTGGGAGAAATGTAACTCCCTCCCAGCTAAACCCAGCACGTCTGGGTGCACAGTGCCAAGGCAGTACCACCCCTGGGCCTGGGTGTCTGTCCTGGGTGTGCAAACAGTCCTCTTGGGACAGGGAGTAAAGACTTCAGTGTGCTTGTACACATCATTGGGGGGGATTGTAATAATTAACATGGGCTGTGGCTGTAACTTCAGCAGCTGGCTGTTAATATTTTGATTGCTGTGTTTGTTAACATGAGAAGCTGTGTGCTTTGCTGTATCCGAAGAATCTTTGCTTCTCCTGCAGATATTGACACCAGGCGCAGAGCGGCTTGTGATCTAGTCAGAGGCTTGTGCAAATTTTTTGAAGGACCTGTGACAGGGATCTTCTCTGGATATGTTAATTCTATGCTGCAAGAATATGCAAAGAATCCATCTGTTAACTGGAAGCACAAAGATGCAGCTATTTACCTTGTTACCTCTTTGGCATCCAAAGCTCAAACACAGAAGGTACTTTTATGTTCTCTTCATTGTGATCTGTATGCAGGTATCGTCGTGTGGATGGAGCCTACAGTTCAGTTTAAGCTGCTTCAGAATGAGAGTAACTGCCTGTGCAGCAGGTGATGTTGAGGAATTAATAGCTGTCCATCATACAGTCCTGTGCCAGTTGGTGAATTGGTGGTACCTGACCTGCAGGAAGGCAGGCACAGCACCTGGTGTGACTGTGGGCAGGACATGGGATCAGCCAGACAGAGAAACAAAAAACTGGCTCAAGTCTGGAACCTCTGAGTGGTCTCAAACCAGAGTCTGAAAGCCATGCAAGACAGATTTGAGACAAGCATAGTAAAACACTCTGTACAGTGTTTGATGCAATTTTGCTGAAGGTTCTCAGTCTTTTCCTGAAGTCAGGTGTGTTCTCCTGCCCAGCAGTAGTTATTAACAGTGATGTGTAATGGGGGTCAGCCTGCTAGCAACTGGGAAGCTGCAAAGTTATGCATCCTTTTCTGTGCTGCTTAGTGGTAAATATGGGGTAACATCACCTAGAACACTTCACTGGAAAATACCCATCTGAAAATCCTGATTTAAAAATACACTGCATTTTCCATAAGATAAAACTAAGTAGTCATTATTTTGCTGCTGTAATTCAGAATTGGACTTTGAGTCCTAAACTTTCCCTTTTTAAAAAGCCTATCACAAAAAAAAAAAGTACTAAGATGCTGATATTGTTGATCTAAAATTTTGGCTGCTTATTATTATATATTTGGCTGCAATAATAAGCATGGTATTATTCCTCAGCTCAGAACTGGTAACTTTGAACCTCAGAAGTGCTGCAGCTGAAATCAAGACACTAAAAACATTAAGCAGAAGAAACTGGATGACTGTCTCAAAAGATAATGCAATTTCAGCAATCTCCTCATGTGCATGCATCCTTCAGATTCCTTTTACTAAAAGCACATAAAAATGAGTAAGAAAATTAGTTGGATGTCAGCATCTAAAAACAGACTGGTTTGTTTTTTGTTTTTCCAGCATGGAATAACCCAAGCCAATGAACTTGTTAATCTGACAGAATTCTTTGTGAATCACATTCAGCCTGATTTAAAGTCTGCTACTGGTAAGTTAATGTTAATTTTAACATGGTATTTTTGTGATATGTCAGAACCTTGACAGTGACCGCTGTTCCTGAAGTCTCAAGCACTCCTGTATCAGCATGATTTCGAAGGCAGAGGCTGTTAACACTTGGCTCAGGGTTATGTGAGGTTATGCATGTCTAGATTTAAGGCACATACTTTATTTTATGCTTCAACAATTCTCTTACTATATTCGAAACATAGTGGGTTGTCTCAAAATGTGTAATTGGAGACTTTTAAACTTGGGGCCAGGAGGGGAAATTCCATCTGAAAGAGCTGGACCCTACTCTTAATGGTACTGGGGTGTGATTTGTACCAGAACTGATATTCTAACAGTGCCCATACAGAAATGCAGGAACTAAACAACATAGGAAAACATGGTCTGGATTATTTTTGAAGGGGAAAATGATGACTTAATGCCACCTCTATATATAGGATATGTTCAGTAATCACATTTCTATGGAAAGTATCTACAAAGTTTGAATGTTTTTCTATTTCAGTGAATGAATTCCCTGTGCTAAAAGCGGATGGTATCAAATATATCATGATTTTTAGAAACCAAGTAAGTTTTTCTTTTAATCTTGTAGTAAAAACATAGTGGGGTTTGTTACTTTACACTTGCCAAGCCTAATTTATCACACTTGGCCATATGTTAATTCAACAGGTGTTTGATAGTCATATATAACACTTCCTGCTGAATTTTTAGTTTAGAAAGTAAATGATATTGTTATAAATATCCAATTAACATGTAGTCTACATGCTCTCCATATGCTGTGGGAACACTGAACATCTTAGCTGCTTGGTTCTGTGACACACTCAGACTTTTTCAAGCCAGTGTTAGTCTAAATATGCTCGATTGCTCCTATCATTGCAGAGGATGGTAAAGAGCACAGCAATTTTGTCCTTTACCTTTTCAGACTTGTGAGATGCAGTAAAAAATACATTGATATTATTTCTAAATTTTAGATTACTTTTACTGGTTTTTTTGTGGGTTTTTTTTAAGCTTGATATTCTTTAATTGCCCTTTAAGGCAAAGTAAAGTGGGAAGGGAGATATCTATCAGGAATACCTGTACTTACTGTTGATGAAATGCACCACTGGTGCCTCACTTCAGGGGAAGTGGTGAGAGGAACAGGCACCTCCTGGTTGTCAAGGGGTGATGTAGCACTGGAGGAGCCTTCCAAGACTCCTCCCTCTGCCAGGCTCTGTGTGTCACTGATGGGCTCAGTTGTGCTGCAGCGTTGAACCATCTGTATTTTTTAACATATGTGTAATTTGTTGCTGTATTTTTGTAGGTACCGAAGGAACAACTGCTGGTGTCTATTCCTCTCCTAATCAATCATCTGCAAGCAGAAAGTATTGTGGTCCACACTTATGCAGCCCATGCCCTTGAGAGACTCTTTACCATGAGGGGGACAAATAATACTACCCTGTAAGTTTTCAAACAGAGATACAGTCACTGCCACATGGGTTTTGTGCATTAAGGATGCAAAATATCTTTCATTTAGTGGCATTGCAGTATTGCTGAAGGCTCGAAGTTTGTGACTGTCATCATTAAAGAGCTGTTTGCCTTCACAGCATTACAGCTGCAGAAATGGCACCGTTTGTAGAAGTGCTGTTAACAAACCTTTTCAAAGCACTGACGCTTCCTGGCTCCTCTGAAAACGAATACATTATGAAAGGTAAATGCCTTGGGAGTTCTGCAATACAAGAATAACTTTGTTAACTTGAGGTAAGGGCTTATAGTTACAGGCTCCTGACACTTTTATTTGCAAAACCCAATTTATGCAGACGTGCTGAAGAGGTCCACGCAGCCTGCAATTACTCTCCAGGCTGTATCAAGTCATCTTGGACTAAATTTATGGTACCACTAAACATAATGGTATTGTGGTAAATTATTTCTCAAGTGGTAGTCTCTGTAGTCAGGACAGCTACCTGGGCAAGTGTCAGGAGGAGGTCTGGTCATGGCTAAGAGGATGCTGAGATCTGAGACTCCCAGGATAACTGATGGTCTTGGGAAAGTTGGTTAAACTTCTGTGTTCTATCTGTAGAATGGGAATAACGAGGCTTTGTTTTATCCTTTGTCATGATTGTTCTTGCAGCAGTTCCTCTTTCTTACTGTAGCCAATTCCTAGAGATCCTATTTAACAGTGAAAGGTAAAGGATTTAGGCATATGATGGATGGCAGAGGTGTATTTTGTCTTCAGAAGATAATACTTTCCATTTATTTGCAGCCATCATGAGGAGTTTTTCTCTGCTACAGGAGTCCATAATTCCATACATCCCTTCTGTCATCACACAGCTCACACAGAAACTGCTGGCTGTCAGCAAGGTAAAGAAACAGAACAAAAGGGTCAACTTTTGTGTTTTAGAGCAGTCTTGCTGAAGACTTCTGTATACCTTGGTGGTGTTCTGTTAGAATACTGCAAAGAGTTCAGTATTTTCTGACTAAGCTTAGTTGTAGCAGCCTTCCAGTGAAGTACTGCCTTCCTTTTAGGACATACTTTCGAATCATTCTCCCCTGCTCTCGTGTGAAATTTGGAAGCAGAATATGAACTCTTTCTGTAATGCTGGTTTGTGACAGTATAAATGTTTGCTTGTGCACAGGCCACCATTGCAATAATCTGTTTTTCTCACAAAGTCTTTATTCTTTTCCCATGAGACTTCTGAAGCTAATATTAAATATTGGCATTGAAATATGGGATTAAATTAAATAAATTACCCTCCTGCTTTTGGTGGGTGAAAATCTCTTAGTTTTTTGTTCAGGCTGGGCTCATTCTTAACCATGAACATCAGGGAATGCCTTAGAGTACCTTCATCAGCTGTCCAAAAAATGACTTCTCTGTGTAGTTTGAACTCAGCTGCAGCACATAGGAAGTGTTCAATACAGAATTGACTGGACACTTAAAAGATTGAAAAATAATTTTTTTCCAGTTTTTGTTTTGTGATATTTTAACTGTTTGCTACTTTATATAGAGGTTCTGAAAAACACATGTTTTTAAAATGCCGATTAAAAAAGCTCTTCTTTATGCTTTGAAGGTTTTTACATGTGCTTTTATCTCTGGAATTAACTCCACGAGCGTACTAATAAAGAAGTTATAAGTACTTTATTTCCAAATGCTACTTTAGACTTCAGTTGAACTAAAAAACACATTTATCCAAATAAGTGACTTCATTTGGAAGTTAGGTTTGATTTGTGTGTTTATAACTTGTTTTCAGAATCCCAGCAAGCCCCACTTTAACCATTACATGTTTGAGTCCATCTGCCTGTCGATCAGGATAACATGCAAGGCGAACCCGGAGGCCGTGGGGAGCTTTGAGGAGGCTTTGTTCCTGGTGTTCACTGAGATCCTGCAGAATGATGTGCAAGGTAAGGGCAGCAGGGAGTTCCTGGGCTCTCTTCCTGCACTTCCTCGCTGGGATTTACCTCGTGGCAGGTTTTTCTGTAGCACAGGAAGTCCAGGGGAGGACACAGCACTTTCACAGTCCGAAAGTGTTTGTGTTGTTCCATAGGGTACATCAACAGCATTCACTTATTTTTGAATCACATTGTATTTTTAAAATATCTAGCAATCACTGCTCCAAAGCCTCCTATTATTCTACTTAATTATATTTCCTTGTTTCTAGTAGTTTGTATTCTGTGTTTTGGAGCATTAATTAGGGAGAGGAAATGGAAAGCGAATATATGCAATGCTTGCCAGTTTTTTGAATAATTATATTTGGGAAGTGATACATTTCTCCAGTGTTTTATTTGTTGGAATCCTTGTGTTAATATCATGTTAATGTGGGTTCAGTCAGTAGCTACGTGATTCCTGGGAACTGACAGTGACCGTGTTGGCTGACGCAGTAAATGCCATCATTTCTCTTCCAGAGTTCATTCCATACGTGTTCCAAGTGATGTCCCTACTCTTAGAAATGCATAAAAACGAAATCCCATCATCCTACATGGCGCTGTTTCCTCACCTGCTGCAGCCAGTGCTCTGGGAAAGGACGGGGAACATCCCTCCGCTGGTGCGGCTGCTGCAGGCGTACCTGGAGCGGGGGGCCAGCACCATCGCCAGCGCCGCCGCCGACAAAATCGTGAGCTCTGCACTCCACACGGCCATGGAGGGGGGCAGCTGGGAGGAGCTTTAGTCAGCAGCTGGGCTCGGGCAGAATTTGGGCCTGTACTTTACATTAGTAGTGCTTACACAGAAAGACAAACACTCTGAGTGCAGCCTTTTGGGTGCTTTCATGTTACGTGGGTAAGATGAATCCTGGGGCTGCCCTGCTTTTGTCAGCTGAGATGGAAAATTCCTGCACGTAGTTTTTGCAAGCAGATAAGTTTGGACAATTTTCTTGTCGTTGCTTCATGTTGAACATGTGGACAAGGAGAGCTCTCAGGGATCTGTTCAGAACAGTCCTGAGTGCGTGAGAAGGAGCCAAAATGTGTCTTCCTTGTCCTCAGCTGCAGAAACAGAGTCCTGGTTTAGGTTATGAACACTTTTGCCTTGGTGTATGTCTTAGATAGTAAGGGCTAACATTCTGATAGGTCACATATGAAAAACAGTTGTGTAGAGTCTTATATTTGCTTTTTTTGTAGCCTGGGTTGTTAGGTGTGTTCCAGAAGCTGATTGCCTCTAAAGCTAATGATCATCAAGGCTTCTATCTTTTAAACAGCATCATCGAGCATATGCCTCCGTGAGTATGAGTTCAAATTACATGCAAAGCTAACTTCTGTAGGCTTTAATTACGAAGTGTACAATCATGGCAAATGTTAATCTTCACAACCAAAAATGTCGCATTTATCAGTCAAATCGATTTCAACAATTTTACACGTTTTCTTGTGAAGTGACGTCAGTAAAATCCTAGTGTGAATTGAATAACTGTTCTTTTAAATTTCCAGTGAATCAGTTGACCAGTACAGGAAACAGATCTTCATTTTGCTATTCCAAAGACTTCAAAATTCCAAAACAACAAAGTTTATCAAAAGTAAGTTCCTGGCTCTGAGAAGCTCCAGTGTGACACCAGCAGTTCAGAGTGTGCAGCTGCATGGATCAAGTGTCCTGTGGGTACATGGATGGAGGGGTTCTGGTGACTCCAGGGACTTGCTCCAAATTATTTCTATAATCAAGGGGGGCATAAGGGGCAGTTGCCACAGCAGGTGACACTTATTTCATGAAAACAGAGGGAAAGGAATTAAAATAAGGGACAAGATTTGTGTAGTCCTCTACCTTTGCTACTGTGTGTGATGTCATTACTTACTTGAAAGTGTCTCCCATTTAATCTCCACTAATAGCAGCAAACTTTCCCTCTCACACAGCACAGCAACACTGACCACTGTTGGATGGAGTTTCTGTTAGTACTGGGAAATATTCCATGCTTTTGTGTCATTTTTTGCCTTAACATGACTAAAGTTATTTATAAAGGTTTTATGTTAAACTGACAAAGCTGTGACAAATTACTGAAATACATAGACAAGATTGTCATACTGATGAAAACATTTTAATGATATTATCTCTACACAAATTACACAATGTCTGTTACTTAATCCTATAAAATCTGATTAATGCCCCTGATAGGAGCAAGAATTACAAGGTTGCTCATAATGGTCTTCCACAGACAAAATCAAAGCGATGCTTTCAGTGTTTTAACGTTTTAAGTGTTGTGATACATGAGAAGATGAGCAGTTTTTAGGCCAACTTCAAGGCAGCAAGTTAATGTACTTCACTAGAAGTGAACATTTATAAAGGCTGCAGGTTCTATCCCCTTGAAAAACTTGTTAGAATGTATTTTGCTGCTGACTCTGAAGCTGTTCTTTGGCTTTCATGTTGAGTTTTAATTTGAGCTTTTTCTTGTTACAGGCTTTCTCGTCTTCATTAACTTGTATTGCATAAGATATGGGGCATTAGCTCTGCAGGAGATATTTGACAGCATACAGCCAAAGTTAGTATGTTTTGTTCATTTGGGTTGTGTTTAAGACTGCTGTGTAATTTTGATCTTTGGAGTAGGAAAGAGTTGTCTCTTTAGCTAAACTGGCAAACTGTGTTTGTCACTAATTTGACTGGCCAGGTGTTTCTCCTTTTGTGGTTCATTTATTTGTCTAGCAGTTTTTCTTATTTTCTGCCCACAGTTCTTCATTGATAGTTCGAGCTACTGATCTCCTAAGGAGGTCATAAAAAGTCTTTATCCTGTGCAAAAAGTTTGTATATGCAAGTGTCTACTGCAACAGGGCAGCATCTTAACAAATTATCTTGTATTCTCTCTTTCCTAGTGATTCATATTGTTTCTGGTTTTCTTCTGTCACCATGAGGCTGATAAGGCTTTCCAATGCTTTTTCTCTCAATTTCATAATAGGATGTTTGGAATGGTTTTGGAGAAGATTATAATTCCTGAAATCCAGAAAGTGTCTGGGCAAGTTGAAAAGAAAATCTGTGCTGTTGGCATTACAAAAATATTAACAGAATGTCCTCCCATGATGGACACTGAGTACACCAAGCTGTGGTAGGTACCACACTTCTTTAGGTTCTGCTAGTGAGGCTCTTGGAGTTCTTGTGTTCTTTCTGAAAAGCTAGGCCCAGTTTTGACTTGTAACTCTGTTCTAGTCAGGAGACCTGAGAATACTCACAGCCTGACAGAGAGATTGTAATATCTTAGCTTGAGAGTGCAATTTTGGGGAAAGCTATCTGGGAAGATTGTAGGCCAGTCCAGCAGTCCAGGGTATCAGGAAGTCTGAATGCAATGACAACAACTGGATCCAGACCCGATCCCTGGACTAAAACTTTTTTTTTAATGTACTTAGAGGAAAGCTGTAATCAGGAAAAGAATTGCTTTTCTTATGTGTGTTTCATGACAACTTGACCTGATAAATAAATATATTGCTCATGCTATTAATATAAACACCTCCTTTGGGCCTATAAAATACCCAGATCTGCAGTTCTAGTCCAGCTTACCTTGGACATTTACACTTCCAGTAGCTAAGCAAGTACCTGCAAAGGCTAAATTATGAAGGGTTCCAAGTAATTTGAGCATTCTTGTAAAATACAGCCTGTCCTAACATATTTTTAAGTGCTCCAGTGTTCTCCTCCCCTCTCTACACCCAGGATTCCTTTGCTGCAGGCCCTCATTGGCCTCTTCGAGCTGCCGGAGGATGACACGATCCCTGACGAGGAACACTTCATCGACATCGAGGATACTCCAGGCTATCAGACTGCCTTCTCCCAGCTAGCCTTTGCTGGGAAAAAAGAACACGATCCTGTAGGTCAAATGGTGAACAATCCTCGAATCCATCTGGCACAGTCTCTTCACAAACTGTCCACAGCGTGCCCAGGCAGGGTAGGTGACTCGTGCACTCGCATCCTAATGCTGCATTCAGCCTCTGAGAGAATGGGTCTCTCTGCTAATGTTTGATAATCAGCAAAATGAAGTGGGTCATAAGCAGAATGCAAGATCTTGCTGTGTGTTATTCTTTACTGGAACATAGCTTTTGAGAGTGTTTTCTCAGTAAGCTTAGAAAGGCCATATTTTCACAGCACTTACTTAAGCAATAAGCTTAACTATGCCATTTCAAAAATGAAAATTTACCCACTTGATGGCCTATAACTAACCCTTGTCTCCAGTTCAATTGCATGTACTTAGGAAATTCAGGCAGCTCATATTAAATTAGAAAAATTGAGTGTGCAGTCAACTCCCTTACCCTGTAGTATCTTTGTTTTGTTCAAGATTTTAGTAAGTAAAGACTGCCTGAGAGATGAGCGACTTTCCCCGTGGATAACTGCTGCTCTCAATATATCATGTGTTAACACATCATTGACAGGGTGTGGCAGTGGGCTGAGTATCACTGACACCTCTGCTCTGCCCTGTGCTTTAAGGTTCTCTCCATGCTGAGCACCAGCCTGAACGCAGAAGCGTTGCAGTATCTCCAAGGATACCTCCAAGCTGCAAGTGTGAGTCTGCTCTGAGATATTCCACGAGCAAGATCAAAAGCTGGTTTGTTACACAGAAGGTTGACACTGACTTTTTTTTCTAGCAGAGCTCAGAGAAAACGAAAAATGCTGCTTGAAATTGTATTGCAGATTCCATCTTGTAAAAGATAAACGTGGCTTTAAGGCAAAACTGAAAGAATTTCTGGTTTGTGTACTCCTAGCTAAAGGTGGCCAACTTCCATTCCCAGTCTGATTTTCAAAGGGAGTAGTCATAGCGGTTTGGTATGGGATTTTATTTGAAATCTGCATCTGCAGTGTTTGGATAATACTTGGAATTGTATGGAGAGCACTGGCTGTAGAAACTCACTTCAGTCACTAAAATTCCTTTTCATTTTAATGTTGTCCTTTGTATTTCTTTTGTCTTTCCTTAAACTTTATCTAAATTGTGAATAAATAAGAAGTACTTGTTTAAAATGCCTGTCACTGTGCGCTTACTGTTTTAGAAGAATGTAGCTGGTTTAAAAAAAGAGGTTTTACACTTAGGTAGAATATAAAATAGTGGGACTGTGAGGATTTTCTATAAGTAGTAGTTTAATTACATTTTAGGATCATACAGAGCAGATCTAAAACTTTGGGAGAAGAGCTAGAGCTATTGTCACTCTTGATACTCATTGACAGGCACATCCCTTCTCCTGGAACAGGTCGTGTGAGAGCCGTGCAGTGAGGACAGGTGATCCCCTGGGAGCAGGGATCAGGCTCCAGGTGGGGTTTTCCTGTTGCATTGAAACAAAAGCAGTGATCTTGGAGTTAACTCAGATGTTCTCCCTGTCTCCTCATAAATGGACTGATTAGGTTTGGTGACCTTGACTTTGAAGTGCATCAGTTGGACTTGTTAGTTCTGGCTCTTGAAGTGGGCAGGGAAATGCCTGAGCCTCGTGTGCCCCAGGGGGCCTGAGCACCAAGCCCCCAGACCATGGGCTCTCAGAGCACTGGTCCTGCAGGGATAGGAATAAATTGAATTATAGAAAACTCCTGAATAAGAGTGAAGTCTCAGACTTACGTGATATTAAGCAGTGTTGTACATGACAGAATTTTTTTAGTTGTTTGTGCACAGACATTCTGGAGGTGACTTGAATCAGGACTGGTGTTTTGTATTTGTATTAGTTAATGCCTATTGGAGCTGGGCCTTGTGTTAAGAAAGTTGCTGAATTTACTGAGGGAGGAACAGGGCAGAATCAGCTGTCTTTCAGTTCTTCCTGGTACCTGGAAGTGCATCCTGGCCATAGCTCTTATACGTAAAGAAATTAGTTGCCTGTTAGATAATGGATTTAAATAACTAAGTGCCTGAAAATGTAGTAAAAGAGTCAGCATCAGCAGGTTTTTCGTACCTGGTCTGTCAGGGAGTGTCAGGCCCTCGTTCATAGATGTGAAGTGACAGCAGTGCTCAGAGTGAAGCACTGCAGGGGTGATCCTGAAGAGCATCTGCCTTAGTGCTGCCGAGACAGACTGTGCTGTGTTCAGAGCTCCTGGCAGCAGGAATGCCACAGACAGGCTGGAACCACAGGGACACACGTGACATCTGCGAGGAGCTGAGCGCCTGCCTCGAATGTCAGCGTTAACTGAGCCGTGGTCCTCCTCAACCCGCAGGCCAGAAGGATACTCGGAGCTCTGCTCTGCAGCTTTGCCATTTTCCCTGGATAATACGGAGAACAATTCTACAGAGAACTTGCAGACCTTTTTTTCCTGCCATGCTCAAAGAACCAAACTGGAAGGGTGCTGGTGGCCGTGTCCCAGTACTGTGCCTGCAGCCCTGTGCTGGATGGAGCGGGGCCTCACGTTGGACCATCTCACTTGGGCAGCTCCAAGCAAGATTTCTTCAGAAACTCAGAGGTTGCTGAGATGTGTAAGGAAACAGATGCTTCTTGCCTTACCAGTACCAGCATGGATGGAACTGGACAGGATTCACAGCAAGAAGCCGGAATCTGTTAGAGAGATGGCCAAAGCAAAATTGGCTCTTCTAAATGGAAAATTATCAGTGAGGCTTGATGTTCACTGTCTTGCACTCCTTGCAACTCCTTGTGTGACTTTGTTGTTGGATAGACATTCCGTGTGAATAAGTGCCTAAGTGACTTCAGATCAGCACCATCAAATACCACATTAGTCCTTCAGCTGACTCAGAGCTGAGTAACTCAGACTGTGTAGACACGGCTGTGGCACTGCTGGTGACGTGTTCCTTAGTGCCAGCACACTGTGCAGGTTTTGTGAGGGGTGTGAGGGTCTGTGCAGAGCACTGCCCTTCAGGGCAGTGAGTGCTCAAGGCAGTGCAGGCTTGTGCCATCAACACTGCCCTCTCTGCACCCAGGAGGGACCTCCCTGCTCCTGCTGACACCTCCCGTTCTCAGGATTCAGAAGGCCAAGTCCCACCTACATTTATCTGTTCATTTGGTGGAAGCTGATGCAAGCCATGTTGTAACAGTTTTTTGCAAGACTCTGTTGGGCAGTTGGGCAAACACCAGTTCCTTTGGAAAGCTCAGGCTGGGAACACCTGAGGACCTGGGAGCATCTAATTCAGTGCAGTGAACTGCCTGCCACTCAGATCTTCTGAAACACTTCTGAAAACACGGAGCCAATTCTTACTTGCAACTGATAATGGTACAAGATCATTCAAATTCAAGTGTAAGAATGTTACTTGCTGCTTTCTGAGTGTGAAATGGGCAAAGGGATGCCTGTTTTTGGATCTTTTGGCACCGTGGAACTCTAATCTACTCTCCTTTCCTGGAGCCTACTGACTGATTTGGGGTTGCCAGCTTCTAAATTATGTTCTGAGGCTTTTGTAACAGAAGAAATACCTTACTGTTGGTTCAAAAACCCAAAACCAAACCCTCTCAAGACCAGTGTGTTTTCTTGTTTCCTTGGGCTGTGAATGGGCCTCGACACTGCCAGCACTGCTGCCAGTGGGCAGCACATGCAAAAGCAAAAACTCTGTTTCTCTGTTTCTTCATGTACCTGTGTGCTGAGATTTCAGCCATTTACTTCCAGCAATTCTCTGATGAGGCCAGACATTGATTTTTGTCTTGAAACAGCTTCATCCTTTCTTAGAAATGAGAGTTTCTCAGTACCTGGGGATTCCACCAACCAGCAGCAGCCAAGGGCAGAGCTGTGCCCATTCTTCCAGCCCCCAGCAGAAGTACCACAGGCATTTCTCCCATTCCAGGCTTTTGCTGTGGAAATTGCGCAGTTGTTCACTGACACACAGGTGCTCCAGGCAGGGCTCCTCTGGGAAATCCCTCAGTAAAGACACCCAGCTCTCAGAAAGCAGCACAAAGGCTTTGTTTCCCCTTAGCTTTTACCCTTTCTTATTTAAATGAAGTAATTCTTGGCTTTCCTGTAGTATCGAGGAAATGTTCCGGGCAGCAGTGGCAGGGCCCTCACAGGCCAGGAAAGGCTCAGTGGCTGCTGGTGACAGCTCAGGCAAAGTGACTGAAGGCTTAAAAGTTCTCTCTCAAAATAGGAACCTTCTAATTCACATGAGCTCACAGCTTATGCTGGACTTGCTGTATTGCATTCAAGATGAGAGCAGAAGAAAATATTATTAAAGTAATAAATCTTAAGTAAAAGATATTTTGGTACAAAGGAGTAATGTGTCAGAAAAGCAGAATAACAGGGCTTAGCTCAGCTAGTTCATCTAGGTCCTAGTAAAAAGTTTTCATTTTCTAAGGCTGTGGAGAGAAATTCACACTCTTGGGTTTGTGCCTGATATAAAGTAAGTATTTAACAAAGAAAATATATTAATAACAAATATCAGATTTCTCCATGAACATCTGAAAATACTGGCGTTACAGTACTGCTTCCTTACAAAAGAAAATGAAAGTTTAAAGTATTTTACAAATTACAATGTAGAAAAAGGTCTCTGTCCTTGTTTAAGCTGCTGTGCAAAGAAGAGTGGAAAAGTCTTTTGGAACGTTTTTGAGTAATTAATAATCATTCACAGGATAGAGGAGTAAATGCCTTTCCATGCAAGAACAAATGTGTTGGCTATTTGACATGTGCCAAAATACTCCTCAGGCCTTTGAATTCCGTGTGTATTTGCTTCAGTTATGTTCAGTTTTGTGATCTGGCTGCAGAAGCTTTCTGTCTCGACTGCAAATTTTACACATGCCCAGGCGTTCACAGTTCTCTGGAAAAAGAGAACATAAACCTGAATTTTTACTGTAACTTGCTTTGGAATTCCCTGTCTCCACATAACTTTCTAGAAAAAACCTCCACAAACGTTTCATTTCAGGTAACACTGAGCCTTGCAGTAGTGATTGCACAGCAGCTGAAATTTCATTTCCTTCTGAAATGTGACTGTTGCTGGCTTGGAATAATTAAAGCATCCTAACAGCACATAGTATTATGCAAGAGACCACAAGAACACATGACTAAGTGTTTAAATGTGATGTGGGATATATATCTATATACTTACATGCTGGAGAATGTCTTTTCAATGCTATGTTTGTTGATTTTTTTTTTTTTCCCCCCAGTGTGTGATGTATTTTCTTTATGGTATCTTTGGGATCCATGTCAGTATTAAATGAAGAAATGCATATGGAGCTTTAGATATACTGGGGTTTCTTTCTCTTTGGGTTTTGCTGTGATTCTCCCCACGACCTCAGAAGCCTTTTTTGCAGTCTGTGGGATCCAGTTCCCTGGGGCTGAGCAAGGGCAGGAGTTACTGACTGCAGATGAATGATGCCGTGGGGGGGGAGTTGCAGCCTTGTGACTTGAAATGTATTTTTACCTATTAAGAGAGATAAAAGTATTTCTAACCCTGAAGGTTTCTCGTGGTTATGTTTTCCTGTGTGCAAGGGTGGCTGGGAGAACTCCTGCAGGTTAGGAAAGGGGGTTGTCTTTCACACATTTTTAAGTGACACTCCACTTTTAAATTCGTCATCCTTAACTTTTTAGTCCCGCAGGACGCTTTCCTTGGTTATAGCAAAGAATAATCTCCTGCGTGGGCAGATGAATGTGTTACGTATTTCTGACAGGGATAATTCAAGAGCTGGACAGTAAAGATTGCTTTGGAAAATGTTTAATTTAAAAAAACAAAAACAAAAACAAAACAAAAACAAACAAACAAACAAAAAACCAAAACAGAACCCAGAACAAAAAAAAGCCACGAAAAATTATATTGTGGGAGATTGGATCAGAACACTGAAATTTGCTTAATTTGTACTTCAAAGATAAATATGTTTTATTGGATTAAAAGCATTTAAGTTGCAGTTTGTTATGTTTGGTGAACTTCTTAACGTTACTGAGGTCGCTCCTGAGAGCGCATTTTAAACACACCTGTTTAAAACTTCAAATTCCTTAATGGAGTGTCTTCACATCTCGGCTGAGCGGTAACTCAGTCCCTGCATCCGTGTGTTCAGCTGCGTTTGGTATCACCCAAATTCCTCCTTCAGAAAGACTCCGCACAGCCAGCACTGAAAACACCGAAACTAGCGGTTACTTATTTCATCCGTGCGTCTGTTCCATTAATTTAATTTTCTTCAGGGTTTCTACACCAACCCTCCCGGACAGGAGTACACACTGATTTCTGAGCTCCCCCCTCACACATACACACACAAACCTCCCTCAGCGCTCTCTGCCAGGAGCCGCGTCTCGCTTCGCTTCGAGTCAGGCTGCGATTTTCTTTTTTTTTTTTTTGGCTTCTTAATGTAAAATAGACACAAGCCCCGTCTGGGCTTTGATTCCTCGGGCTTGGATTCGCCTCAGGAACGGGCGGGGCCGGGACACGGCGGTGAGGGGCGGGGCGGGCGGCCGCGGCGCGGCCGCTCCCCGCCCGCCCCTCACCGCCGTGTCCCGGCCCCGCGCGTTGCCCGCCGGGATCTGTAGTCCTCACCCCCCGCTTCTCCCATACTATCGCGGGGCACGCCGGGAGCTGTAGTCCTCTCTCCGAGCAGCGGGAGGGGAGCAGTGGAGGGAGAGAGTAATGGGGGGGCGTGGCGGTGCCGTCAGTTCCGGCCGCCCCGCCGTTCTCTTTGGTGTTTGCCCTGTGCCGCCGGTCCCGCCCGGCCCATGGACTGAGCGCCCCCGCCCCGGCCCAGGCCGCGCCCAGCGCAGGTGAGGGGGGGTTGCTGTGAGGGGGGGTGTGGAAAAAAAAGGGGGCGCCCCCGGGGAGGGCTCCATCTCTGTTTTCCCCACACACACAGAGCGGGGCCGCGGCGCGATGGGCCCGCGGCGCGGCTGCAACCGCGGGCGGTGACAGCGCCGGGGTTGGGGGGGCGCCGGAGCGAGGAGGGCTCGCTGCTGTTGTTGCTGCTGCTGCTGGTGCCACCGTCGTTGTCTGCACGAAATGCCCGGCCCGCCCGGCCCGGCCCCCCTCCTCCCCCCGGGGAGGAGACGAACCCGGCGTGCGGGCTCCGAGCCGGCCGTGCGGGGCTGCTGGGGCAGGAGGGGCGGCGGTGGCCGGAGCAAGGGCTCCCCAGCCCCCCTTCTGCCCGCTCGCAGCTTGAGGGGCGGCCTCCCCTGAGCGCTGCCTCCCCCCCCAAATCACCACCCGTGCCCACCGGGTCTCGCTGCACCCCCCCCGTCGCCCCGGGGATCGCTGCACCCCGTTCACCCGGAGTTTTTCGGGAGATGCGAAGCAACAAGTCCCTTTTTGAACCTTTTCCCGCTGGCTCTGTGTGTCCTCGAGGGTTTTGCAGGGTTTGGGTTGCCCATCCCAGGGCTTGCTGCGCTTGGTGCTGTCGGATCCGTTTTTTTGTGATGTATTCATCTGTTGGGTGCTTTTGTCGTTGCTTTTCTGGCAGGTTTAAGGCAAACCTGGGAGGAACATCCCTTGGAATGTCAATGAAGCCTAGGTGTATATATATATATAGCAGTGAAATAAAATATCTGAATGAAGTCTGTTGTCTGCTTTTGGAAGCGTATATTTATAAAATCTTGTTTCTTTTAACTAGAGCATGCAAGTACTCACTCAATCTGACAGAAGTGTGGGGCTTTTAATACTAAGGACCATTAAGAACTTTTCTAATGATGCAGCTACAGCTGTGATGTAACAGAGTGATCTCTGTTTGTCTGGTGATTATCTCACATGTGCAACAAATCTGTTCAAACTTTTACAGAGGTATTCATTGGAAATCTGTCACGTCTCAATGAGAATTTAAAGAGCCAACGGGCTGACTTTTTTACTATATTTTCTATTTTCTGGTGTTGGATGAGAATCTTATTTCCAAACTCTTCTTAAAGAAAGTATACAAGAAACAATTCTTTTTTCGTGTTGTTGTTTTAAGCAGCTGCTCTGTCTTTGTTCAGAGTTTTTCTCATGAATCATGTTTACACTACCAGTTCAAGTCAGTCAGAATATGAGGTGTTTTGTGACAAAATTATTCATAGCTTGAAGTAAACTTGGTGTTATGTGACTTTACAAAGTCAGGGCAAAACTGGAAACCACTGTGGGCCTTTCAGGTCTTCCTGAGGAACAGGAGCTTTATTCTGCAGACACAGGAGCTTTCACAAAGCCCTTTTTCTGATTGCTTTGTCCAGGATCCCTGCCGGGGTCGGTTGTTTCACTGGGGTGTTGGAGGTGCCCTGGGACAGTGGAGGAGATCTGATGGTGGCTCTCAGCAGTGTCAGTGGGGTTTGTGACCTGTTCTGCTGCAGGGAAAAAAAAAAACCAACACAGACCATTCCATGTTTTGTCACAGAACTAACTGAGCTAAAGGATCAGTTTACTGTTCATTCATGATATCACTTCCTGGTTTATGGTTTTGCATGATGTTTGGGACTGCCTGTTTTGTGTGCTAGTTTCCTCTTTTCCTTTAGCTTTTACTTTCAAATTTTGGGCTTTTGTTTTCCTATTAATAATCCATGTCTCAGCTCCCAAACTACTTTGCATAACATTTAGTGTTTGTGCCCTTACCAAAAAGGGCAGCATCTTTTTCTACAGTCAGTGTTGCCTTTGAGACTTTGTCTTGCCCAAATACTGTAAAAAAAGATTTATCTAAGAAGGAAACATTTTTCAGTCAATGTTTTACATTTTGTGTAAATAGCCTTAAGTCTGTAAAATTTATTCTTTTTTTAATTGGTTTGTGGTGAGTGTTTATTTAGAGTTTCCAGTTGTAAATAGATGCTCTTAAGCACTGTTGCAGCAGCTTGATAATTTTATGCTGTATCTTGCAAAGCTACTCCTGATGGGGGTTTTTCAGAGGTATTTCAGGTAACAAAGCATCTGAACAAACTTGAAATTTGTGGAAATTTCGTTCTTCATGCCTCAAAATAGTTGAGTGTGGGACAAAAGAGACTCAGCCACCACACTGGAGTTATTTAAAACTCCTTTAGAAAATGGGAGGAGAGAGGGAATCGTCCTCACCACTGTTTTGTCTGGGAGTGAACACTGATGCATTCCCAGCCTGCAGACAGGGGAGAAGGTGCTGTTCACTCGTGGGTCTATGTGTGGGGTGCCCGTGGGTTGTGGTGGGAGCTGGGCTGTCCCTGTCCCCAGCTCTGGGCTGTCCTGCCTGGCCAGCGAGTGCCTCACTGGGAACCACTGGTGATGGGGGGCCAGGGGGTCAGTGCTGTGTGTTCCACACCCCCTTCTGCTGTTTGAGTCCTGCCAGCCCCCTCAGGGTACCCACATCCTTTGGCAGGGACAGGCCTGGGGTCTGTGTTCTGGTTGAAAGGGGGATAAATGAACTTTCCTGCTTGAGAACAGTTTGCTGTCGCTGAGGAACAAGGAAGGTGCCTTGCTCTGGCTGCCAAGGGCTGGTGACTGCTCAGGTGCAGTGTCATGGAGCATCTGCTCTTCAGAGAGGAGTTAGTGCTTCATTCAGCACCTCATTTCCTATGGCTAAACCTGCTTCTTGGATGTTGTCTGTGACGTGATTTTTGGTTGCTGTCAGGGAGCCCTTGTAATTTGAATTTGATGGTTGCATCTGGCATTTGTTCTGTTTCTCAGCCTGCTCTGCCCTGGTTCCATCTGAGCCCCCCTGGCTGGTGCTGGTGGGGCAGGAGTGAGTGTGTGCACACGGGGTGGGAAATGGGGGGCACAGCTGGTTCCTGACAGAGGGACAATGGGAGTGCTGGAACCTGCAGCCTTCTGAGTCTGCACCTCCTGAAGAACAGGACACCTTTCCATGTGCTGGTCCTGACAGTGAATAAAACCTCTGGGGATTTAGTCTCTTGTATTTCCAAGTGGTTTCTCAGAGCTCAGAGCCAGTGTGTGGCAGGACCCACGTGAGATCCTGTGCTGCCAAACCTGTTGTCTTACAACAACAAGGCCATTGTGTCCCTCCAGTAGGAGACAGAAACGTGCCAGGTGCACACAAGTGTGTTCAGTCCTGGGAATCCAGGCTGGGACTCAGGGACTCAGGTGGTTCCTCCATCCCTCTGAGGTGTTGGGTCTGCCAGCCTCATCCTAGTGGATGTCTGTCAATGCCTTGATGCTTGCCACCAATGGGTCCCCTCTGTCACGCAGTGCAGGGCAACTCATTGCCACTGTTAATATCAGAAGGTGTTTTCTTGATGCACTTTTAAACCTCTTGCCCCTAGTTCTGTCACTTTAACCGTGAAGAACAGATTATTCTTTTCCTCTCCAAAAACCTTGTAAGTACGTGAACTGCTTGTTGTCAGGCCCCAGCCAGCCCTCTCCTCTTCACATATACAAACCCAAATCCTTTAGTACTTATACCCTTCCAGGTTATACTTCTCTGAAGCTCAATTTTGGGCTTTTCCTACTCTGGGTTTGCTGAGGGGGTCCCCACGTGGGTGCAGAGCTCCAGCTGAGCACTCAGTGCCTGCGTACGGAGCAGGACTGGTGCCGACCTTGCTCGGGCTGGGTCTCCACTGCTGCACCTCAGGATGGTGATGGCTTTCCCCAGAGCAGCCTGGGAGCATCACCTTGTGTTGGGAAGCGCTGTTGGTTGTAGCTCTTGTCCACTGTGCTGTGCCCATGGTGGTGTCTGGGCTGTGATTATCAGCAGGCGGTGCCTGCCCTGTACCTGCTTCTTGTTCCGCTGCTTGCTCCCTCTGGAGCCTGGCAGGGCCAGCAGGGATGGCTGGCTTTGTGCAACTTGGTCTTGATCCTGCCTGTGAGTATTATCCATTTCCTTGTTTTCCAGACTCTTAGTTAACCTCCAGAAAACCTTCTAGAGGAGAAGTTGAACCAATAGGACTGTGATCCTCTTGTCTTCCTTCCTCACTCTCCAGTTACAAACAACCTCTGTGGTGCCTGCTGCTTCAGGCTCTGCATCCTCACATTCCACAGGGCTCCTCCAGGGGAACTGGGCAGAGTTCTGGGAGTTTGCTGGAGGAGTTTGAAATGCCTGTCTGAAGTAAATTCAAGAGCTCTGTCCTTCTCTCACCTCACTGAGGAGTGAGATCTCCCCCATTTTGTGGCTGTAGTGATGCTGCTGGCATCCGCACACACTTGGCTTAGGCATGGAAAAGAAGGATTAAACACTTTGTGCTATATTTGTAAGCAGAATGAAATAGGTTTTGATTTCCATTTACAGCAGTCCATGCAGTGACAGGTTTCATATGCAGTACTGAGATAATTTTATTCTAAAATGGTTTTAGCTAGGTTGATTTTTTTATGTGCCTATTTATGAGTGAAATCATTAGATGGGAAATGTAGCCAAAAGGTAGAATTTGTATCAGATTTTTGCATTTAAGAGCTACCAGACTTTTTTGGGTTAGTGGCTTGCTTTTGGTTTGGCTTTGTGAATTAAGGTCTGGGTCTAATTTTGGGAGCTGATCTCTAGAGCTGTGAGGAAGAAGGTTGACTTCCAAAGAACTGGAAGCCTTACTACAGAAAGAAAATTGGCAAGTGACTTTTATAATTCTGCAAAGAGCGCTATTGTGAGATTCCACTGTTTGGGTGAGAAACATCACTTGGGGTTGGGGAAAGAGCAGGGAAGATTCTTGGATCAGGTTGGAAACTGTGTTTGGAAAAGCAGCTCCCTTGAGCAGCCTGTCAGTGGGAAGGGAAGGGTCCTGTGAGTTCTCATCGTCAGAGGGATGAGGCAAACTCAGTACAGGGTGAGAGATTTGCTACAGGAGCTTTTTGTGGCTTTAGGAAGCAAAATTCTAACTCTGTGTTTTTTCTTTTAGGCATTCTCCATTATAAGTATCCTATTCAGAACTAAGTCCAAATCTTCACTCTCTGGATCTCCTAAAGGTACTGGAAACTTACTTAAAACATTAAAGTTTCTTACCTTTTTGTTTGCATCACACTAAAGAAACCACAAGTTGTGGCAAAACATGATTATCCACAGGAAGTGTTTGGGTTTTTTTGTTTGGTCCTCTGGCTTCCATCTGCAATTCCTGTGAGAATTCTAACACAAAAAAAAGCCCTAAGAAAACTTTTATCTGAAAATGCTGTATTCTTGCTTTTATATAGGAAGATTTTTATTTCTTTTTGGCTGTGTGGACTGAGGCTACGCTCACATCTTTGTGCATTTCTTTGGTTACCTTAGTGATGTCTGAACTCTGCATTTAATATATTCAGAATTTCTGGGAATGTTCCAGGCGTTGATGCACCAAAAGAAAATAAAAATCTAAAACCAGGTGGGGAGCAGTTCTCTGTCATCTGGAAATCCATCCAGGCAGAGCAGTGGCCATAGGTCACTGAGGTGTTTGGTGGCAGCCACCGCACCACAGGGAGAACCTTCTGGTGCCAACACCGTTTCGGGAACATCTGAAGTACTCTTGGATGAGTTAGGGAAAAGTAATGGTGCGAGGCTGGGAAAGGAACGAGTTGTGTCATTAGCTGCTGCCTCAGATGGTGTGAGTGAAACATTTGTTCTTTTCCCCTCTCTTTGGATGTTTGAGTGGGTTTGAGTTCTGGCAATGCCTCAAGTGCTGTGTAGGGATCAGTTACTTAGACCAGTATTTGTCTTCAAAAGTTTGGAGCAGCTCACCCCTGATTACAGGGGAAAATCTCCTGAAATTCTGGCGTCTTTGTTCCTCTGACCACTGAAACAGTCTTTATGAGTTGTTAGCTTCAACTTTCCAGGTATGGCGCTTTTTTCTTGGGTAGTTAGGATTTTATAAGCCTGTTAATAGGTGAAAGGGCATATTCCTGTGTAAAAGCACTGTAAACCCTTTCAGAATCCTCAACTAACCTGGAATTAAATCTGCAGTGATGGAGAGTGAGTTCTTCTACTTGAATTAAATACTTCCCACAAATCAACTACAGCATCAACTTCACAGGTAGCTGAAAAATACAAACTAAACTCCAGTTTGTTTTGTCAAACTGTTCCTTGAGGTTACTTGCCAAAGTGTGAGCTAAGTGTTTTTAAAAAGAAAGCATAATATATACTTGTATATATAATCTTGGAAGGTATAATCTTGCAAGCTCCTTCCTAGTGTCTAAAATTGTCAGAAATTTGTAAAGTGGATTATCAGCATTTCACAAGATGGTTTTAATGCCTACTTTGCCTTGGTTCTGCCTCAATTCAGTGTGCTGAACTTTGAAATAGTTCTGAATTGGTGATAACTTACAGGGTTATCTTTCAGAGGCAACTTTTGATCTCAGTGTAGAAACGTGAGGTTGGTGAAGGAGTGAGAAACATGATGATGAGGTAGCAATTTGTGTAGAAACAAGCATTACATTTTCTTAGGTTAAAAATGATACATTTATTGGAAAAGTTCTATTTTCATTGCAATTCCATTCCCTCCCTGATCACAAATTTCTGTTCAGCTGTGGTGAAAGCCTTGGTGTGGCTGGGTACTGGATGTGCTGGGGATAACCCCTAACAGCAGTGTCTGCCACAGCTTCCAGGTGTTTGTTCCCTGTAAGGGTGGAGCTGTCTGAGTCCTTCACTTCTGTGTTTGTTAGGCAGTGCAGTTTTTCCCGCCTCCACCGTTAGCAGTCCTGGGAAGGAGCACTCCCAGGATCCTGTTGTACCTCCGTTCTTTCTCCCTGAGTTCCTGGCTGCACAGCCAGGTGTTGCTGGGGTGGTTTTGCTCCTCCAAGCCTGGCTGTGCCTGCACTGGGGGGTGTGTTCTGCACAGCGGGTGGGACGGGGACATCGGGCAGGTGCCCAACTGAGCTGGGCTTCGGCTGTCGGCGCTTGGTTCCCGGGGAGCCCTGGGTGCCTTTTGGATTCCCAGAGGGTATGTGAGGGCTGAATGGATTCTTCCATTTGCTTGGGAGTCTGGGGGAGGGCTCGTGGAGGTTTCCAGTGAGAGGTGCTTGCTTCCCTTCCTGGGCCCTTGCAGCCAGTGCGGGTGTGACCGAGCTTTGCTGGGTTGGGCACGTGGGCTCTGCCCTGAGCAGGTTTGGGCTATGGACACTGCACTTCTCTGGTCTGGTGGGCAAATGTGCACTATTCAAGTCTGTTCCTAACTGGAGCAGATTCCAAACCCTTATTGTCTGAGGCAGTAGGATGTGAGCTCAGGTCCCCCCAGGTTTTGGTGGATAAAGGCTGAATTGTGTCCTGGATGCAGAGGTGTTTGCAGAGGAGCTGTCCCAGGCCGAGCACCGTGGGCTGTGAGTCCTGCTGGGAGCTGGGCAGTGTCTGACCTGTGTCTGAGCTTCTCAGGAAATCAGCCCTAAATAGAGAAAGCAAACTGTACTGTCCTTGTCAGGGACTTCTCTCCTTGGGAAAGAAAATTCCTGGGGATTGTACAGTGCTCCTCTCTGCATCGTATGACTGGAAACCACTCTCACCTAAGTGTTCTGAAACCCACCTCCCTAAAACCAGGCGATGGCAGATATGGGAAGGGTAGTGCCTTGCTTTAAAAGCAAACTGCTTGGAGACAGTTTTCTGAAAGGAATGCTAGACTTCCTTTCCAGCATGATCTGAAACATCCTGATGTTCCTGACTTCAAAATAATAACTTCCAGGGGCATCTTCTCAAAACAGGTGGGTTAGAAATGTAAGTTCGGTTACTTGGAAGGACGTTGCACTTCAGCAGGAAAGGAGAATTCACTTTTTTTATTGCACTGCCAGATTTTGTTATAGTCTTTCCTAGGCAATTATTATTGTTGTATGTTTGAAAATTGTCAGTGTTTCCCATGATGCTGCTGGGAATGAAACTTAGTGATTATTAAGTTATTACCCTGGAGTCTTACTCTAAATACTCTTCTTCTTTGTCTTAGGATTTCTGGGATTTCCTTTAGACAGACTCCCTAATACCATGCTCATCGTTATAATGCACCCAGTGTGTAACTGCTGCAAATTTAGTAGTCAAATACAGGATTTGTTTTGAGTATTATCTACATATGTGTCTTCTGGAGTAATGAGATCTGAACTATTTTTGCTCTCTAGTAAAAATAAAGTTATCCAGGTGGTAATATGATAAGTCTGACATGTTTATGATATTTTTTTCCCAAATAAAAATATTCCAGATGGTAGATTTGTTGGTGTATCTGTTGTTTCCCAGTAGTTTCTTACCTCCTATTTAATAAATTACTAAATCTTTCTATCCATGAATGTATTAATCCAGGTTCCCCTCACAGGCTTGTTTTGTCAGTAACTAGCTAAAAACTTCCCTCTGACTCATTGCTGCTCCTCTCACATTTGGAAGTCCATTCACAGGTTCAGAATTTGAAGCTCACAGAGCACTAGTGGAGTTGTGTTGCCACTAATAGCTCCCTGGTGGTAGCTGGAGCAGTGATTTCTCCTTTTCCCCTATCAATTATGAAAGAATGAACCTTTGCTTGCTGCCCTAATCAGATCTGTAGGTGGCCAGTACGTGTGCATGCGTGAGTGCCTTTGTGTGTAAAATGGATTGACTTGGCTGTAAAATGTATTTTTAACAAATAAATTGATACGAGGCTCGTAAGTGGATATGGGCAGCTGACCTGTTCGTGTCTATTTAGGTTCCACTGGCTGAGCATGAAGATAATGTTGCATCCATGTGTAAGAGAAATCTAATACTAATTTGTCAGTGGAGGAAGGGTCTGTCACAGCCCTGCACACGGACTGGGGTGCCCCTGGCGCTCCGAGGGGGTTTTCCTACATGGCCATAGATGCCCCTGAGCACTTCCAACACTTGTTTATAGTGCTGCAAGGCCAAAGGACTCTAAATTGATGCTTGAACTGTGACTGAGGCATGTCCTGACTTAAATAGAAGTAACCTTCAGAATACATGTAGCTGCCACAGTTTATGATCTTTTGCACCTTCGCTTTTCCCAGCCAGAGCCGCTGCGGCGTTTCCTGCTGCACACCAGCTCTTTCCCCTCAGAAGTGGCTCAGCATTCTTGGTATCCAGGGAAAACTCTATGATTACAGTAAAGGATGCACGCTCTAAAATAGTTGTTTTGTAAAGACTACATTTATTGCTTGCCCTCCAAGTGGAAAAGTTCAGCTTCAAATGGAAGAATGCATGAAATGTCATTTGTCCATGGGAACTTACACACTTTGTTCAGTGTATAAGCAGTGGCTATGGGTGTAGGTAACTGGATTTGCTTTGTAAGTAGATTCAGTGGTGAGGAAAAGAGATGGACAGTAATGAACAAGCATGAATAAAGCTCCTATACTACTCTTTTATAAATGCAAGAGGTGTTAAGCTTACATGACAGGGCGTATAGATGGAACTGCTGTTAAAACTGGATGTGTGAGTGACTTACTGCAGACAAAATGGGAACAATGGATGGTGGAACACTTCTTCCCCTTTTGCTGATGGAGGAATAATTTCAGTAGATTGTTAGAGAATGCTAAATATTTAGCATAATCTTTTTTTCATCTTTATGTTTTAGGTCAGCAATTTGTCTTCCCCACACGGAGTTTGTCTGCTTTCAAAGCTGTTTGCCTACAGTAATCTGCTCTGGTTGGAAGTGAACATGTCTCAAGTTCAGATTCAGAATCCTTCTGCTGCCCTTGCAGGGAGCCAAATCTTGAATAAAACCCCAGCTCTTTCACAGCCTTTGAGTATCCCTTCTACTACCAGTTCTTTGCCCTCTGAAAATGCAGGCAGACCTATCCAAAACTCTGCTTTGCCCTCTGCTTCAGTTACATCCACCAATGCAGCTGCAGGTAAGATTGAGTGTCAATAACTGTATATATTCTTAGTGTTTATAGTCTCTCTATATAGGCATATATATATATACACACACACATATATATAGTATATAGGCATAATATACTCCTGATGTCTTGTACCTACACATACTTTAAAAATAATATTTATCCAACTGCAGTAGCTTGTGATTCTTTTCTCCCTGTGGAATGAAATCTGTTTGAGACAGGTTGAAGCATACTTTTCCTCAGAGTTCTAATAATTAATTGATAAGTTTGTAATAGTAAAGGGTATTTTAAATTGTGTGACATTTAATTTTTGAAACATTACTATCCATCTTTTCTACCAATAACTTGTTTTAAATTAAAAAAAAGTGTTGTTTGAAATAGTTTGTTTAGTTCTATTATCCCTAGTTCTTTTATGGCCAGTTTAATGATAAATATATTTTGCTGATAAAATACAATAGAGTGAATGAAAGGTAATAAGTGAAAAATAGCTAATAGGGCAAAATAGGATTAGGAAAAAGAAATTAACTGACTTTTTGAAATTATTCAAGGCAAGTGGCCCTGATAGATACTTAGAAGATTTGCTCCTTGAAATGCACCACTTAAGATACCACCTGAATGTGGGAATTCTAACTCCGTACTTCTGGCTTGCATTAGAACGTTGAATTTAATGATGCTCCTTTTAGGCACCAGCATGGCTTGGAAATTCCAGAGTTCAGGAGGTTGTTACCAGTTTGGGCAGTGAGCAGAGCTGGCTATTCCAGCAGATCTTTCCTGGGAAGTGGCGTACTGCAGGCAACTAAATGCCAAGCCACTGAGATTTCTTTTTCTTTTTTTTTTTAATTGTAATTGGTAATAGAGTTCACAGTTACCTGTTCATTTATCTGATTTTATGTAATCTTTCAGCTCCTTCAAACATGGCAAACCCCAAAGAGAAAACCCCCATGTGTCTTGTGAATGAGTTAGCCCGTTTCAACAAGATTCAGCCCGAGTATAAGCTTCTGAGTGAGCAGGGTCCAGCTCACTCCAAGGTAAATCTTCATACAGGTTTCTTCTTGCTGCCACTTGTGCTCTTTCACTTCCACGAGTGGAAAGGCCAAGTGTGTGCTCCTGGTGCAAGGTAATCCAGAGCCATGGAGAGGAATGGGAAGCCCCCAGAGTACTGACAGTAGGGCAGTGTGAAGCTGTTACTTGGGCACTGAGCAGCTGCTTTCCCAAAGTGTCCTGGGAGCTCCGAGGTGTGAAGGAGGCAAGTTGGCATGAACAGAAAATAACAGTCAGAGCATCTGTTCGATTCTGTTTTCATTCTGATTGGAATTAATTAATTAAATTACCAGGGAGACCTTGGCTTGCCATTTGTCTGATTAATTTGTCAAAATTTAAGGCAATGTATATGCTTCCTAATCCCACATACTTTGCTTATAATCAAATAGACTTGTGTTCACCTGTGGGCATGTAGAAGCTTTTATGCTGCAATGTGAACTTAACTTTCTTCAGACTGCTGAAAAATATCTTTAAGAAAAATATCTTTAAAAACCTTGAGAGTATTAAAGCAAGAGTGGAGTTACGTGGCACACAGCATGATAGTTTCCAGGCTGCTGTTCAGTGGTGTGGGCACAGCAGCTCTCCCGGGGCTGTCAGCTCTCCACATGGGGTGCTTGTGGTTTTTAGCCTGTCTGATCTCATGCAGGAGAGTTGCCAGCTGCAGTTGGTGTGAACTCCTGTTCAGTCATCAGGGAAATCCTGTTGATGTCCAATGTGTTGGAAATCTGGAGATGACACGGGAGTTTAGGAGAGCTTGAATTACCATATTCTCAACTTGTGCATCCACTGAAACACTCATTGTTTTGTGTGAGAGGGCCTCAGGAGTTATGTGAATTCTGAAGCAGCTCCTAACAAAGTTCCTGTCTCTGGTTTTGAGGTGTTTACAGTGCAGCTGACTCTTGGGGACCAGCACTGGGAAGCTGAAGGAACTAGTATTAAAAAAGCTCAACACGCAGCAGCTGCCAAAGCTTTGGAAGGGACAAAATTCCCCAAGCCTACGGCTCGTCCATCCCGTAGTGAAGGCAAGAACCCAGGTACATGCCACAACAAACTGCTTTAAAAATATTATACATAGAGAGAATACACCTTTCTGCTTTTGGTATGTATTGAAATTGCATCAGGATGAATAAAAACTGTGATTCTGCCTATTTAACCATGGCAGTTGCCAGGTTTTGTGAGAACTTCATCTTGATTTAGCCTATGATTGTCGAAGGTGACATGGCAAATATCATCATAGTAGCAAATTAAATGTGTAGGTTTTTTCCATCAAGCCATTCAGGCTTGAAGAACCTACTGCTTGACTTACTGATTTGTATTGTAACACTTAGGGAAATCCTGGAAAAGATGTTTATCCTTATCCTAAAAAACCTCACTAATTAAAGAAAAAGAAAAAAAACCCACAGGAGGAATTTTGGTCATAGCAAAGAATAATCTTTTGCGTGGGCAGATGAATGTGTTACATAATTCAAAAGCTGGACAATAAAGATTTCTTTGGAAACATTTAATTTCAAAAAAAAACAAAAAATAATATTGTGGGAGATCAGATCAGAACATTGGAATTTGCTTAATTTGTACTTCTTTAAAGATAAATATATATTTATTGGATGAAAGCATTAAGTTATAGTTTGTTATGTTTAGTGAACTTCTTATGTTACTGAGGTTGCTCCTAAGACCTGTTTAAAATATCAAATTCTCTGTGTAGTGTCTTCACATCTCGGCTGAGCGTAACTCAGTCCCTGCACTCCAGAGCCTGGGACAGCATCCGTGTGTTCAGCTGTGTTTGGTATCACCCAAATTCCTTCTTCAGAAAGACTCTGTACAGTCAGCAGTGAAAATACCAAAACTAGCAGTTACTTATTTTGTCCGTGCACCTGTTCCATAATTTAATTTTCTTCAGGCAATTACCTTACAGCAACCCCCTTGTATAGGAGTGCACACTGATTTCTGAGCCAGACAGACAGAATGACACTTACTGACTCCTTTCTCCAGTGAGAATGGACGAGGAGTCAGTTCTTCGTCCCCATGATACTGAGAGAAATATTTTAGCCCTCATTAGCAATTTACCTGCCTTTTGCCAAGGCCAGTTGCAGTTTCAAAGTGAGGAGTGAAAAAAACCATTCTTAGGTCACTGAGTACAGAGAAATATTTGATTTTCAGTAAACAAGAGACACAGAAGGGATGTAGCACATCTGGTAATTTAAAAGGACTTTCTGTAGAAGAGGAGTTTCTTTTCTGCAGATCACATTTTTAGATATGCTGTGAACATAAGTAAATTAGCAGCTTTAGAAATTTAAAGCAGAATAAAACAAAAAAGACAAAATATAACCAAAAAAAGCCCCCAGCAAATGCACTTTTTTGTAACAGGATTTGTCACAACTACTGGTTTAGTGTACATAAGAAAGACTTATTCTCTTTGTGTTCATTAGCAGTTCTGTTTGGAATTCAGTCGTTTCAGACATTGCACGTGGCAAAACTTGAGCTCATTTTTCCATGCTGTGAGACAGCATAAGAGCTTGGATTGTCTCAGTTCCTCGAGACAGCTGGCCAACCCTTTCCTGTTCCTTTGCCTTCAGACAGTGTAACCCCCACGGTGGAGTTGAATGCGCTGTGCATGAAGCTGGGGAAGAAGCCCCTGTACAAGCCCATCGATCCCTACACGGGGATGAGATCCACCTACAACTACACCATGCGGGGTGGCACCTACCCCCCACGGTAGGTGCACGGGGTTCGCAGCCCTCCTGCCTCGGAACCTCTGCTCTCACCACCCCAGCCTCTGCTGCTGCCTCCTCAAACTGGCTGTGTCACCCTCAGAGGGACCCTCAGCTGCAGCAGAGCCAGCTTATGAGGCCAGAGGGCTGGAGGAGCACACCCACTAATGTCTGTAATTGGTCTTATTTCCAGTGGTTTAATGTATTGCAAGGGAGCTGGACCAAACGTTGAAGTGTTTCTGAGGGCACTCAGGTGTAGCCAGCTTCACTAAGCAAATACCTAAATATTAGCTAAATATTTCTTGCGTTCCCCTTCTGCGCAAAAGCAAAAGTGAAGAAAAGGATTTGGTGTTTTTTCTGAAACTGTTTAAATTAAAGCTTCAGTTTAAAAAATTTTATATGGGCATAGGAATGTAGAATTCAAAACTGACTGGCCTGGCAAGTCTATAAAAGTGCAGTTACGTTGTCTTTGTGTTGTACTTGGTCAGAAATGTGTTCCTGTGGTAAAACAAGGAATGTTGATACTTGCTTCAAAGGCTTCTCCCTAAATTCATTTAGACTCAAAATCAAAATGTGGCTTTTTAATCCTAGTGCTTCAGTGCACTAGGTTGTGGTTACTGATATCCAAGAGATTCACCCACATCTAACTTAGGTGTCTGTTTACTTCTTAGGCCAAACCTTCTGCTTATTTACCTCTCCCTTTGCAGGTACTTTTACCCTTTTCCTGTCGGGCCCTTACTTTATCAAGTGGAGCTTTCAATTGGAGGGCAGCAGTTTCATGGGAAGGGAAGAACAAGACAAGCTGCTAAACATGATGCAGCTGCTAAAGCACTGAAAGTTCTGCAGAATGAGCCCTTGCCTGAGAAACCAGAGGTGGGAATTAGTCTTAGTGTTGTAAGCATAAATTGCTAAGATAAACTGAGATATTATTGTAGAATTTTTTCCTTATTGAGAGGAAGAGAACAGTTGGGAAATTTAATTCTGTGCAGTAGTGGGGGAACCTTCTTGTGTCAATAGAAACATTGATATAAAGCACAAATTTCTATGGAACTAGAGTTTTCCCAGATGAAGCTTTGTTAATTCTTGTACTGTCATATTTTTCCACAGCAATGCTCTAGACCTTTGTCAGATATGAGCACTGGAAGCATAGATAGGAATTAATAACTGATCAGGTACAAATCATACACAAACTTCTGATGAAGTGTATAAATGGGCAACATAAAAATCAGACATGGGTTTTACTTCCTGGGCAAAATTCCTACATGATTTTGGAAAGAAGCATGGAAGTTCCAGAAGAGTAGGAAATTCATGGAAGTAGTAAACTCATACACACATTTTGATATGAATACAGGAACTTGATTTGTATCCCTTCATATATTTATGGCTGCCCAGCACTTTCCATTCCGATACCCTGTTATTGCTTTTTTCGTGCTTTTTTGTGAAGTGGCTTTAGGCAGCAGGTCCCCCTGTGGGCACAGGAGTCACTCAGCTCCTGGGCTGGCTGAGAGCCTGCACAGCCCCCCGTGTGTTGGCTGCCTTGGCCAAAGGCAGAACGAGTAACTTGCAATGTGGGGAGTGGGAGAACTTGCTGGGTATGGAGTCTGGCTGTGTGCTGAGAAAGAAGGAAAATGAAGAATTGGACAAGAAGGTAACAAGGGGTCTCAGACTGAGGAAAAAAAAAAAAATTAACTGGAGACTACCAGGAATGGCAGAGCAAGAGGCTTGAGGAAACGTGGTGTGAAGCCAAGAGACTCAGAGTTAAACTCCGAGTGTGTGTGGGGAGAGAGCATTGCCCAGGTATTTGGGCAAAAGCACTGGCTCAGGAAGAGGCCTGGGAGGTGCTGGTGGAGGTGGTTTGGATAAGGGAATGCAGTTTATTGAATGATGGAGGCCATTGGGGATTACAGATGTTGTTGGGGAGAAGGGAGTGATGCTGGGAACAGGAGCTGAGAGAGTGGGGGTGAGCTCTGCACTGAAATCTGAGCTGGGATAGGCAGAGTGTGGGCAGGGGCCAGCTGAGCTTTCTCCAGGAGAGGCCAAGGCAGAGGAGGATGTGCCCCTTCAGTGCAGGGCACCCCAAATTCCAGAGTTATTGTTGTTCTGTGCCAGGTGTGCAGAACATTCTCTCTTTGCACCCACCCTGTAAATCACAACCTGCTCTCATCAGCTGTTTTGCCCCTCAGGAGCCCAGGTCTGTGCCAGACCCAGGGAGCAGCTCTGCAGGAAGTCATGGGCTCACATGTCACTGAATTGTTTTCTGTTCCCTGATTTAGAAATGCTTCTGTGCAGGTGACTTTCTGAAAGTGTATAGAGTTGTGTTTAAAAGGTGGGTAATGTGAGGTCTTCAGAACAAGCTCTGCTGTTGTTTTCCATGACCACATCCCCTGATCTGTGGGATGTCTTGTTTGGTGTGAGGGCTGTGAATCCAGGGGTAAAGGGAGATTGCAGGAAGGGAGAATTATTTTCTTAATAAAACAGGCCCTGAATTGTGTCTTAACCCTGAGAAACCTGCATTTGTGATTTTGTTTTTCAATTTATGTTTGACTTTGTCTGCAAAAGGAGCAGTGGGAAATGCAGCTTAGGGAGAGGAGGGCAGGCTTTGGAACAGGGGGTGCTGGTTTATTAGAAGCACTCGGATAAATCAGGTCTTCATTTAATGTTTGGTACCTAAATTCATCAATACTTGTGGCATTTGGATATTGTAGTTTTAGGAATGTCTGAAGGAGTTGTTTCTGTATCAGCAGTTTTGTACTAGACAAGATGAAGGCAGAATAAGGAGGGTTTTGGTGCTAAGTGAGCCCTGTTCATTCCTGCATCCAGTGAGAAAAGGACCTGGATGGATATGGGAGTGTGAGGTCATGAAAGATCCTATTAAAATGCCTGTGTATAAGGGAGGCAAATTAGGGTTTCACAAGCAGACATAATCCTGATACTTCGTACCAGTCATTTGATGTTGCCAGTAATTGCCTTTTTACATGTAGTTATTTTTGTGTGTTCTGTTTGTGTGTGTGTGTTTGTGTAAACAGAATATTCTGAAGTTTGAACTCTTCTGTTTTGAGGGGAGGTAATTTTGTACATTTTTTATTATTATTTTCCTTCACAAATGTTTGTTTTTATGCCATTTCACTCTTGTGTTTTTAAATTAGAAAGTATTCAGTGATTAAAAACAGTTGGGCTTAATGATCCTGAAGGTCTTTTCCAAGTGATCTGGTGATTCTAAAAAGATACCATTGAATAAAATTATCAGACTTTAAGGGTAAGAATGACCATTTGCCACACCTTCTTGGGCTGCAAATCTAGAAGCAAGTGGCAGGAAAAAAACAATATTAGCCATCAGCTGGACCAAGCCCTGCCTGCAGAACCCAATGTCATGTTTGATGTGGGTTGGGACACAGTGGTGAAGGTGCAGGAGCCAAAGACAGGCCTGATACAGCATCGACTGAAAGCTTAGGGAATACAGAGAGCTGGGCTTCCTAGCATGAATTTGTGACAGCAATTCTGACTTTGGCCTCAAAATCCTAGAACCAGAATTGCTTCTGTGTTTGTTGTCAGTTTACTTGGTAAACGTCAGCTGCTCTTTATCCCCTGAACGTGGAAGAGCAGGCTCAGACTGGGGCTGTGGTTGATGAGGGCAGTTCTGCTCAGCACCTTCCCAGGGCTGCAGCATTGGCTCGTGGGGAGTCTTGAGGAAGGGCACATGGAAGGAGTTCTGGAAGGTGTTAAATCCTTCCTAACAGAGTATGGTACTTGTGGAATTAGCTTGGGACTTTTTAATATCGCTTTTGTTTCCTTTTACGACTAGTTTTCACTTGCTAGAGATGGGTTTGAACAACGTGATGAGAGCTAGGAGTGGTAAATGCTTATATTTGAGGTCTTGTCCTGATTTAGAGGCACAGATTCCTTGGATGGTTTTTGCACACATGCAAACTACTTCAAAAGCAAACCTGAGCCATCACCTGCCTGGAGATGCCCAGGGAAAGAGGGAGAGCGTGTGTGTGTGATTAGTTTTGATTTATAAAATAAACTGATCCAGATCTCATCTAGAGGCAAAATAACCAGTAAAACAGGTATAGACTGGTAATCATTATTTTACTATTAATTTACTCTTTTTAGATTAAGGTATTGAAGAAAAGAACCTGTGTTTTGCACTGTGCATAGACTTGGAATATGTCAAGAATATACAGCATAATAGAGCAAATAATTCTGTTCTATTTATTTATATTCTCTTGAGGGGTTGTTAACTGACAAAATTTAATCCAGTAAAGAGAAGTCTGGGTCATCTTAGTAAAGAAAAATGTTGGAATTTGGAAAACTAGAATATAGGTAAAATTACAAGAAGTGGAAAAATATTTGTAATCGAAGTGGTTGTGCCCATGTTTGTCAGTGAGGGCAGTGACACACTCGTCCTGGAAGCCCCAGGCTGGAGTGAACATGACCTTAGGGGGTTCAGATATTCCTTCTGCTGCTATTCCTGCTGAACTTACCAGTTGCATTTGAAATCAAGGCTTTGACTTGTGTGTTCAGTCTGGGCTTTGCCAGTTCTGCCTCGTGCTGGGCAGGATGAGGGGCAGGGTTAGGGGTTCTGAGATGGGAAGAGGCTGTTTTAAGGGCTGGGATAAAAAAATCCTTCATGTTTTAAAGCAACTTGTTAGTAGCAGCCATAGGGGATGCGTGCTGCCATCAAACTGGTTTTAATCCATGAGAGCTCTCTAGCTCAGCTCTTCTGCTGCTTCTCCAATAAAATATTGAAATCACTTTTATTACCTGATTGCATAACTAGTATTGTGGCATGATATAATTGGTGAAATTGTCGCTGTTCATCTTTATCATAATCTTTCCAATAGCACTGCTGGACACTTAGTCCTAAAATTTCTCTGTTGCTGTTGCCTCTTAGTTCATGTTGATCCCAGCATCAGTGAAGATATTTTTGAAATCACAATCAGAGTTTTACCTGGAGATACATAGAAGTGCCTGTGGGTAGAAGCTTCACTGGCACTGTTAGGGCAGGTGTGAGTTCCCAGAGATGGATTTGATTTAGGGCAAGTTCCTGGTAGGTTGTTCTTCAGATGAGAAAAAAGCTGTGGGTGAAGCACTTCCAAGGGAGCACGTGAAAAGACAGGACTGTGCCAGGGGCTGGTCACCCATCCCTCATTCACATTGGTCCCACTCTCAGATCTTTATTTTTCCTGCCCTTTCTCTTACCTGATACTGTCTTAGTGCTTTTGGTGCAAATGTCCAATCAGTATATGAAAACTGTATTTCATAAAGGTACTTCCATTTGGAAATCAGTTCATTTAACACTTCAATTTGGTTTTCTATAAACACATTTTTAAACCTATTGGCCCTTATTCCATTTGTTCTTTCCTGTAACGAGCACATGAAAATATGAAGGTTTGCAAGCTTTTACACATACACCTTAATGAGCTTCTTAAGTTTCAGTTCTGTAGTATGTGGGCTGCATTTCTCCACATTCACGTGGCAGTAAAGGTTAGAGTACTTAAAATTTGGAGAGTTCAGTAAAGTGGTTGAATGGATAAAATTCAATTTAATAGGATCTTTATTTTAAATAGAGTATGCTTCTTTTAGGTTAACGGAAAAGAACCAGATGATGAAAATCTCAATAAATCTGAAATAAGCCAAGTTTTTGAGATTGCACTTAAAAGGAACTTGCCTGTGAATTTTGAGGTATGTTTATTTTACAAGCTCTAGATTTGTTTTTATTAGAATATTAAGGGTACACATTAAGTTGAGTCTCTCCTAGATAACCCAAACAACTGACTTTTAATGTGTCTTGTTAGTTGTGAATACACTTTTACCTTTGACAGACACCCTGATTGTCTCAGAGTTTATATGGCAAAGGGAAGAAAAAGAAAAATCCACCTGTTCACTAATTCATGCCCTAAAATGATTTCATGAGTGAACAGCTATGCTGTGGTTGTCTGTGCAATCTTTTTTCCAAGCTTTTTGGAAAATCAGTGTTACAGTGAAAAACCAAAACATAACCCCCCATTAATGGTTAGAACATGGAAGGGCAGAGTTGAGGCAAAAGAGTAGAGCTCACTCTGAAAGACAAGGATGGAAGTATTTGCTTAACTAAGCACTGATCTGGACCACCCTCGAGGTGCAGAATCTCACAAGTAGGTTTCTTTTCTTGCCATGGGGTGACCTCATGTGCATCTGACTTTCCTTTCCCTTTGGCCTGGCTGCTTGCTGCCTCTTTGCCCCTCCTTGATCATTTCAGTTATCTTAAATCAGGAGCTTCCACAGGAGCATCTCTGTTTCACTACAATATTAATTTACCATGCTGCTTTCCTGAGCTGGCAGAGTAACCTTTAAGTCAACTATCTGAATTACTATAGTAAGAAAATGCAGTTGTGTGTAACTGAATTGCTTCTGAAACTGTTCTACGAAATTTTGCACGAAACTCTCAATTATTGCAGATTAGCCTGAGCATCACTGGTAAAAATACACTGTGGGTGGAAGCTCTGAATTCATTCTTACTTTTTGACTATATGGATATTTTGAAGTATGATGTGAGATGAATGGAGTTAAAAGACTAAATCTGTAGTGGGCAGCTGTCTCTTAGATGTCTCCAGAATTCTTCAGAACTCCAGAGTTCAGAGATCAGAATTTCTGAACTAAAATGCTGGATCCTAAGGAATTGCTTTCTCTGTGATGTTTTATTACTGTACCATGACATATTTAATGAGGTGATGCTACCTGTGGGGAAGTACACACTGATGAAATAGAACAGTCATATTTCAATACTGAAAAAGTAAATCAGTAAATTAAGTAAGATGGGTTAATGACTTACATGTAAATACTGTTTACTGCTTACTGCATCTGATCTTTTAAAAGTATATGCTTATTTGGGTGGGATGATGTTATTAGAGTGAATATGATTTACGTTTTGGATTGTATGAGAATCTAAAATCTCTTTATCCGTAGTTCTTGAGAGAAGTTTGCTATAACCAGTGTGCCCTACCATTTTTAATAAGTGTTTATCACGCTTTCACTCAGTTTTTCCCTCTGAAACAGGTGACCAAGGAAAGTGGTCCTCCCCATATGAAGAGTTTTGTAACCAAGGTGTCAGTCGGAGAATTCATGGGTGAAGGTGAAGGAAAGAGCAAGAAGATCTCAAAGAAAAACGCTGCAATAGCAGTCCTAGAAGAACTGAAAAAATTGCCACCCCTTCCTACGGTTGAGAAAATGAAGCCACGAATCAAAAAGAAAACAAAATCAATAGTGAAGGTAAGAGACAAAAGGCTGGAAATTTGACTGTGCAAATAGTCATCAGCCGAGAGGCTTCTCTGAGTCAATTATAAACTCTCTTGAGCTGCTCAGTCTTTGCCAGCACAAATGAACTGGTACTTTGCTGCTGCTCTAATGGGGTTCTGACACCACTCTCACAGCAGTTATCAGTAAATTCAGGATGAAGGAGAAACCTTATACAGGAATGGCTGGCACATAAAAATCAAGCTCTGACTTTCAAGCCTCAGACTTTACAGCTTCGGGTTTTGCTTGATTTTGCTCGTGCAAATTCTCTGCAAGCCTGCCCCTCCTAATATAGCAGGATTAGAACTTGTAAAGCTATTAGCAGGGGTAGGTTACATGTGGTCAAGTGTGACAGCAGAGCCAAATAAATCGAGTATTTCGCTTTGGCTGTGACAGTATTTCATGAGGCAACTTTTATTTCAGTATTTTTGAATTCTAGAGATGAGTGAATTCAGTGACACACTGCATTTTGTCTATTGAACCAAACATTCACAAATTTTGGCTTATTTCCTAAACATTGTTCTACGTAGCTGCAAACAAGTCCAGAGTATGGTCAAGGAATGAATCCCATTAGCAGACTTGCCCAGATACAGCAGGCCAAGAAGGAGAAGGAGCCTGAGTACATGCTGATCACAGAGCGTGGGCTGCCCCGGCGCAGGGAGTTCGTGATGCAGGTTGGTGTGTTCACTGCACAGATCTGGTGCCTGGCTGGGATCTCTTTGGTTTTTTTCTTATGGTAATCAGGTTGTCATGATGATAGAGAGATTTAATAGGATTACAGCCAGATTTCCATGACATGATTTAACAAAATATCTAATGGGTTACATTCACAGGAGGTAAAGGTTCTCGAAAAGTAATTTGAGTCAGGTTTAAAAAAAAAATTGCATGGGGCACCAGAAGTCTATGTTGTAACTGCCTAATGTTTTAATTATCAGGAATATTAATATTCTGTTAAGAGATCCTGACCAGATAATTTTTTGTAAAATAGGATTTATTCATCTTGTACCCAAGGTGAGATGATGAAATACAATTGTTTTGTGCCTTCTCTTTGGGTATTTTGTGCTTGAAGGCCAATGACATTGATAATAAATGACAACTTGCTTAGAACTATGAGCACTGGAATGATTTTGTGACTCCAGGCCTGCTGGAGACACAGATCACTTATAAGGGAATCCCCTCACTACTGCTTAGGAATTGATTTGGTTTTTCTTCCTCTTCTGCCCAGGTGAAAGTTGGTGTACACACAGCTGAAGGAATGGGCACGAACAAAAAGGTTGCTAAGCGCAATGCAGCTGAGAATATGTTGGAAATTTTAGGTTTTAAAGTCCCTCAACCTCAACCTCCAAAACCAGCATTAAAGACAGAAGAGAAGGTGAGTCTTGAGGAACCATTGGCTTGTTAATGCTGCAGCAAAGGCTGGGCTGATAAGGGGGGGAAATTCGTGCTCTCTGCCCTAGCCAGGAAACAGTTGTGTTGAGGGGACTGTTCTCTAACAAATAGTGTGCTTTGGACACATTAAGTGTTTGGGTTTTCAAGTAACTCACAGTCTGATCAGAAGGCTAAATGAATGCATTTCTGCTTTATGGAATGGCTCAGAACCTGTGATAATTGATGTGTTGGTCTTAGAAACTCGCAGACCTGAAGGGTTTAGGACTCTGGTAGCAATAGTTTTACACAACCTTGTCACCAGTTGCAGTGGAAAGTTTGTTACAGGTCTCTCTGGTGGGTCCCTGGGCAGGAAAGGAGCCTTGTGCTCTGCTGGGGATTCAGCAGATGTTACCAGGGAGCACATCTGGGGTTAGTTTTCTCCTTTTCCTGTATGTGTTCATATGTGTCCAGTGTTCTCTCCTCAGCAGTACCAATAACCAACAGCAGTTTAACTGGCTTTACTCTGGTATCTGGTTCTGAGTAGGTGTGTTTCTGATACCACTTCTCTGGGCTGTAGATAATTTTAGTCCTTCAGTGAATAAGAATTACTGAACTTTTCTCGGTAGTGATGTAATAATTGAGGTTTTTGAATAATAATGTCTTCTGTAAAATTTTGGCTGGTCAGATCACCTGCATCTTAAAAACTTTAAAACTTGGTGGGGGGGGAGTGGTGTGAGTTTTAAAGGGATACTGTTGAGTTTGAGTTCTTTTCCTTTTGTTTTTAAGACCCCAGTGAAGAAACCAGGTGATGGAAGAAAAGTCACCTTCTTTGAGCCAGGCTCTGAAGAGACTCCAGCCAGTGAGTAACCTGGGTGAAAGCAGCACAGTTCTGGTGGGGGCTCAGATCTGTTCCCCATGTCCCCAGCAGTGCCACTGAGCACTCTGGGATGAGCAGGGCAGTGCAGCTGCTGCCTTGCAAACTAAATGGAGCCCTTGGGAAAGTTCTGTTCAAATTCCAGAGAGTTTATTCCTCCCAAGGCCCCTTTTCCTGGGATGAAGATGAGAAAGGGTGTCAGCACTAACTGGAACTGGTTGTCCTAAAGCAGAGGTGGAGAGAGAAGGAATGGCCTTGTCCAGAACCACCTATCTGTGCCTAGTCTCTGATGACAGAGCAGGGGCTGTGCCTGCACTTATTTCAGGCAGTGGATGGTTGTGGGGGTCACACCCAGGTGACAGGCTGGAACTAAAACACCCCAAACCTGGCCACCTGTGTCCAGGCGTTGCTTTCTGGAATGTCAGCTTGTGGCAGGAGTCAGTGTGGAAAGTTTGTCTATCACCACAGGTTTCTGTTCTGGAGAGCATCTTTCAGGTGTTTTATGTGTTTTAAGTATAACTTTGCTGCTAAAATTATAAATAGCTGGGATTGACTTGGACTTCAGTAATATTTTACTGCACCCAGAAGATCTTGAGTAAACTTCCTGACTTCTATTCAGATTTTGCTATCCCTGCTTTCTTCCACCTACACATTTTGGTTTTCATGCTTAGACATGAAACAGCTCAGCCCTGCAGAACTTCATTTATCTGCTCTGCCATAAGTGACTCCCCAGTTTATTTCAGCAGCACTGTCTTCACCTTTCTTGAGCACACCTCTGCAATTTCCCCTCACAGCTCTGTATGAGTTCCCCTTAGAAAGCTGTTCTTATCCCTCTTTAATCTATCTTATGCCATAATGTCAGTAAATTGCTATCAATTGGCTGTGGCTGGATATTTGCTGTAAACAGTCTTGCCTCTTCACACTCCTAATGTTCCATTTTACCTTTCCTCCCTGCTGCTTCTCACAATATGTAGTTTAAACTTTGTGGACTGTCACTCTCTTTACATTAATTAACAGTGGCTCTGGCCATTCTGTAGTTTCATTATTTGCTCCTACAGTTTTAAACGATGAAATAAAAAATTCTGAAAGCAAAAGATTGATCTAGAATGTGGTTGCAGCTGTCTGAGGTGTCTGTGGGCTTGGCTGACCTGGAGAAACTGCTCCTGGAGGTAAAGGGGCTCCTTTGGCAGGAGCAGGCATTGCCCGGAGTCAGTAACTCAGTGACTCTGTCTCAGTGGTGCTGAAGCCTTGATTGGGCTCACCAAGTTTGTTGATAGTTGGAAAGGGATTTGAAACAAATTATTTTTTTCCTCGAGTGGCTCTTGCTGCCTGTGCCGGCAGGAGGGCCCCCAGGCAGCAGCTCTGCAGTGTGCACCTCTCCCCTGGCAGGTAATAAAGAAGATGAGTTTCGGATGCCTTATCTCAGCCATCAGCAGCTTCCTGCTGGCATTCTTCCCATGGTCCCTGAGGTTGCCCAGGCTGTAGGAGCCAACCAAGGACACCACACCAAAGAGTTCAGCCGGGCAGCTCCCAACCCTGCCAAGGCGACGGTGACGGCGATGATCGCCCGGGAGCTGCTCTACGGGGGCACCTCTCCCACTGCCGAGACCATATTGAAGAGCAGCAACTCCTCAGGCCACGTCCCCCACGGACCCCTGACCAGGCCCTCCGAGCAGCTGGACTATCTCTCCAACGTTCAAGGAATCCAGGTAAAGGTTCAGCTTCGTGAGATTCCTGCCAGAGCTATCCAAGCTGGCCCAACCTGTTGTTTGTTCTAAAGCTTTTTAGTTCTGCCGGTGACTGATGTGTTCTGGGGCTGCTTGTTCAGCTGGAATTTGTGTAAAAGTTTTACTTTACCTGTGACATGTACTGAACTTTACAGCTTTTTTAATTTAGTTTTCAAATGTGCATTTCTGGGCCACCCTCAGCCCTGACTCAGTGGTACTCTGAGGTCTTGGAAGAACAAAATCAAAGTGCATTTTCTGAAAATTGTCCCAGTGTAGGAACACAGTGGGGGCTTGAACTTGGCTGATCTGAAAGATCAGCTGTGCATTTTCTTACGTTTGGTGCTTGGTGGATTAAAAAGCATAATAGAGGAATTTGAAATGCAGATAGCAGTATTCAGAATAAAGGTCCCAGCAAAAATCATTATTAAGTAGCCACTTTCATTCAAGAGGTTTGCAGAGCTCCTATGAGTACTTAAAAACATTTTAAGTGGGGTTAAACTTCAATGAGAGTGATTCTGCTGACTGACAGAATGCTGAGGACAAAGGCTTGGCTTCATATATGGGCAAATAATCTGTAGCAGTTGTGATACACTTCCTGTACTTGGTTAACTGAAAAGAATGAAATCCTTCTCTTTTCTTCAGGTTGAATATAAAGACTTTCCAAAAAATAACAAGAACGAGTTTGTATCTCTTATAAACTGTTCCTCTCAGCCACCACTGATCAGCCATGGGATTGGAAAGGATGTGGAGTCTTGCCATGACATGGTATGATGAACACTGCTGAAATGCTGCTCTTGGACCTTCCCTGAGGGAAGACCAAGGTTTATATCACTGCTGGGAGCAAGGAATTGGATGCTGTACAGCTCCCTGGCTAATTCTTGTCTAACATTTCACAGGTTGCTGAAATAATGATTAATAATATCAGAATCTAATCTAAATAATGTTTAATCTGCTCAACATGTGCTCAGAAAGCACATTTGGTTTACAAAAAGCACATTTGCTTCATCTTGATATTATTTGCATGAGCACCTAATGGTAAATGTACAAAAAGGAACTAATAAACCATAAGAGCATCTCCAGCTTATTTTCCTATTATATCAGAATGGGCTGATGTTTCATTGGGAACTGTGATTGTTGGGTTCATGTTCCCAGACTTCCTGCTGGAGTGGAATCCCAAGTGGAAGAAATACAGTTCAGCAGTGGATAGCAGGAGACACTCTAAATCTGTTCGGCTCCTTTTTAAATAAGACCTTTTGTTACCAGTGGCTGCAGTATTTTTTTGTGACAAAATGAGCCTGCCAGACTGAAAGCTGCAGGGGTCTTTGGCTATAAAAGACTTCAGGTGGAGCTGACAGGATGTTCCCAGTCTGCTCTCATTTGCAGGGATTGTTCTTGTTCTTCTGGACTCCAGAGGTGACCCCAGTGCAGCCTGAAGGAATTGTTTCCAAGATGTGAATACACTTAGGAAACCCGAGTTTGCTCATTTTTATACTAAAAACTGTTGCAGTACTTTTCTATTTTATATAATTTGATTTCTTTGATCTTTGTCACTTATATTTTCATACCCATCTCTATGTCCTGCTGTGCAGAGGTCCTGTCAGACCAAGCACAGGGCAGTGGGGGAGAAGAGGAGAGGGCAGCTGCTTTGGAGCTTAAATCATGAGCCCCCTCCTCTGGTCAGGGTTCATCTTCACTGAGGCACCTGCCAGAGTCAGGGACATGCTCAGGAAAACTGCACCTGAAATTGGTCTGAATGAAATTAAAAAAAAAATGTCAGTTCTCGAAGGAGGGGACTGACCTTGGCGAGAGCCATGACACACTGGCCCTATTGAAGAGTCGTATTTGTCCACCTGTGCTGCATTTTTGATTTTTGTGTAACTTGTTTTCTTTTTTGGCAAAGGACTTTTCTGTGTATTTTTCTGTCCTTTGTCTTAAGCTCTGCACAGTTTGAGCAGTTACTAATTTAGTGTCTTTTTTCTTGCTGTTCCTGGTCCTGCTGTGTTAATGTTCCCCCACTGCTGAAACAAGTGCTGTGGGAATCCCCCTGTCACAGCACCATCCCACTGGTTAATGAAGCGAGATGAAATTCTACCCCATTGCATTTTCCACCATAATTATGCATCTTAAAAAATATATTGCCAAAATTAGAACATTTGGTTGGTTGAAGTGAGTGCTTTCACTAAATTACTGAACTGGCCTGAGGCTGAATTGCTGAGTGCTCTCTCCTCTCTTTAGGCTGCACTGAATATTTTAAAGTTGCTGTCTGAGTTGGACCAACAAACCACAGAGATGCCAAGGACAGGAAATGGACCAATGTCTGTGTGAGTGGGACTCATTGACTTCCCTGCTCTGATGCAAGTTAACCCTGTGAGGGTCTGTGGGCAAATAACATGTGAGGGGTTTTCTTGACCAGAAGAGTTAAAATGCTGAGGGCTGTTGGCCCTCCAGCAGGACCAGAGGGGGTTGGATGATCAAGATTGGCATTTTCATGTGTCAGATGCAAAGTGCTGACAGGAGTGAGTGGGTGTGAAGTGTGGTGGCTGTGACCCCAGCAATGGGGGACCCCAGCCCAGGGTGACAGCTCTGACCCCTGGCAGTTCTGGCCTCCTTCTGCTGAGCTGCCCTTTCCCATTTCTCTGTCAGGAGTGTGACTGTGCAGTGGCACTCAGGGTTAGGGGTTTGAGCTGTTCCTCTCTCTCTCCCTCTCTCTCCCACTCTTTTGTGTCACGTGGAAAGGGATGTGCAGGGGTCAGAGCTCGTTTCCAGCAGAAACATGGAGGGGTTGTAAATTAGTCCCTTGAATGGGGTGGGGGGAGAGAAAGTTGAGCCTCTCATTGAGATAATAAGCTCTCAAATTATCAGTGGTGGGATTCCCAAAGTGCCAACTGATTAAAAATGGAGGCAGTTATACGGCAACAGATTGTTATATGCACATCAGATTCTTTGTCTCTGATTTAAAGCGTCTTATTCGTGGAAGCAGTGTTTTGTCTCCTAAGTAACAGGTGTTTTCTCATTTTAGATGTGTGAAACAAGAAATGGAAAGTGACCCTCTCCTCAAACCGGCGAGCGCAAACCCTTTGGGACAAACACTGGACAGCACTGCCTGAAACAGGCTCTTGACTGAACCCAAACCTGAAAGCACCAGAGAAAATCAAATGCTTCCTCTTAATGTAACCTAACTGTTAGAGTGCTACAGTCTCTACGACCTACTGTAGTGTCTAAATCATAACTGTTGCTTTTTCTTCAAACAGTGATACATTTTTTAGTTTCATTATGTTGTTTTGATTGAAATGACACTATAAATTTTTCATTTAAAAGTTTCTTAATTGTATCTAGAACAATAGCACAGTTTAGAAACTTTGTCTTCTGAGACTGACATGTTACCTGTGAACTAACTTGGGAAGATCATATCCATGTATGTGGTTATTTTGGTTTTATTGGAATAGCAGCGTTCCACTGGAAACAGGCTGTGTCCCACCATTTTAAAAAGCCCCATATTTTCGCAAACCAACCTTAATTATCCAATGGTTGATTTAATTAAAACACTTTAGGAATTTTAAACTTGGTTTGATCATTTTTGGTTTAATTTCTAGTTTTCTTGAGTGTGGGGTAGGGGAACTCGAATGCAACGTGACTTTCAGTGATCTCTGAGCTGTGTTTTTAGGGACTGTGTGTTGGTGGCTCACAGCTCCTACAGTACAGGATATGATCTCAATGTAGTGCATATAAAACCGCAGATTGATTTTCCTTGAGTGCTTTATACTGTTTAATTACATCTCCATGTAGGGCTGAAAAAAATTACCTATGTTTATATATAACTGTGTTGCTTTTGATGTTGTGTTCCTTGCGCACGGAGGGTGCGCGATGAGGTTTGCCTTGGTCCAGGTACAGCACGATAGCCGCGCGAGTTCAGTACTGCTTCCGTTCATTGTTTACGCTGGAATTTTTTCTCCCCATGGAATGTAAGTAAAACGTAGTGTTTGTCACAAATAAATGGTAATACTAAATTTTTTTTTTATTTTTTTTTTGGTTAATTTATTCTTGTATGCCACCACAGGGGCTGCTTTTTGATAGATTTGTAATGCTTGTGCTTCTAGTCCAGGCAGTGTGTGAAGCTGTGGAGTAACTTATGGTGGGTCCCGAGTGCATCGAGGTCCCTGCTCGTGCCGTGCGGGGTGTGCAGACCCGGCAGGGAAGGCAATGCGAAGTGACGTGGCTACGGTTTGTTATTTGTGCCCCAGTGTGTTAGTGCAGCTTTGTTAATGGGAGCTTAAACTGGAGTTTTAAAAAGTCAACTTAGACGAGGACCCTGGCACGGCCGGCGGGTGGGACTGCGGAGTTCAAGTCTCTGCTTTGAAGTTTCCTCGTTTGCTGTAACTCCAGTCCCAACCTTGCCTCGTGACTGGGGGGCAGTGCTGCAAACCAGAACTGACACCTCTCCGTGTCTCCTTCGGTGTGTACTCACCTGCGACCTGTAGCTGTCCCTGCCCTGTGCAGCACCTGCAGGGGCTCTGCCACAGAGAGCGGCTCCTGCAGGTGCTGTCTCAGAGCTGCGTGTCTTGGCCGTTGTATTTGCATCACCCAAGGCAATCGGGCCACAGGAACTGCAGACCAGATTGCATTGAATCACACTGGGTTTGATCATGACGAGCAAAAAAAAAAAAAAAAACCCAAACATTGTAAAGGTTTTTTTTTTGTTTTATTTTTTTTTTTACATTTGTAGAACTAAAATGCTGTACATTTAAAAATTAAAAGAAACTTGCTAGGCTGAGGCTTTGTATTGCAAATTCTTCCAACTGAGAAAGTCCTTACCAAACAATTCCCACTGGAAAGGGAGCACGCTGACAGTGGTGGGAATGCTCTCCCCACCTTCACCTGCTGCTGCTGAGGAGTTTTCTCCTTGGATGGGACTAGAGCCTGCTCTCAGGGCTGTTGTGCAGCAGTCACTCGTGGCTGGTGCTGTGTTTGACAGGAACCTGGATTGAGGCACTTTGCCACAGGAACCTTTCAGTGCAGTTAAACACCCCAGTGCCTCCGAGGTGCTGTGTAAGGGAAGCCCTTGCTGCAGTGCCAGCCTCCTGGGGGGACACTCTGCAGCACTGTGTGGATTCTGGGGGCACCAGCATGAGTTCTGGATAAAAATGGGGCTTTTCCAGAGCACCACAGTCCCCTTCTTTCCCTGTTGTCTTCTCTGTGCCTGATGCAGCAAAGGCAAGAGAGACAGCCGAGACAGTGGCCTTGTTTTCCTCAGAACTGACCCCCTTGTCATCCCAGCTTTCTAAACCTTGTGGCTGTTCTGCAGACAGGGCTGCCCAGGGCCACTCTCCCGGGCACAGGAGGGAGGTCTGGGCCTCCTGGGCTCTTGGTTTCAATGCCTGAAGTCCTGACTCCCCAAAGAAGAAACGGGACTTTTTGTGATCCATCATTCTTGGTTTCAGGATGGAGATCCTAAAGAAAAGAATTTGTGCCAAATTTATTTTTGGGAACGTTGACCTCTAAGACAGCTAAAATGTACCTTTAGATCTCCTGAAGGGCTCTGTAGGAGACCTAATGAGAATGAGCAGCAGCCTGGATCCACAGAAACACTTGTTACAGAATATTAAAGTACATTCCTAGAACTTGTTGTTGCTGTTGTTTTGGTTTAGGATATAGACAACTGACCCTTCGTTTGGACAAACTGCACCTGAAAGGGCTCAGTCTGGAGTCAGCAGGGTTGTTATTCTTAATTCTCCAGTCAAAGTTTAGTAACATATGCAACAGAATTAAATGGAGCTGTACTTGGCAGCTATTGTGTTACCTAAGGATCAAACCAAAATTCTGTTTCAACCCACTGATCAAAGTCAGAAATAGTTTTATTTCCCTCCTACTCTATAAAACGGTGGAGGTTCCAAAAGTGCTTAACTGCAGGCAGGGATGGGATGTGTGGATACCACTTCACTAGTCTTTGTGAAGCAACCACAGAGTTGTTTGCTGCTTATAATAATTATATAAGGGTGCATTTTATTCTTTGATGAAACAAATTATTTTGTATAGCACTAGCAGGATCCCAAGGAAACAAAATTGTCTTTGATTAATGACACATTATAGTGCTTTTAAATTTTACTCATTCTCCCACTTTCACAGTACTTTTAGCAGCCTGCTAACAGAAGATAGTTTAGATTTTAAAAGTCCTATGTTCATGATGTAGGAACTTCTCCACAGAACTTTCAATGCTTTCACCCTCTTCTTCCATTTGTGTTTATTATTTCCAACCAAAAGACAATCTCTTATGTTTAAATGCCTTTTTCAGTCCAGAAGAGGAATCTGAGCTCCCAAAGCAATCTTGGTGGTCCCTGTCACCCCCCTGTTTGTCTGGCCCGTGTGCTCACACTCTTGATGGGGTTCAGGAGATGCTGCCACAGCCGCTGTGAGGGCTGGCAGGGAATACAGACACGTTCTTCCCAAGCTGTGGTACTTTCAAAAACACCCATGGGACTTTTAGCCTTCTACCCTCCCCTGGGCATGCCCATGAGGCTGGGCAGGGGCTCTGCTGCTGGACTCGCACAGAGCAGGCAGAGGGGGCAGGAGGTGCCAGGAGTGCCCACCTTGTGCCCAGCCCGGGCCGATGCCCCAGGGAGGGGCTGCAGGGCACAGGCTCTGCCCCGAGGTGCCCACACCAGAGCTCCCACTGCAAGGAAACAACTGGGACTGGAGAGACTTTTGCTGCCTCTTGAGGAACTTCCCGAGTTCAATGAGCCCTGACTGAGCTGAAGAACTCATCTTGCTAAAGACATTTTCCACTTGGTTTTGCCATGGAGAACAAAACCCAATGAAATCAAATAAATTCAATACTAAGCTCTGCTGCAGCTCTTGAGTACCCCAGACCTTCTCACTTTCCCTTCCTTGCCAAGATAGGCAACACAAATCATGTTTACAGTTCCTTTTTGCACTGTGCATGTGACATGGGTTTGCAGTGTAACAAGATTAGTTTTCCCTGTAATCCTCTGATTGTCTTTTCATTTTTTGGTGTTCTGGAACTTGGATTACTGGCACTGAGATTTATTCCACAAGTCCTGTTTGATAGGCTGCTTTCAAGAATTGGTTGCCTACAAACACACTTAATCTGGAAAAAGCATTTTAACGGTACCTGAATTAAGGAGTTTCTGCCAAACATCCTGTAAGGCCCATTTATGTCCCTGCAGGATGTGCCTGTAGATACTACTGGACAAATAAAACAAACCAGGCTTATCTTTCAGAGCATCTAAAACACCTCCCGTGGCTGCCCCAGGCAGATTTGCAGAGCCTTGGCTGTATTCATCATATTTCAAGCACCATCCTTGACCTGCCCCTTCCACAGATCCCACAGGATGCTTTCACCTCCCAACCAGCTCAGTCAGGTCACAGAATCCTTGACGAGGGGGTAGGACCTGGTACCAAACTGCTGGTTTGTGAAGCACCACAGGACAAGTCACCCTTCTCACACCTCGAGCATTGGCAGAATGGCGTGTGTTTTACAAACAGAAAAACCCAAAGCAGGGAGCAATGCCATGATTCTGAGCTAATCTGGACCAGACCAGCTTCCTGCAGCACTCAGAGCTGTTCAGCTCCTGTGTTTATCCCCCAGAAACTCCCCTGCTGCTGATGGAAACTGGCTCCGTGCCTCTCCCTGCCTGCGCCCCTGCGTGATTCCATTTCAACCCCCATCTTTTAGGGGGTGTTACTCCAGGGACAGAGGTTCCCGCCTTCCCCGGGAGGGAGGGCCATGGCTGCAGAACACGCCGATCGTAGGGTGGCAGCGTCCTGCGATGGAGAGGGCGGGCCGTGCTGGGCTGGCCCTGCAGAACACGGAGAGGAGCGCAGGACCCTGGGAATGCCTTCCACGTGTGTTCGAGGGTGTCATGTGGCACGTCTCCTCTAGAGTTGGATGACTGGATTCACAGCCCGTTCCCAAGGTGCATTTATAACTGTAAAATCATCACTCGCGGCGGCGCTTGGGTCACACGCTGGGCTGTTTTCATTCAAGGCATCCTTTGTTCTCTATTCCATTCCTGACGTTAATGGGTGGCAAACTAATGCAACGTGATTTGCCAGTCTCTAGCAGCTAAAAGCAAAGTACCCGACTGTGACATGTACCCCAGACAGGGGCACAAACCCGCGCCGAGCCCCGTCTGGGGGTAAAACACGGGGTCAGAGGCGGCCCCGAACCGACTGCGGGGCTCCTGGTCCGGGCTGGGGGTGGATCAGAGGCGTGAGGGATGTTAGCGCCGCACCCGCACGTGCCTTTGGGTAAGTGACTGAACACTTCTGAACCGTGTTTTTGTTTGTTTGTTTCCCATTAAGAAGGGAAAATTCAGTGCCCATCCCGGCAAAGCACACCAGAAGCACCGGGTCCCGCCCCTCGGCCCCGGCCGCGCTCCCCCGCCATGAGGCGCCGCGCCCGCCCTGCCCGGCACCGCGAAATGGCGGCCCCGCCAGCCGCGCCTCTCGCCCCCTGCACCAGCTCAGGGAGCGCGGCAGCCACAGCACAGCCACAGACTGCCCGGCCCCGAGCGCGGCCCCTCGGCAGGAAGCAGAGCGGGGCGGGCGGGGATCGGGGATGAGGCGGGAGCGGCCCCGCGGCCCCCCCGGCACCGCCCGACATGGCGCCAGCACCGCCCCCGCAGCGCGGGCGGGGCCTGCGCAGCCCATAAAGCGCCTCGCGCAGAGCCTGCCGGCCTCTTTCTCCGGGGCGGCCGAGGTGGGTGAGGGGTGCATGAGGCTGTGGGGTGGATGCGGATCTCCACGGGGGCGGGTGGGCCCTGGATCCCCATGTGCCCGTTCCCGGCTGTCGGCCGTGCCGGTGCGGGTGTCTGCCGGCAGCACCTCGGTGCCCGCCCGCTGAGGGATCCGCTGAGGCCTCTGCTCGGCTTCTGGCCCGGCCCAAAGGCTCCTTGCGGGGTTTGGCCCGCGTTCCCGGTGAGCGGTCGCCTCTCCCGGGCGGGTCACACCGAGCTCCCACACCGGCCCGGGCGCTCGCTGGTGGAGTGATGACTCTTTCCCCGTCAGAGCGACAGTGTTGACCATTGCTGTCCAAGCCAGGTCGTGTCTGATGCACCAGCGGAGCTGCCGCCGGGCCCGGGGGCGGTCGAGGGCTGGTGCTGACTGTTCTCGGTGCTGACTGTTCTTTTGTTTCCCTGCAGGGCGAGCCGGAGCCCGGGATGCCGCATGACCGGGGCCAGGCCGGCGATGGGGGCTCCTGCCCGGGGGGCGCCGCAGGGACTGAGGCCCTGCCGGGACTGAGGCCCTGCCGGTGGGGAGCGGTGAGTGCGTCAAAGTGACTGTGCATTACTGGTTTAAATATCCACGTTTAAATATATGATGTTTTAATATATTCAAGATATATTTTTTAATATATGTATATATAAATAAATTGGTCCTGCAGCGCGTTGGTGTACCTAGGGAGCTGTCACGTGTGGGTACGGCCGCTGGCCCGGCAGGTCCCTCTGGCGGGGCAGGGGCTGCAGCCCGGGCAGGGTGGTGGGAGGTGGCCCTGGTGTGGTCCGGGGGTCCTGCCCTGCCCTAGACAGCGCTGGGCACTGCGGGTCCCAGTCCTCATGGCCGAGCTGTGCCTCCCTGCGGCCTGCACGGCTCCTGCATGGGCAGCACGGGGCGGGGGAGCCTCGCACGGACAAAGCCTAGGCCTGCAGAAGGCAGGCTGTTAATCTCTGCCTGTTGGCTTTGTTATTTGCCTTGACTGTCTCGTGCTCTGCTCTGGAACCCCCCATACATTGGTGTTTGTTCTTACTCTTTTGGGGGAATATTTCCCTGTCCCGTGTGCCTGTTGAGCATGCTGACCAGCCAGCTGTTTTTGGGGAAAGATTAGCATGAATTCTATCGTTGTCCGTGGATCTGTTGGGGAAGGTGGGAGTGTGGCAGGGCTGCAGTGGGTGAGCAGCCATAGCTCCTGGGGACTCGCTGGTGTAAGTGATGACTAAATTTTTTCCCCATCAGAGCGACAGTGTTGATTTCTTGCTTTTCAAGCCAGATCATGTCTGATGCACCAGCAGGGAAGTGCTGCTGTGTCCTATGCCCTGGCAGGGCCTGGTGCTGACTGTTTCTTTGACTTTACCCCCAGGACACTGTGAAGGCAGAGACAGGAGGTTGAGCCTGAAGTGAAGGCTGCAGCTGGCAGTGATGGTGTGGTGAGGGCAGTTGTCTGTTTTGCTCCACTATGCTTGCACTCTAGCAAATAATGGTAAGTCCTGGAAGTAATTGTAAAACACATGTTAAAATTAAATTGAAATTAAAAAAGGAGTGGGGAGGAAATACCTATTTCTTCAAGGGAGTTACTTCCACTTTGTCCCTGGAGACTAGACAGATGTGGGTACTGAAGACATGAAAGTGGAGGGATTTCCTTATGTGTGGCCATTGCAATGAGGTCCTTTGGGCCTCCTATTCCAGCATGTCCAGAGTGGCAGATGTGGTTTGTGTAGAAACCAGCATGGCAGGGAGTCTGCAAACTGGTCTGGTGTGTGTTGAGCTGGAGAAGGACGGGGGCTCTCAGCTCTGTCCTGTTTGTTTCCCTCCTGCACTGTGTTCACAGGCTCACTTAACACCCTGCATAGACAGGTGGTTGATGGGCTGCTCAGAGCAGCCATCCCAGTAAGGGACAGGAACTGTTCTGGCTGAAGTGTGTCCCTTTAAGAGGTGCTGCTGGCTGAGTCTTGTCTGCCCTGCCCCTTGCTGGCCTGGGTGTGAGGGAGTGGGAAGGGATTGCAGATGTGGGCGTGGCTTTGCCTTTTCCTCTGCCATTAGCTGTGTCCCAGTGGATCTGTTGGGGAAGGTGGGAGTGTGGAAGGGATGCAGTGGGTGAGCAGCCACAGCTCCTGGGGACTCGCTGGTGTAAGTGATGACTAAATTTTTTCCCCATCAGAGCGACAGTGTTGATTTCTTGCTTTTCAAGCCAGATCGTGTCTGATACACCAGCAGGGAATTGCTGCTGTGTCCCACACCCTGGCAGGGCCTGGTGCTGAGTGTTCCCTTTGGCTTTACCCACAGGACACTGTGAAGGCAGAGACAGGGCTGAGCCTCTGGGAGACCTGAAGTGAAGGCTGGCAGTGATGGTGTGGTGAGGGCAGTTGTCTGTTTTGTTCCACTATGCTTGCCCTCTGACAGGGGAGAATGGTAAGTATTGGATCCACTTATGTTCACTGGCTTAAAAAGAAGGAAAAACACCTTTCTGCAAGGGTTGCTTCTGCAGTGCTTTGACAGCTTGATGTGTGTGAAGATTGGGCAGAGTGGAGATTTGAGTGTTGCAGAAAGGGCCTTAAGTTTTAGACCACAGTATTAATCCCTCTTAATGCCTTGTCAGTTGTTCTGGACATGAAGGTTTTTCACAAGATTGTTTTAATGTTCAGCTGAAGAGCATCTGTCTCAGTGACTTCAGCCTTGTTTTCCCCTACCAGATGGGCAATGCTGATGCAAACTTTTTTAGTCACACGGGTTCCAGAGGGGATGATGCTTTCATGGCATATAAGGAGGCTCCTCTGCAGGGTGTGCTGCACACTCCAAGGCAACACCAGAGGCTGCTCCTACCATAGTAACACTGACACGTAGTACTGTTATGCATGAACAACTTTAGGATCAAAAGTGAAAGAATTCTTGCTTTCTAAAGCTCCCAGGTAAATTGCAGAGAGCTCTGGTAGGTTTCAGTTTAAGGGAATAAATGTATTATTCTTGCCACATTTAAGCAGTGTTAAAATGAGGGCCTTCTTGAAGAGTCAGGGAGCTTTTGTTCTTGATACTTTGAGGTTTTTTGCCCCTCCAAATGGGAGGTTTTCAATGCCCTAAGAATGGGGGGGAAAGTCAGCTTCCAGAAGTGTGTCTATTTGCAAGAGAGGGATTGCTTTGGTGTCCTTTTTCTTCAGGATCAGCTATGGGACATCTAAAAATCTGTTTGGTTGGGATTTCAGTAATCCTTTAGAAAATGTGCTTAACAGAACTTCATTGGATAAAGCAGCTGTTAGCAATGGCTCACTCAGGTCCTGCCCCATGCTGAGGTGCCTGTTGTGCACCTGCTCTGTCCCCAGGGAGCCTGGAGTGTCTTAAGGGCAGCACTGTGTCCTCTCTGTCTGCACCCCTGGATGCAAAAGGAAACAAGTGCTCTGTGTCAGACAGTGGAGCTGGTTGAGCTGACTGAATGTGTTTCTCTGGCACTCTCTGCTCTGTCAGCTCCACCAGGCTGTTGGCAAGTCCTGCTCTAGAAGCTCCCATAGTGCAGTTTGAGTCCATCTTGGGAGCAAGGTTCTGCTTTTTGTAGAGCAACCCTTGCCTTATAGGGGATTTTGAGGGTGCTGGGGGTGAACTTGGAAGCTGTATATTTGCTGTTTGTGGCAGAGTGTTCAGACAAAATAAAATGTTGGCTGTTTCCTTGACAGGTTGAGATTTGTCAGAAGTTGTCCTGGGCCCTGCTGGGGTTTCGGTGTTCTGCTAATGAAGACGGATGCTTCTGCTCCTGTGCTGCTGCCTCGGATCCTCGTCCAAGCCACAGTATTCACATCACCCTGTGACAGCTCTGGCCTTTCCTCAGAGCTGGCGGGAGTGATGAATTGGTGTCCTGCCAGCTTAGATGGAGGGTGTTACATTTTTTGTCCCCTGGGTACAAGGCATGTAACTGGAATGGATTCTGGAACTTGCTGCATGTTTAATGCAGTTGGATGCTTTGTCTGCAGGGGCTGCATTCCCTGCCTGACAGCTCCTGTTATCCTGGCCCCGCCATTACAAGCAAGGAAGGCTCTCTCTGGAGCAGTGACAAGTACGGGAGGAGGGCCTTGGGTGTCAGGAGAGGAGTCAGGGCTTGGCTTTCCCCTGCCATCCAGAAAGCTTTAGTGGTTCATCTCTGGCAGCCTGTGAACTGAGGAGGGGGTGTCTGGGATGCTGCAGCACAGTGTGGTTTTGTACTGTATAGAGCCTGCTTAATAAAATCTGAATACTGGGTGAACTTAGCTGGTGACTGAAATTCTCTTAACTGTTCATATATAGATATATATATAACTTAACTGAAATTCTCTTTAACTCACACAGTTAACAGCTCATACCTGGATCTCCCTTGTTAGGGGAGTTGGGAGAGCAACAGTGATGCTGTGTAGGGCTGATGAAGCTGCCTCAAACCAAGAGAGGTGTGATCTCATGGCAGTAGAGCGTGGCTGGGGCTGTGACTGCTGCTGTGCTGCAGGAGGCTTCACCAGTGTCCGTACAGACCCGGGAGTGCTGCAGGTCCCTGGTCTGTGCTGAGGGGAGAGGTGCACTCTGCGCATGGCTTCTGGCCAAGGCTCTGCCTCAGCTGCTCCTGGAGCTCCCCTGGAGGAGCAGCTGGTGTTGCACACTGGTCTCTGGGTTTTGGCCGACCTGGTTAAAGATGTAGATGAGCATGTTCTCAGGTAAGTCACTGGTCTCCCATACACGAGTCTTACAGAGAAGTGACACAGTCTGGGAAGGAAGGCAAGCTGCTGTAAGGCCTATGAGGATTTGGACATCTGCCTCTGGTGTGTCAGGAACACCTGCTTTGGTTTAGACCTGGTGAGGGATCCTGTACCTTCCCTGTGTGCTGCTGGGGAAACTGCCAGGTTTGCAGAGCAGGAAATGAAACATGGATTGGACGTGGTGTTTCCAACACCAAGTTTCTCAGTCCTGAGAGGTAGCCAAGAGCACCAGGGTGCCTTGCTCGCTGTGTCAGCCGTACCCGCATCGGCTGGTGTGTCGGGCCCTGCCGGGGAGTGGGGCTGGGCCCGGCCCGGCCGGCAGGGGGCGCTGTGCGGCCGCTCCAGCCCCTCAGAGCGCGGGGGGCCGGGCGGGGCCAGAACGGGCCGTGCCGGGAGCGCCTCGTTCTGTGTGACCAGAGACCCCCCAAACCCGCCACAACTGACCCCACAACGGGCCGTGCCGGGAGCGCCTCGTGCTGTGTGACCAGAGACCCCCCAAACCCGCCACAACTGACCCCACAACGGGCCGTGCCAGGAACACCTCGTGCTGTGTGACCAGAGACCCCCCAAACCCGCCACAACTGACCCCACAACGGGCCGTGCTGGGCATGCCTCGTTCTGTGTGACCAGAGACCCCCCAAACCCGCCACAGCTGACCCCACAACGGGCCATGCCAGGAACACCTTGTTCTGTGTGACCAGAGACCCCCCAAACCCGCCACAACTGACCCCACAATGGCTGTGTTGGAGCCTCCAAGTTAATGGAGAAACCAGCACAGACTTCTGGGTCTGTAGCAAGTGTGGAGCTTAGACAGGCCCATTTGAAAAATTTCTTACTATGGTGCTTTGATAAGAGATGGGCCATGGGTAGGTTTAACACTGATTTTAAAGCAATCTCTCCTCAGAGCTGTCCCTAACCTGACCCCTGCCAGCCCTGGTCAGCTCCTGTGTCCGCTGGGTGGATTGAATGAGGAGATGGAGGCCAGGAGGAATGTTCTGCACAAAGGTTGCCTTGCAGCTCTTTCTCTGCCCACAGAGCTCCCAGCCAGCTCTGGAGGCCTGCAAAGCACAGTGACAGCATAGGAGTGGCTGAGCAGGGCAGTGGGGACAGGCAGAAGGGCCAGTTCAGCTGTAACAGGAACAGACCTTGCTGTAGGTACTTGTGTAACTTTCTAAAGTGAAACCTGGAGTCGCTCACGGGGCTGGTATGTTTAACCAGATGTTTACTTTTCTCAAACAGATCTGTCTCTTGGTGCCATGAGCATCTGAGAGGAAAATACAACAGATTATTTCTCTGTCTGATGTTGCTTTTAATAGATTTTCATACACAGGGAAAGGTTTAACATTTGTATTCCCAAAGACCCAGGCATCTCTTGACTGCACGGTGATGATTATATTCTTTTTAGACTCATCTGTTAGCAGCTGCATTAGCTTATAGCAAAGCACAGTCCAGTTACTCATTGCTGCTTCTACTTTTTGTGTTACTTTCTCTTCCATCTCTGCTCAGTGATAGACTGTCAGACACATCAGCTGTGCTGACAGGCTGGACGTTACCGTGGACAGTCAGTGAAGCACAACTCAGGTTTGTAACTGCCCTAGGAAGATCCAGATTTCAGGACCCTCAAACTGCCTCACAGGCAGTAAGAGGGAGACTGTCTTGAAGCAGAGTGTGTCTCTGTCTCCTGCAGCATCCTGTGTTTTAAACAGATGTTCTGCAGCTGTAGCCTCTTCGTCTTCCACCCTTTTGGGCAGATACCTTCCGATGGTGGGGTGTCTTGGAAATGCAAACAGGTTCAGGATCCTTTCTGTCTGTGTTACCTGAGAATCCGCCTGATTTCTTTAGTGTTATATTTGGAAAAATGTCCACTGGATACTCTGTACTTGTCTGTGCCTGTCACCTTCTCTGCTCAGTTTTGAATGCTGGGGATGGGTCACCTTGAAGTCTTCCCTCTAGTGCTCAGAATAAGCTTGACTGCCTGAGTCTTTTCTCAAAGCAAATACCAAATCCAGGGGCTGCCCTCATTTCTCTGCTTTGCAGACTCCCTCGGGTTCACACACCGTTCCAGGGCCAGCAGGACCTTTGGGGGTGCAGTCTCAGCAGGGACAGCAGGATGGGAGGTGTCCTTCCCACGGGCTGGGGAGGCTCAGCTGCTGCTCAGGGCTGGTCAGTTAGCACATGCAGCCCCACAAGGAGCTGCTTGCCCAGGTGAGTTCCATGCAGCCCGTTACCAAGAGCCCCTCCCTGGAGGTGGGCAGTGTGTCCACACCCAGGCCTGCTCTGGAAGACACTGCTCAGGCTTTTCTGCTCCACAGCTGCCCACTCTTCCTGCTGTGGCTGCAGTCAACAGCATCCTGGGTCAGGGCTGCTCCTTAACTGACACGTGAGGCTTGTGCTTTTGATCATCCCACACACAATGGGGTGCTTGGATTTTGGCCCTGGACAGAGCCGGGTCAGTTCTGGGTACTGTTTCACAGTGAGAAGAAATACTGAGCTCAACCCCTGCCCTTGTTTAGCAGCCTGGAGTACTTACACTTGCTCTCTGCTGCTCAGTTGCAGCAGTGATGGACACTGCCTAACCCCCACCAATATTCCCAAATCCAGGCTGTTGATGAATAAAGCTGGTTGCCATCTCATGCAAATGGCTGCAGATCATCTGCAGCCTCACAAGAGCGGTGCTGTAATTGTTACACTGGCTTGGTCTCCATTCATGCTTGCAAGAATTTTGTCTAATATAAAAACATTTTCTCTCTGAGATATAGCCCTCACGGGGAAAGACCTGTCTTGAGACTGAATCCACTTTTCAGTGGATATGGATCAGGCCCTGGCCACCAGCATTTCGAAGCAGACTTTTCCTTTGAGTATTTGCTGTCACTTTTTTTTACAGCAGGATATTTATAGGCGCAATTTTCTTGGAAATCTACAGAGGAGGACTGGAAGTGTCTGAGAACTTTTGTTAGTCAGCAATTTATGTTGCTGTGGAAACGCCTTAGCAGGGCTTGGGAAAACTGCCTGGAGAAAAGGGTGTTTGCCAAAGGTGCCAGCAGCAATGTTGCATCTCAGGCTGGTTCCTGGCTTACCTAAACCTGCTTCTCAGGCTTGTCCTTCACAGTGGCTGCTGCTGGCATGGGTGGCACATTTTGTGCTGCTGGCCATGATTTCCTTCTGTAAACGTGCTCTGTCACTCCTCTGAACTGTGAGCATGGTCCTGCTAGTCTTCCCTCTGATCCAGGGTGATGTGCTGGATATTCAGTGCTGTTGAAGTTCTCCTCGGTGGGCTTGCTGGCTGTAAAGGTAAGTGGCAATATTGGTGGAGGGTGAGATGGATGCTGGTGGGGCCTTGCTTCTCAAAAGGAGTTACAGTGACTTGGTGAATGTATTTGCACACAGACTTGGCTTTTTTCCCTGCCAGAATTGACCAGGTACACCTGCTGTTCCATGCTTGGTGAGGAAGGGTCAACTGCTGAGTCATCTTGTTAGTTTATAAAGCAGTTGCAAAGCTGCTCCTTGCTGTTCTTTTCCTGCCTTTTTTTCCTCTGGAGAAAAGTACTTGGAGGAATAGAGCAGAGCAGGGAGGAAGCACGGAGGATTCCCTTGGTGCCAGAAAATCCGAATCAGGGCTGTGTGGACAGGATGTGACAGGCACACAGGATGGCCCAGCCTACTGCCCAAGCCTTTGCCTTACAATCTGCGAGTGGATGCCTCTCTTGCCCTGTGTTGCAGGCTGCTGGAAAGGCATTGGTGGTTTTCCCCTGCTGTTTTTCCTTTTTTTTTTTTTTTTTTTTTTTTAAATTTTATTTCTTCTTTCTTTAAACAAAAGGGAAAGGTCACAGTCTCCTGATCTGCCTTCTCCCTCTCTGAATTGTGACAGGGAAACTGAAAAAGGCACATGTCCATGGATGAGCCAACTGATTTTCCCTCACGCTGAAGAGGAAAGTTCACCCTTATCTGGGTGTTTTCAGATGTTCCCTCTGTCTGATGACGGGAGTCTGTTCATCCATCACAGCATTGTTCTTCCCCCAGCTGTGGCTCAAGTGCTGGGAGGAGGAAGATATAAAGCTGCCTGGGAGGTCTGCAAGGCTGACAGAAGACAGGATCTCTCAGGCCGTCAGGAATGCATCGCTGGGTTCAGCCACGGGTGAGTTGGGGTTTGCTCCAGGTTGGCCTGATCCTTAAACCTAGAGAGGATCCCTGACAGATGGTGGGGCTGATAGCCCTGTAGCGAGGAAAATGTTAGGAGGATCCTTCAGGGTTTATTCATCTTCATTTTCCCTCGTACTGGGAGCAAACACCTCAGGAACTGGAACACTAGGAGCAGACCCCCTGTCCTGTGAGAGCTGTATGCATGGTGCCCTGGCTTGTGGCTTCTAAAAAGAAAAAAAAAAGTTAATTTCTAGAAGAGAGGAAAAAAAATCAGTGCTTCTTATTCCAAGTAAAATAAAGCAAAATCTTCTTCTCTCTTTGCATTTACTGAATTGTGAAGTGCAGAGCCTGACTTAGTTCTGCCCAGGGAATATGAAAGCTTGACTCGCTCAGTGCCTGCCCGTGCCAGCTTCTGCTCTCATTTAAGAAAATAAATGGGATCATTTCTGTCATGTAAATTGTGTCAATTGAATAAAACTGTTAAATAGGTGAGGTAGTGATACAGGTTCTGTTTATTTTCATCCCTGCTATTACGGCATCTGGTGCTAGTTTCATGCCAGTCATGAAAGGACTCTGTGCTGAGGTTGACTGTGGTGAGGTTGGGTCAATGCTTTGATTTTTAGCTCTATTTTCCGTTGCATTTCTGTGCTGCTTCTTAATGTTCCGTGGAGTGTTTAGCTGCCATGTGCAGAGAGAGGATTTGTGCAGATGGGTGGCCTTGAATCTCCTGTGGAAATGCACTGGTTGTAGGTAAGGCCTCCGGTTTCCTCACCTGCTGCCCTATTGCAAATAAACATCTGCTTCTCTGTACTTTAGCTGTGACTTTGATAACTTACAAGGGACAATTTACTACATGTTCCTGTTAAAACAAGGGTAAACAGGTACATTTCAAGAGACAAAGCTGAGAAGGGGCCCAGAAACCGGGCGTCATTTGTTCTGGGTCTGGTCATACAAACACTGGCCAAGTGAAGAGCCCCAGTGACACCAGGGAACCGCAGCACAGGTGAGGCTGTTTGTGGGAAGGACCCAGTGGGATCAGGTATTGCTTCCAGCACTGGAACAGTGATTTCCACAGCACTTGAAGGTCGGAGAACGTGCCAGGTGTGCCTGACTCAAGGCACCCGTAAAGGCCATGCACTCAGGTTATCCCTGGCAGGCAGAGGCGTGGATCAGACCAGGAGCCTTCTGCTCTGAGAATTCCAGGAACTCTGCACAGCAGAGATTAAAATGGGATCTGCTCTCTGACCTCTTTGGCTTCTTGACAATTTGACATGAACAAAACAAAGTCAAAGTGACTGTGCTACAGGCAGTACCTGGACTGCAGAGAAGCAGTATAATCAGAAATCAGCTGCTGCTTCTGTTAATGTAGTTACCAGTGGCAGCTAAAACTTGGGTGATGTTGGCAGTACTCTGTTTTCCAACTGGGCCATTTTAATCTCTGAAACATATATTGGTGCTAAACCAATTGTCTTTCAAATTTCACCTGTCTCAGTCAAATACAATGTGTGTTTAGTTTATTGGAGAAATTTATTTAAAGACAAGGTTTCTTAGGAAGTGCAATCAACTGGCAGGACCAGTTCCAGTGAGTATATCTGCCTCCTTCTGCAGCTCATCCAGCTCATTACAGAGCCTGGTTAGTCAGAATAGCTCTGTCTGTGTGCAGTGCAGGATTTCAAGTACCACATTTAAGCATGCTCTTGAATTAGAGAGACACTTCAGTGTCCTGTTTAAGCAGCATCTGTACCACTTTAGGATTTGCTTTCCCTTTGCTTTGCTTCCTACCAACCGGGGAGAGATTTAGCAGAGTGGAAAACGTGTGGCCTGACTGATGACTGCATCGAAGAAGCTGTGCTGAGGATTACCCCCAACTGCTCCTGTTTTGTACAGGGCCCCAGGGGACAAGTGGGGCTGTGTTGCCCTGGAGCCTGATGCTGCAAGTTGCAGATGACCGATTTGCAGTTGCTGACTCATAGAACAGCTCAACTGACTTGACAACCCAGTAAATTAAAAAATGTGGCTTTCTGTAGCCGTTGGTGAACTCATTTATCCCAAGTCTTATGCTGCGTGGAAGGACAATATCCATCTTTCTTGCCTCTTTTAGGAAAACCACCTTTGATGTTTCTCCTAGATTTATTAGTTACAGAATACGAAGATGTTTAAGCTATTTCATATTAATCTTATAAATAACCACTTGTGAAAAAATAAAGGGGCCTGGATCCTGGCCTCTGTGAGCGGCAGCTGCTGCCTTGTGACTCAAGAGGAGCAATGCTGGCCTGGAATCCCAGGCTCCTCTGCTGAGAATACATAAACCAAAGCGATCAGCTTAGGGGAGACAGGACAGGACTGGTGAGTGGGAACACTGATCCTGTGGGATGTGATCTGGGATGCTGTTTCGGGGGGGGGGGGGGATGTGTGCCTTTCTTGTTTCTTGTGTAGCATCTTGTGGACAATCAGAGATTCCTCATAGGAAGGGAATAAAATGGTCTGTGCTAAAGAAGGTAAAAAGTTGAGCCAGAGGTTCTTTGGAGTAAGGAAAGACCTGCTGGGAGAAGTCCCTGACTGTTTAATATGTGTTCTTGTTGCTCTCTTCCATCCCTAAACACCAGCAGCAAAATCCCTCAGGCTGCAGGAGTGGGAGACTGAGCCCAGCCCAAGTTGGTGATAGGAAGGAGGGAGAAAGGGAATGAGGGATGGCCCCTGGAGCCACCTGTCAGTGTGGGCTGCAGGAGAAGCAGCACTGGAGGAGCATGCAGAGGTGCAAGGGCTGAAGAGGAGGCAGCTGTGAAAGAATAAGAAAGGAGCTACTTTGGGAGGAATCTGAAAAGTGAGGCACTTCTCTTGTTTTAATGTGGGAGAGGGCCAGGTAGCTTGTGGAATTGGTAGAGGCAATTGTGTTTCTTCTGACAGGGAATGTGTCATGGGGCTATTGGAGATTTAAAAGATTCCCAGTAATGTTTTGTGGAGTCAGGTGTCACCATGGGCCTTCACAGAGCAGGAAAAATTTTCGGGTTTGACTAAATGCAAACCTGTCCAAAGGTTTTCTTTTGCTTAGGGAAAGGAATATGGCTTACCTTGTTCACAGGATTCCCTCCTGGCTCAGACTCTCACAAACTGTTCCATTATTTTCTTTTCGGAAAGGAAAAAGAAAACATAAAGTACCCGCTTCAGAAAAGTTGGCTGGTTTCCTTTCCTTTTCTTTAGGAAAGCAAAAGACCCAGACAGAAAACCACTAAAAGCTTTTTATTAAAGTATTTATCTTTCCTGTTTTCTAAGTAAGACTTTTGGCCACTTTAAACCCTCTCCAGCATTCATTAAAGATAACAGCTTTTTAATGGCAACGAGTTTGTTTCCTTTATGCCCTGTGTGAGTCACAGCCCAGCTCCCTGTGGAGAGGCAGCATGTGATGGGGTTGTGTAGTGGTTTTTGGCAGCAGAGAGATGGAGAATCTCTCTGTTCTCTGTGCCTATGGCCACACCTGGATGAGAGGAGGGGGACTTCCCTGCTTCTCTTCTAGCCTGACTTCCCCCATGGCCTTACAGTGCTTTTATGTGTGTTGGAGTCTGCTGGAGACACTAGTTTTGCTGTGTTGAAGCCTTTATCAAGGGTGAATGCTTTTGGGGTTTCAATCCAAGAAGGTGTTTGCTCAGCCATGACTGCTCTGCTGTGGTGTGGTGTGGATTCTCTTGGCAGTACCTCAGGAATCTGTGTCTTGGGGACACAACTGGTGAGGTGAGAGCCAGCAGAGGGGCTGGACCCAGCTGGTCATCCAGTGGGGCTCCAGAGAGGGCTGCTGCCCTCTGCTACTCTGGGAAGCTGAAGGGGTTCTATTCTTCCCAGCCAGCTGAAGGGGAGTTTTACAAGGGTGGCAAAGACACATTTGAAGAGGTGTGCAGCAGTTACTGGCCTCCTGAGCACACACATTAAAATCCAGGCCTAAGAATCCTCTGGATGAGATGTTTTTTGGTTTCTGGGTCAATAGCCTAGTTCAGGTGTGCTGGCCAAATCTCCCTTTAGTCCTAATGAGATCACCATCCTGGGTGGGCTTTGTTAGCAGGGGGAGTTTAGGACTATTTGGTTCAATGTTCCTCTCTATTTTGGCAAAAGACAAGAATCTCAAATACATGGGTTCATAATCTGATTTATCTTCAGTTTTGCTTCAGAAAAATATCTGAAGCTTGCTTGGTATCAACTCTTCTCCCATATCTCTGTGTGCTAAAAACTAGCAGATGTGTACAGCAGGGGAATGATATTTAAAGGTCTTTTCAGTTCTAAGCCCGGGAAAGAGATCCCTGGCACGCTCTGGGTGTGAGGCAGGACAGGCAGCAGGCACAGAATGGACTCTGATGTGGATTTTCAGGTCAGTACCTGTTCACAGCAGCAAAAGCATAGGTGGAAATGCTGACCTTTGCCTTCACTTGGACAAGTGGTGTTGCCATTGCTGTTGATTTGACTCATGTTCTGGAAAGGTCTTGGGAGCTGGTTGTGCTTCTTGCTGCAATGTAATGAACAAGCAGAGCATCCCTTGTGAGAGCCTTGGAGGAGGGTTTGGATGAGGTGGCAGCCAGCTCTCCTGTGGCCTATAGCTGTAGAAATCAGCTCCAAGAAATCAGATCACTTGGTTGGCTAATTTCCTTCTATGCTTTTACAGGCTTGGCTGTGACAGTGGAAAGTAAAATCAGACACTCTAAACCAGAACCTTTTTTTTTTTTTTAATTTGTCCTGCATAATGATAGTTCTGCTTGGTTCCTTATTGCTGGAATGCACAGAATCCAAGACCTGCACGAGTGCAAGGAGCTGTACAAACACAGAGCAAGGAAAACACTGCCATCCTGACACATTTGCTAACAGGTGAAGGGATTTAGAGGTTAGGGGCTAACACTTGGGAATAGGGTAAATCCTATTTAAAAACCTGGTAAATCCTACCTAGGCTTCAAAATAATATATTTTTTAATATTATTTTTTGGGGGGTGAGGTGAAAGTTATGGCCAAATGAAG